CTTATTTGTATTCGGAACTTCAGAGGCAAAACCAATTACTAAGGCCAGAAGCCAAAAAGGAGCTCCCGCCTGCTTCCTCCGGATTCAAAGTAAATAAATTTTTTTTTGGGATAGTTTCTTTATTTATAGATCACTGAGTACACGCATTCTATCCGATACCTCTCTCAATATTTATGTACATATGTATGTAAAATTAAGGAGGCTCAAATGAGACTTTTATTGGAAGATTTAGCTAGTTCCAGCACTTCAATGGCTACAAAGATTTTTATGACCAGGTCCTGTACACAATGGTACTTGTAAATGAGCAACAGATTATATGTACGTGACATTTGTACTTCAAGGAGTTCCTGGGCTGCATTTTAGCTTCAGTAATTAATCATGAGATTAGTCTGTCATTGAGAGTCCCTTTATTCGCAGCAGACCTTCAAAAACCGTCTGAATGGATTGTTTTACATATCACTGACACTTCTATGTTGACATCCATTGGAAAAACTCGACTTGAATGTCTAATGGAGGCAGACCCATCCTCCGCTAAAAATAAATGTAAATAACATTGTATGTTCACATATCGACTATAAGATACCCGACAATCACAATTATTTGCTGTGGAAAAAGGTCTAATGGTATCCAAATTTTGTTTATCTAGCTATTTTAACCTACGAGATCATATACCATCCGTCATATACAGACAGACGCTCGAAATTATATGCATAACAATATGCCAATCTATGCCAGGAGTTCCCTGTGTCTCTGGCAGGCACTACTTCTATCATCTTCTGATGTGGAGGGTATTGGTACACGCATAAAACCGCATAGAGAAGCCATGATCATGAGCAGAATATCAATATCAGTCTCTGTCTCTACCGGGTCTTGAGATCAACTTCAAATCAACCGCAAAAGTACTCGCATTTGTGGCTAAATTTAGACGAGAGTTTCTGAGGTCCTACAGCCAGTGATATATTTTCACTGTCTTTTCATTTATTTTAAAGTGATTTCTCTGCTCTTGCACCTGCCACTGAAAACCGATATCGATTTCGGCTTCGATTGCGTTTGATTGTTCGCTATGGTTCAGTGGATTCTCTGCTCCGCGTTTGATTACACTTTGAGAGGGGATTGTGTCCACTCGAACCAAGTTTTTGTGTGTTAGATTCACTTGGTCTTGAGCTTGAGACGAAAGGGTTTGTTTATTTGCGTTTCTCTGTAAACAGAAGCTTCGATGCTTCGGGTTACGTTACCACATGCCACATATGTCAGGGCGGAGGAAACATGTAATTTAAAGGCCCTACTTCAGAGAAAGCTCCCTAGTGCGGCGGGCATCTTCCATGGGGCGAATGACCATCTTCTGGTGACAAATCAAAAACATATGCGGGTAGTACGCACATATATCGATCATTGTTAAAACGAAACACTTTCTAACAACTGGCAACCAAAATTCTACGAAATGAGCACCCTGTTATTCTGTAACCAAACGATCGCACCCGTTGACGTATGTAAGTCCGTCGTGCACTTGAAACAATAAAGAAGCCCAGATTTGTGTGAGGGCTCAATTGCCTTTTGTCTTTTCTTTATGAAATTTATACACCCGAAAGAAATCTAAGAAGGGGGTAGGTGCAAGTCGAGCATACACCTGGATACCTCTTCGCTTGTGGTGTGTCTTTTTTGTTGTCTCGTTGTTTGGGTTCGGATAAAACCTGTTTGCGGGTTTCATTGACAACGCATTGTTGTTTTTGTCGAAGCACTCTCACATGTAGCATCCGTCAGTGATGGTAGATAGCCTCCTCCTCCTGGTTCCTTTGAGGAACATTCGTCTGAACACAAACCGGTTCCAAAACTGAACGAACTAGAACGAACTAAACCCATCCCATAGTGGGGGTGGATAGGGGGACATATGTATGATAAGGTCGTGTGATATATTCATGTTACATAAATCTCTAACAGATTAACGTGATAAAAAGCTGATAACAAGATGTGCCATCTCCCACATGTGCGATTCCGCATGTCTGCCACAGTGAAGCTTCCCCCAAGACGTCTAATTCCAATGAAAATCTGTTATGAAAGGTACATAGCTAGTTAATCTGCAGACATCTGGTACATATGGCAGTCCAGAGTTTTCAATTATTGCGTTCGGTTGTAGAGTCGTATCTTAGTGTCGGCCGACACATCGAAAAGTGTTGGCAATATTTACCCTTCAGCGTTATCAGCTCCACAAGTTGCTTTTTGGTGTGGTGTGTGTGCCGCTCTTTCCTGATAGACTGCTTTTGATATAAGTAGTTTCCGATTTTCGCTGTTGCTGTTCTACTGTTTCACTGTTTTGCTGCTGCTGCTGTTGAGATTTTCATATGCTTTGCTGTTTTCATTAACACTCGGAATCGCATTGGCATTTTACCGACCCGATGATACGTCCGATTCGACGTCCGACGCGACGCTTGCGCTCACACTAGACAGAGAGAGAGATATCTCGTATATGTAGCCTTGCTCGATTTTGGCCTGGTCAAAACGCAGCCGTTTTTTTTTAAGCGGCAGCGAACTTTGAAGCGCGCGCACACGCCGACAAAGAAATGCACTTCACTCTTATTTGCTTAGCCACGCTGGGGGACGGAATGCACTTTGTTTTCGGGAATAGACGATACTGCTCTAACGAAACGCAGTGCATGGAAAACAAAACAAAATTAAATTGTACATATTTTCATGCACACCTTATGTACATGTAGAAGTAGTTATGTATGTATGTAGAGAGAGAGAGAGTTTATATAAAGGCTTTTTGCGCAATTTGACAACCAGCTGACAGCTGAGAGCCACTCTCTCGCTGCTTTCGCTCTCGCTCACCTCACAAACGCAGCACAGTCACACAGACACACACACACGAACGCACGCTGGCACACGCACGAAACGACACGCTCTCTTTCTCTCTCTCTCGCCGTTTTGCACGTTTCAATTTGATTGCCTCTAATTTTTGTTTTGTTGTTGTTTTTCTATTAAACAACGCCAGCTTTTTTGCACTTGAAAATTTGCTTCGGTACCAATATGGACGTGGACGGACAGCCGTCGCCGCTGACTCGCCCCTGCAGCTGGTAGTCTCACAAGCTTGCTGGTGAACAATAATCCCGAAGCAAGTCACACCGCACCGCACTTAACCGTATCGCGCATCATTAGCAATGTGCTCGAGTCGCTAGTAGTACCGCCATGTGTGCGCACTTACTTCCAGGGAACGACGTCGTTGCGAAAATAAATAAAACAAAAAAGAACTCCCGCTCGCGGACAAAGCTAAAAGCCAACTCTTGGTGTCTCATATAGTATGAACGGTACGAACGATCGCGGCAGCAAAAATAGTGCCGCTCTCTTACTCTCGCTCGCTATCAGACTCTCTCGGTGCTGCTCTCGGTGGTGGTGTGCGTGCATTGGCATTGCGGCGGCGCGGCACCAGCTGTTTACTGTTGGAGAGGGGAGACAGGGTGCCTGTGTTCAGTTTTCGAGCTTTCAGATCTCAGATAGAGCATACATTTTATTGTGTTCGGTCGAATATCAAAATAGAAAATTTACTGCAGTGAAAAAAGAATTGCAATCTATAAATTAAAGCTGCCCTGAAAACGATTGATCTGCCAGCAAAACTTCCAAATCGAACCCTTTTCTGATGATAAATCAATCAAACATTGTAAACGATGTCAGTACATTTATCATACTGTCCAAATAGGACTACTATATCCAACTGCTGCCACAAGAAGGGCAAATCTTCAAGGGTGTCTAGTGTTTCGACCCCAAAAGCGTGCTTTGTCTCATGAGTCACTCCTCAGAGAGATTGTTTTTTTTTTTGACCAGCGACCGAGTTTGGACGCTTGAATTAATTAATGAGCAGAACACCGCCAAATGGCTGAGAGCGGAAAGCGAGCCCTAACTGAGCTCCAACCGCTTTGCAAGATAAATTTAAATTAAGCAAAATATTTCGCGAAACATTTGTATGTTCATATACAATATATGAATATACATAGATGAATACATGAGCAAAAATAAAAATGAAAACTTGAGACGTTAATGGATTATTTATGAATGAACAGATCAATGTGCGTTGAGATCAGGGACAATCTTTGCACGCTCGTTAGCTTGGAACTGACATCATTTATAATACCCCGTAATTTTAGGGCACTAGGGTATATAGTCCTCATCAAATGTACATTGTTTTACAATGTTTTCGGCCAAAAAATATTTATTAAGGCAGCAATTTTTAGATCCAGTAATTCTATCCGATAAATCAGTCAATTTTCTAAAAGATTGGCTTTTTTGTAGGCTTAATTTGACTGTATTCTTAAAAAAGTGTTAAAAGTGTTTAAATAAAAACGAGTCTTAAATTCGACATACAGAATTAATTTTACATACAAATTACACAGAGGAGTTGACAAACATGACCGTTTTTCGCTAGTGGCGCCACGGTGAAATTTTTGGCTTAAAGTTGATTTTATTGTCTGAATATTGATTACGATTTGGATGCAGATTACGAATTGCTACTCGACAGAGAGTCTGATATGCCCACAAATGCATTTTACAATTGATTTGCACGTTAAATATCCAGACAATGAAATTATTTAGATTCTTCAGCTGAAAAGAGTGCAGAAAAATGTAGATGCCATGTAGTGGCCGTGTAGCAGAATTAATTCCATAATTTTTGTGGTCGAATTTTAGACGTTTTAGTTGATAAATGTATACAAAAGAATGCAATTAAACACGCATATAAAAATTAGCCAATCTAATAAAAAATAAATATAGTTATCGGATAAAACATATGGTTTTTCAAAAAGACGATGGAAAAGCTATTTAAACTGCAGCCAACTGTACGATGAGTGCTTGGCCGATACTTAGCTTCATATAACTGTCTAACCACTTAGTGGTATAACTTAATATCTTTGCTATCTTATCCCATTATCTATCTGCTGTAAAGCAATTTGCAGCGCTGTAAAATAATCTCAATTGATAAGATTGCCACCTAGCCGAGTTTATTGTGATACCTTTGAAGATCAGTCACTTGCACACAATCCACCGAGTGTCAACGGCGCCTCAAGATGAGAGAAACCAACACATTTAAATTGGCAATTTGTGCATCTTTGCTTTTCATGCTGATCTGTGGTCCAGCAAGCATCACTGCGGAGGAAACAAATCCCCCAACTCTATGGTCGCAAATCGTGGCCCGAGTGAAGAGCTATCCGTGGCATTCTGATAAACCGGAGAGGGAGACACCTGAAGAAATGCACAACAGAAGCATCATGTGGCAAAGGCTTACAATGTCCACAGTATTGTAAAACAATTTTCTTGTATTTGTAGAAGATACGAGTCTGTCAAAGATATTTATCTTAATAAAACTGGAAGCCAGATTCAAGAACTCAAGCACCAATCAAGAACAAGAAATCCCTCAAAAATATATCAATAAATAAAAAATGCTCCCAAATTATTGCCAGAGGTAGAAAGAACTTTCTTCTATGCCCCATTAGCGAGTGTTATGTTCCCAGCTAAGAATTACCTGCCAGGAATTTCGATTGATTCGATGGAGGATAGATACTATGTAGGTATGTATGGATCGCATACATACGACCAGTATACGAGTATGTAGCAAGCACAATGTTAAGCACTAGGGGCTCGAGTTTATTGATCAAACTTGGAAGCATTTGACATTCTTGGCCAGGTCGCAGTATCCCGACATCTGGTCCCAGTAGAGACCCTTGGGACAAGACGTCAGCACCGGCAAGCCGCCAATGCATATGTAATACTTGCTGCAGTCCTCGGGATGGGACATATAGCTCTGCTTCTGCGTGGGGCATGTCAGGGGGACGCTACTGGCCTCCGCGCGTGGCGGGGATGGTACTGGCTCCAGGAGCGGTACAGTCGCGTACGTGCTGGATGGCTCTGAGGAGAGCGTGCTGGTGGCAACGATGTAGCACACTGTCACCTCACCCTCGCTGCTGATCGTAGTCTCGCCTTCTGTTTCGTCTGCCCCCCCGTCGGCGTTCTGGCGATCGGGTCGCGACTGTCCGTAGCAGACGGCGTCATTGCTTAGCTGGCACTCGGACTGCTCGTAGTTCCAGAATGTGCCACGACCGCACTGATGGCGGTGCAGGTGCCCGTAGGCACAGATGAAGTACAGACGGCAGTTGCTTGGATGGGGCAGAAAGTAGGCGCCAAAGTGGCGACACTCGATATGCTGGGGGTCGTACTTCTCCATGGGATTGACGGGCTGTCCACTGGCCACGTCGACGGCCACGAAGATCGGGCGCGGCCTCTGAGGCCACCAGATGAGTTCGGAGGCGTCCGGCACCAAGTTGCTGGCCACCGGCAGCAGCTCACTCTGCCTACAGTTGGTGTTCTCCGGCAGATCGCACGCACCACGAGTCTCGTCGAACTGGAGGCCCTGATCGCAGTAGAGGAGCGTCGGGATGCGGGCGCAGGCAAAGTATCCATTGCAGTCGAGCGGGTGGGGCACCAGTTCGCCATCCGGACGACCGACACAGATCTGCAAACAGGCAGCTGGCTTTAAATGGGAGCCCTACATCCGCAATACGGAATACGGAATACAGAATACGGGACTGCTACTCACGTGGCTCAAGTCACCCATTGCGGCCTGAACCTGCGGCTGTCTGCCCCGATCCACGGCATGGCCGGCTCCATGGCGGAGACAGATGATGCCCAAGACAAATGCCAAAGAGCATTGCATTTCAGTTGTGGCACTTTGACGTGAATTTCGATACAGATTCTGTTTGTGTTTCGGCACCACAATATGGTGGCGCCTCTCTGTGTGCTCCCCTTTTATACAGTCGATCCGCCACAGCGGACCGCTGGGTGCGGCCATTGTCAGAATTAATCGAAAACTTGTGTTTGCAATCTATGTGCTGCGATCTGCCTCTGCCCCCAGCCTCTGCCGCAGATCTTGAACATCAAACTTTGTATACTAATTTCCCGATGTCGGTGTACTCTGATTTTCGGCGAGGGTAGGCACACGGGTAGGCACACGGGTAGGCACACGAGCACAATACGAGTGTGTCATATTCTATTCCGGTATGACTCCCTGATACCTTGGGGCTGATCCATTGAAATTGAATGAATGCATCAAGTGATTTGCTTGTAAATGTTATTTAACTGAATATTTCAAATATAATACGTGTGTATACAAAGAGCACTTTGTCAAAGGATTTCATTGGTTTCCCCGGCACAGATCCTTGCCTCCGGTAATCGATAAATGTTCGTTAGAAGCATTACTTTCCATCGGCATCGTCTGCTGTTGTCTCATCTGGTGTATCTGCTGGTTTATCGGTGGTTCCGTCGGCTGGTTCATCGGTTGATCCGCCATCAATTGTTGCACCATAGCAAGCTCCGTTGTTACTCACATACTGGTCGAAACCGTTCGAGGTCGAAAGACAGGCCTGCTGGCTTTCGTTGAAGTAAAAATCCTCCTTGCAGGTCTGGAGTGTGGCCTTGCCATTGTTGCAGTAGTAGTAGGAGGCGCAGGTAGTACTGTTCACGGCATTCACCCATGTCGTGGTGGCAAATTGGCAGCGATTGCATCCCTCGACCGGTGTGGCTGTCCTACGCGGCTGACAGGATTTCGACCTAGTATCATAGTAGTAGCCATAGCTGCAGTCATTCGACACCCAAGAATTTCCATTGCATATTTGGTAGCTGCCGCAAATGTTGGCGTTGGCCTGGAATTCGCCTTTGATTGTGCAAACCGTTGAGGCAGTGCCCAGGTCGTTCTCCGTGACTCTGCTGCACACGTTGCCGGTGTCGTAGCCACAGGTTCTAGTTTGCACGTCGAATGCCTGAAACAAGGATAAACAATAAATAAGATCTTTAAGTACAGTGACAGTGATCAAGTTCCGTGGCTCCGTGGAATCTGAACTCACTTCTGTTGCACAGTCGTTCGTCTGAAGCGTGCCGTCTGCTTGGCAATAGTTCCATTTTTGGCAGTTTTTGGTGTCGCCGAAGTACTGGCCGGGCGGTACAACTTCGCAGACACTCTGCAGATTGGGTTCACCACTGGTGTCAACGAGGCCGGGGTTGCAGTTGCCGTAGACACATTGCTGGGAAAGCTTGTCGAATTCCTGTGTGCCCTTGCAGGAGCCCTGTCCCTTGTTGACGCCGTCCAGGCAGTAGTAGTATTGGTTGCACGTTCCCGTAACGGGCACCCAGCTCTCGCCCGTCTTTCCCTCACATGGATTTTGGACGCCGTAGTAGCAGTTCGCTTGGCCCACTGGAGTGCAGGTGCCTGTGCTTACACTGAAGGCGTACCCGCTGCTACAGGTGTTCTTTACGGGTCCGGTGCTTCTGCACGTATAGTAGGTGCTGCAGTCGACGATGCTGGCCAGATTGGTGCCTGTCTGCACCACCGTGCAGAAGGCCGTCACGTTGTAATTGCCCTCCGACACTTCGTCGCCCAAGGCACTGCTCACCACGAGGCAGAGGATGGCAGCCGAGAAGAATTTGCCTGCGGATCGAAATTTTTTGTATTAAACGACACCAGTCCGACGGTAGGGGATTCACTTGCCTGTTGCTGTCATGATATCAGAGATGTCCGCCTGAACTAATACTGGAAGCTAGTCAGTGACTGAATATGGTGTTATCCCAGCGCCTGTCTTTTATACTTCTCTCTGTCACGGCGTTTCGCTGATGGCCAAAAATATATGTCCATCATATATTTTCTTAGAGCTTCTGCCAGGCGACGAGCCAATTGATAAGCGCGCAGTTAACAAGAACTAGTCATGATACAAGATACTGGAAACACGGTTCAATTTTATAACAATTTAATTCTATTGAATTATCATTGTTCTAATCACAGGCAAGAGACAAGCCGGGTCGGGCTATTCTCCTCGAAGACTACCATGAATGAGTGCAGACCCCAGCGACAATCAATGCTCGTTCATGTCAGGGACGTAACTTAATAATTAAAAAAACAATAACAAAAATAAGAAAAAGGCCACAGCCCAAGCAGAGATCAGGCGAAATGGTGGGTTGGCTCAACTCTAAATTATTACTCGTAGTTTTCCAGCGAATTAATAGTCCTCCCACGGCACTCCCAAGCTGTTATGATTAACCAAAGCAGTTAGCCGAAAGGGTCTTTTGACATCCCCGCCCTATCCTATCTGCAGATACTGTCTATAGCTATGTCTATAGCTATATATGTATATTATGTGAGTGTACAATCCGCACAGACAAAATGCTAATCTCGAATACTCAAGGGGCTTCCTTTAATTGCAATATTTGATAAGATAAGCAAAATCTTTATGCAGGCTTTGCAGTTGTAGTGGTGGAGTTAGAAGCTGACGTTGTTATTGTTGTGGTTGTGTTTGTGGCTGCCGTTGTGGCTGCCGTTGTGGCTGGCAGTCCAGACAATTTATCGGGATTGCAGAATGGGAATTGCGGCTCAGTTTCGTAGACGCAGCTGCCGTCATCCTCGTTGAAGTAGTAGTTGTCGGGACAGGTCTGAACCGCCTTCTGGACGCCATTGACGCAGTACAGATATTGGGAGCAAGTGCTGTTCGAGTAGGCATTCACAAAGGTCTTGGTGGAGCCCAGGCAGCGATCGCAATCATTCAGCGCCAGCATGCGGCTGACGCAATTTTTGGAGACGGTGTCATAGTACAAGCCAGTGGCGCAGGTCATCAGGGTGTTGGTGGTGCCGGAGCAGAGGTAGTACTGGTTGCACGCGGTTGCGTTCGTCGTGGCGCCAGTCGAGTTGCAGGTCGTTGGGGCTATGGATCCGGTAATGGTGGGATCGTTGGTAACCTGGGCGCAGGAGGTGCTCGTGCGGTAGCCACAGTTGCGTGAATTCACGTTGAAGACCAAACTGTTTGGGCAGGTGCCGCTGTGCAGCACGTTATCCTGGCAGTAGTTCCAGCCACTGCAACTGGAGGCGCTGCCGAAGTAGAAGCCGTTCTCGATTAGGGAGCACAGACTGAGAGCCACCTCCACGCTGCCGTTGTCCACGGTCGACAGCGAGCACGCGTACTGGTAGGCATACACACAGGCCATACTGGTGGGATTGAAGTTCTCGCCGGTGGGGCAGCTGCCGTAGATGGGGCCCGAGGCACTGCAGTACCAGTAGCCGGCACAGGATCTGCTGTCCGCCTGGAAGGTGCCCACCGCCTTCCCCAGACAGGGCTGGGTCTTGCTTGCACACGTGCTCTGCGAGGATGACACACACATCTGCGCGTCCTTGTCGAAGGACTGCCCGCTCGAGCAGCTCATTAAGGTTGCAGTCGCGCCCTCGCATTGGTAGTAGCTGGAGCAATCCGTTTGGCTGGACACGGACATGCCGTCGGGGACCATCAGGCAGAGGGCACTCATGTTCAGATTGGCAGCAGCCGGAGCCGTGCAGCCGCACAACAGCAGCAGGAGGGCGGCGAGCATCGATCCTTGACCTTTACCTATCCGAGATAAATCGATAATTCAGTACATATATATATATATATATTCGATGTGGACTTTAACACCCACCCATCATATTTGGAAATTTCTTCAGTGCGCGCTGCGGTAGCTTACGGTCGAACACTGTTGAGGAGCCTTTGCCCTGGCAGGCTTTTATATGGCTCGGATTCGAGCCGTATGCCGCTTAGCTGTCGGTGTAGGAATTGCCCGGATTGATCGACGACACGTCGACCACAAGACATGATAAATCGGACGTACCTCCCAACATATGGTCAACATTGTTTTGCATGATCGATGGCCGTTCACGAATCGAACCCATAAATAGGACGACTACGCAATTAGCGGAAATCCCACAAAAAGTAAAGCAAAGAAAAGTGTCTCTTCTGGCAACCATTTTTATGATAATAGTTCCCATTATTTATAGCCAATTGCTGCAGATATTTTTAAGCAGAAGGATGGCCAAGTTTGAACGCCGCAAGGCCTATACTTTTTTATTGATACGTTGCTCCATAATCAGATGTATTTTTAAAAGAACTGGTCATCGGAGCTTATTTATACCATGGTGTGTATATACATATGTATGTAGGTATATGTCTTATCAGGCAAACGACTTTCGAGTCAGGAATCAAAACAAGTTAGCAGAATAAACAATATTTGCTGCACCCCATATATATGCATATTTCAGCCATTTGTGTGGCTAAAAGGGCTTTTACATTCCATTTGTTTAACATACTAAAATACACCCAATGATCGTAGCATACAGAAATTTATTGCACAACACAATTTTCTCTTCTCAGGCTCGATCACAGGCAATTTGTATACCATCTGCATTTTATTCAACCATTCACATTAAATTCGCATTATCCGTATGATCGACTGACTCATTGTCCTCTGGTAACAAAGAACGCCTATTGGCCGATCCTCTATCTAATATTCAACTTGTAAATCTGATTTAGTTGATCGACCATTGATCGACATTGTTATTATCGACCCGCCCCGCCTCGGACTTCCCAAATATATCAAACATGTCAAATTAGGCTTTAGCAGCATTTGATAAAATAGAAATATGAATACGCTCAGCCCACCCATTTTAGCCGCTGACGACAGTTGCGACTGTAAAGTAAATGCTCATAAATTTATGGACCTGCGGTACGATCGAACCACCAGCCCACCACCGATCTGTTTCAGCGCTGTACACGAATATAAAATAAAAAAACCAGTGCTGTGCGCCTTCCAGTGGAACGTTATCGTTTCTACGAATTCAGCTTGGAGGAGCGTTGATACAGCATTTTGAGTCTCTTCCCATACCCCAGACAAGCAACATGAGTATGTAAAACCACTGAACGGCCGTTTACAAGAACCTCTGAAAGTCTAGAAATGATTTGCTAATTTTGTTTATTTCTTGCTGTGATTTATATTTATTCTGCGCTAGATGCGCGGATATTTGTGCTACTCGGACTAGCCCTGGTGCCACTGAGCAGCGCATCCTTTGATCCGAGTGTCATCTGCACGCTGGTCGTCAATGGGACGAAAATAAATGATCCCCGTGCCTGCAATGCCTGGATTGAGTGCGTCGATGGGAACCCAGTGGCCGGAACCTGTGCCGCTGGCCTCTTTTACGACAGAGAGAGCGAGAAGTGTGTGGACTCGGACAGCTACACGTGCGTGACGAGCGATCCATGTGCAGCGGTTGCCAATGGCTTCACCGCCGATCCGTACTCGTGCAACAATTACTACTATTGTTTGGAGGGAAAGGGCACGAAAGGGGTCTGTCCCACGGGAATGAACTTCAATGTCGGAACGGAGAACTGCATACGGAACTATCCCTGCCAGGTGAAGATGGACCCAGACAGCTACTGCAACATCCTGCCCGACGGCGTCTTCATCAAGGACTCCACCAACTGCAACGGCTGGCAAATGTGCTGGGACGGCAAGGTGCTCAATGGCACCTGTCCGGGCACCTTCTATTTCAGCGCCAGCTCCGCGCTCTGCGACTATCCGCAGAACGTGGATTGCGACATCGCCGATTCCCCGGTGATCGCCGAGAAGGGCGTCTGCGCCCAGGCTGGCGACTTTGTGTCCGATAATAGCACTTGCAATGGCTACTACTACTGCCACGAGTTGGAGTTGGACGGGCAGATGGCGCTGGAGCATGCCGTATGCTCCGACGGAAGGTTCTTTGTGGCCGCCAACGGTGGTGCCTGCGTGCCCCGCTCCATGGCGCCCTGCATCTACGACCGCTGTGTGGGTCTCGGCAATACGACCATTCAGCTGGCCAGCGAGTCGGATGACGAATGCAGGGGATTCTCCATATGCCAGGACGGAGTGAGCATAGGAAAGCTCACCTGCCCAGGCGAAGAGTACTTCGACGAGCTGACTCAGCGCTGCACTACGGAGGTAATATCTTATCCCGCCTGCCAGCTATCAGCCGCAGCTTCGACCCAAGTCGTATCGCAAGCAGCTATGAATGATGAAACGGCCGGGACCAGCCCCAGCCCCAGCCCCAGCGCCAGCGCCAGCACTGAAGCCTCGTGAGCAGCATACGCAATCGGTTTTAATTAGACAGTTGTTAGATACCTTTTGGCACGACAATAAATATGAGTCTGCTGTCAATGTCGGCCGAGTATTATCAATCTTAATAGCGATTAAGTCATTTGGCTTCCCTTGGCTAGATTTCTGTGTATCGATTGGCTACAACACTAATACAACAGGATCCGAACATGATGTCATACATTTGTGGCAATATGTACACAGTTTTCGATGCCACATTCCAATTAGAAGGAGTTAGAATTACGGCTACAATTTAGATCTAAGATCAATCAATTAACCTTCATTGAACCGGCTCTGAACCTTCTCCAAACGCAGCTTGCTGTATGCCTCGGGGCCCGGGGAATCCCAGTAGAAACTTCTACACAAGCTATCGCATGACTAGTGCCAGCTATATTTATTTCTGAGAATTTCCCGCATATCGGAGACTAATTTTGATTTATTTCAAAATGTCAAAATGTGTCTACACATTCAATATAATCTAAATGAGTTCGCATCTATCTAAAGCTCACAATAGATGCCAAATAAATGTCTGTAATCAAACATTTTTGAGCCAGATTTCTACTGGGCGTAGTTGCAGCGGATGTTTGCCCACCTGTTCAGGTTCCAGTCAGTGGCAAGATCGGAACACGGAAATAGTATCTGTCAAAGTCAGCAGCCTCACATGGTGAATCTGTTATCGGGCTATCAACATAACGGCAACGAATTCTTCGAACCCGAAACCTGGCGACGGGGGTACTCTTTTAATTAAAACTGATAATGCCTGGGCACTTGAACTGTAACGAAGAGCGATTGCCAAAAGCGTTATTTTATGGTATGCGGCGTAATTTGATGGGGAAGGCCGTACCCGTAACCGTACCCATACCAAGGAACTCTTCTGGAAGTAACCTTATCGAACCAGCAAATGAACATTTCCTGTCCCCATCCCCCGTCAAGTCCCATCAGTCCCAGACAACAGCAGGAGGAGTATGCAAATCATTTGTGTAGGAGGATGCTTGTGCCTAAACCCGGACACGGACCGTGTTTCCTTCGTGTCACCCCGTGCCCCCCTTGGTTATTTGTTATTGATTATAAAACGGCGTCGCTATTGGAAGGAATTGGAATGCATTGTTGAAGTTTAATATTAATAAAAGTATGCAACAAAAACAAATAAAAGAAATTACAATTTGACGTATTGGACCGTGTTCAGAAAATTTTTAATCGTGCATTTGAGTCCATGACCATCGCTACTTGTGACCTCCACCATGTTACGGATACGGATACGGATCGGATCGGATTATTATAATTTACGGCTGACGGGTTAGGCAATCCTGGGCGAGCAGGCAATGTAGTGGTTGTTGGTGGGCGTGCAGCCCTGGCTGCGCTCATCGAAGTAGTAATTGTCCGGACAACGGCCGGTGCCGGCGGTGACGCCGCCCGAGCAGCGGGCATATTTCTGGCAATCATCGGCCACGTTCACGTAGGACATGTTGTTGCCCACGCAGCGGTCCAGCACGCAGCGAACGTTGAGACGGTCGCGGCAGGAGAGCTTCTCGATGTCAAAGTACTGGCCGAGGGCGCAGCTCAGGTGCTGGGGCTGCGTGTCGTGTTTGCCCATGACGGGTTTGCCGCAGATGTAGTAGTGGCTGCAGGACTGATCATCCGCGTAGTAGCCACCGGTGCTGTTCAGGCAGAACGTGTTCTCCGGCTCCGGCAGGGCGGCCGTGGCGTAGCAGGCCACCTCCTCGACGGGCACGCAGTAGCCCCTGTTGACGTCGTAGGCCTTCTGGGCTGCACACTCGCGGCTGTGGAGGATATCGTTGACGCACTCGTAGTACCGCTCGCAGTGCTCGGTGTGGGCGAGGCGCGTATTGTTGGCCAGGGAGCGGCATGCCGGGCTGGTGTGCTGCGTCTGGCTCACCGGGCACGTGTACTGGTTGTGGTAGACGCAGGAGCGGGATCTGGGATTGAAGATCAGCTCGTTGGGGCAGTTGGCGTGGATCTGGGCGCGGCCCTGGCAGAGGATGTAGCCGCGACAGTCGCTGCTGCTGGCGTCTTCCAGGAAGGTGCCGTCGGTCTCGTTGGCGCACATGTTGACGGGAGAGGCGACCTCCAAGCCCGTGTAGGGACAGCTGACGCTGGAGGCCAGGTTGCAGCGGCCCAGCTGCTTGTTGTAGAAGAGGCCGGTGGCGCAGGCGCCGTGCTCCAGACTGGTGCCGTTGACCTGCGGACAGGTCACCCAATTGTCACAGGTGGTCGGGCGCAGGAAGCTCGTCTCCCACGGCAGCAGGGCGCACATCTCCTGGACAGACAGATACTCGAACTCGTCGATCGTATTGCCGGCCAGGGCACCGGCCGCCAGGCAGGCCAGCGCGAGCAATGGCAGGATCCCCCTAGCTGCATTGGAGAAACACCGGAATGAACAGTGAAGGGTGACGAATGAGAGGGCTGAAGGAGTGGACGGCATCCTGCCACATACCTTGCTTCATGGTGTATATCCTTGCGGAGGAGAGTTTCGGTATCGGTATCCTTGAAGTTTGACTGCGGTACGTTCCCTTGTGAGCAGCAACCAGAAGACGAATGATGCGCTGTCAGGGGGCCATCAGCCCCTTAAATATGCAAAGACCATTCTGCTCTTTTGCTTCGGCGAAAAACAATTTCCAAAATGCACCTGACTGTGGAATCGCTTGTCGCGGTGTCTGATATCTCAATCAGAGGCACTGATAACGTTCGCACTCTGATGTACGATAGCGAGAAGCATGTAAATTACACGGCATAACATTGTCATTGGTCTCATTGGTCCCATTGGCACTCGCGACGAGAACCAGCGACACAAAAGACAGGCAAACACCATCATCAATATGCTCGTACGTGCACGTAGAATATGCGATATCGGATTGATCTCCATGCCATGCCATGCCATCGATAGGCAGATTGGATGTCTCCAGATGAGAGTGATGAGAGCCGTGGCATTGATATTGCCATTGAACTGGCGAGAACATCGATCGGCAGTGGAGTGGAATGTCAAACGACGAAGGGAAATTGAATTACTTAGAATACACCGCACTGATGCAATCTTGATTGTTTTTTTTCCCCCCCATTTTATGCTGTATTGTTCTTGATGGTAGTATAACATTTTTGTTTTGGAAATATTCATATTCATTCATTTTTGATGTACCACTAGGTGCAAATATTTGCATATTTCTTATTTATAAATCCCTAATTATAAGCATCATTTAAGCATTCTCGTAATTCACTTGAAATACTCAGCTGCCAATAGCCTCGCTGCAAATATCTTTGAGCAGTGTCCGCCCCCTAATTAATTAAAGTCTATTCTTTATTTTCCCTATCTTTTCTCAGACAGAAATTTTCACTGTAATTGAATGGGTTATAGAATTCCTACGATTGCATACAATCTAACAGCATGTGTAGCATCCCAATCAAATGAAAACTAAATTCCCATTGAAGCTATCACCGCTACATAGCCACCGAAGCTCAGTCGAGTATGATATTCCAACGAATAATTTTGAATACTTAAGTCGCACTACCGCCTTAGGCTATTTCACCCCATTATTAAATCTTAATCTTAATGTAGTTGATATACCTTTTCATTGCCGCATAGAGCATTTATTTGGGATTAAATTCATTTGAATTGCTTTAAACTGATTAAGCGCAAATTGCGTAGGCAGGCTTTGTCGATGTGCATATGTTATTCACTTCATCGTAGTATGGGTTCGAGGCGGGACAGGAGGCTATAGTACCGCTCGCGCAGATTTGATATTCATTACAAGTTGTTCCACTAACAGCCATGAATGGGGAATTAACATTGCCGCAACGACCGTTGGCCACTGTGCAGTCGAATGCAGCGGGTGAAACGCAAGTCTGATTAGTAGGATAAAACTGGGTTCCAAGCACACACGAGTTCCAAGTTCCAGCGGCTGTTGTTGATGTACAGTAAAAATATCCATAGCAGGTTTTATTATCTGCCACATAGAAATAAGCAGCATCGCCAATGGCTGTACCGCCCGCGCAAGCACCAGCAACTTCCTGACCAACACTGTAGATACTGCCTGAAGGACTACTACCACTATTGCTGGAATCACCAGTGCATGGGTTGGTTGGTTGGCAATATCCATTGGCCGGGTTGAAGTACGGGCTTTTGGTGGGACATTGTCCTGGAGTGCCGTATCCGCTGTTGCACTGCAGATAGGAGCCGCAGGTATTTGGATCACCGACGAAAATATCATTTTTCATAAAACGACAGATGGTGTCCTGAGGACAAGACGGTCCCCAAACACAAGTATTGTTGTTGGCGGCATAGACGCCGCCGGTGGTGCAGTTTCCGTATCCAATGGAGCCGTTGCCGAAGCAGTAGCCATACTTGTTGCAATCATTGAGCACTGCCACATACATGGGAGACGTTGCGGCCTTGCATGTCGCCTCCGCGCTGGTGGTGCAAATGGTTGAGTTGGCAAATCCGCAGGTCGAGGTCTGGGCATTGAAGACGAGGCCGTTGTTGCATTTGTTCCACGACACCAGCTTCTGGCCCTGGCAGTAGCCCCAGCCATGGCAGTCGCTGGGGTCGCCCACATAGCCGGAGCCCGACCACTGGGCGCACAAATCCTCCATCGAATAGCCGGCAGCATGCCCGGCCAGCAGCAGACAGGCCGCAAGGGCGCAGATCTTCATATTGAAACCTGCAAACGAAGAGGGAGAGAAGCGAGAAGAAAGTCGATTTAGTTACGGTTTAAAATGACACGCTGTCCTCGCCATCAGCCCAGCCACGAGCCCTACCTCCCATTCGGATCGGACTTGGAGTTAGTTACGGCTGATTCGCTCGGTATTCGATATTCCACGTGAGACAACGATGCTGGTACTAGCCTGGCCAGAAGCAGGCTGTGCGCTTTTATAGGGCACAGCCTGGCGGCGCGATAATTAAAAAACTGTCAGACACTCCAGCAGCCGCGCAGATAAGCCATCCACAAGCAACGCAGAATATCGTACTTGTAATTAAAATTCAATTCGCAGTAAGCGAAGTCGCAGTCGCAGCCGGAGTCAGAGTCAGAGTCAGAGTCTAGCGATAAGATTTGTGCCCGTGCCCTAGGTGGAGGGACTAGGGTAAACCACGCACCTTCCATCCTTGTACTTTTACTCGTACTGGTAGGCCCCGTCAGTGGCGTTGCGTTGGACGTTAAATGTTATACTAGCGGACTCGGCCACCGAAGACCGCCTTTTAAGCTTTTAATCGGCACCTGGACAACGCACCCTGTCCGTGTATTAGTGGCTAGCTATTTTGACATGACACTCCTGACGGAGGCGGAGGCGGAGACGGAGACGGCGACCGAATTCGGATAATCAGAGACTGATTGCGTGCGTTTTCTTTGTCTATAATTGATTTTTAATTCAATGGCATGGCACTTATTGATCACTTCACTCGGTATCTCGCTTGTTTATTTTTTTTCACAGTCACACAATAACACTGTCGCCGTTACGCTGCCTATCTAAACTTTAATTTTCCAGCGATCCTTAGTCTATCTTTCTCTCTCTCTCTCTTATAGCCTAAAAATGGACATATTTTTAGATATTCGCTCACTGCATGGTACCCAAATTTTAGGCTACTTTATCGCTTATTAATTAATATTGGCTGGCAGCGACATTTGTCATATTGATAAGCCCTGAACTTCTTTGAAAAAGTCATCTGATAAATAGAACTATGCAAATATCCCTTCAAATAATAATAATGGCTTAATTGGGAAATTAAATACATTTCCAAGAAATCCAAAGGGATTCATGGCTAGCATAAAAATAAAAATAATAGTCTCTTGTTTGTGTGGTGCGTTGGTATTATCCGATCAAGACTTGTTTTATTGAATCGATAGATACTGTCCATATGTACATATGTATATTTAACAGTCCCAATCTTTGTTTGCTGTCGTTGAATGATTGATCGCCCGTTGAGTAGCGGGCATGGCATTCTTATCTGCAGACCGGAATGCTTCCAAAATTCTCCGTTGCCCCTAAAAGCAAACTTTAAATACCAAAATATGATAGACCCAAAAATATGCACCGACAGATCGTAAGTGTGTACCCTATAGTTCGTTGGGTTATGAATCAGAACTAAACCCTAGAAGCCAGTCGAAATGCTCCTATGCTCTTTGTTCTCCAGCACTCGTACACAAGTATCCCTTATTGATGATTCGCATCTGCATGTGGCATATGAGGCATGGGGCACCAAGGTCCTTTGTGCTTTTGTGCGGATTCGAAGAATGGCTTACAGGCGACAGCTGATCGAAAACCTATTGCTTATTTTGAAGCTCATCCTCTGCCAGTTATATATTCTGATACTCGTATTACAAATTGTCAATGTCAATTATATAAAATAAATATAGTTGTCACTGCGATTTACCTGTCACTCGAATCGGCAGTAAGCACGGGACCTCCATTCGAAACAAAATAATTCTTCAGTGTTTATGGAGTGGGAGTAATTGTTCTACATTTGTATATTAATAGAGATGTGTACATTCAGGCGATCCATAAAACAAAATGAAGAAACCAACTTCAGCATTCAAAAGTAGCTTAAATGAACCAATGCTCCAGGCTTAGTCTACGAGTATTTTGTATACCCCATATTCGATAACATTTCAGAGGGTATTTTAATTATAGCTCCTAAAGTACCTTATCTTTCTGTTTATACCCTTGCAGAGGGTATAACGCATGCCAAGAAACCACACAGAAGCCATGAACTAGAAATATATGTATGTAGGTATACATGTGTATACATTGCTGAGCAACCAAGACGACACTCCCAGGAGCTATGCTTTGTTCAGCTCCATCTTATGAGAAGCCGAGTAGCCCATCCCATAAACGAATATTTGAGCTGCAGGGTGTTTACACTTCCACATAATCAAAAGCTAAACAGCTGCCCACAATGGTTACTGATCCTTTGATATGTGAGGTAACAAAGCAAATCGACGTGGGAATGGTGCGCCCAGCTATAGCCATTAGTTCGGCACCAGTCGCACTGCGGAGCACATCGTTCTACGACGACTAAGAGTGAAGATCGCATTGTACAATGCAGAATGGTGGGTACCGTCGCGCGGGTAGATTTGACAGAGTAATAAATCGACTTGCCTTGCAGCATTCGGAGCACACCTTGACCTGGCCGTGGTGATGGGCCTGGCTATGCTGATGGTTCTGGCCTGTCCCGTGGCTGAGGCACGGGAGGATGACATTTGCAGGCTGTTCTCCAACGGCACGGTAATCCGTGACCCCGACTCCTGCAGTCAGTACATCACCTGCATTAACTTTGTCAGCATCTACGGCAGCTGCAGCGGCTCCACGCCGTTCTTCGACAAGGAGAAGGGAGCGTGCGCAAAGACACTGGCTGACGACTCGTCCTGTGCGGTTTCGTGTGTGAATGCCACCAGTCAGTTTGTGGCCGACCCTAAGTCCTGCTACGGATACTATTACTGCCTGGACCAGGAGACGCCCATGTTCGGCACCTGCCCCCAGGAGACGCACTTCAACGCCACCACCCAGACCTGCACGCGACTCTACGAGTCGGAGTGCACCGCCAGCGATTTTGAGTACTGCAACATTGTGAAGAACAACGTGAATTTCGACAACCTGCAGTCGTGCGCCAACTACCACGTGTGCGAGAAGGGGGTCCTGAAGACAAAGACCTGCTCGTCCCAGTACTATGAGGCCAGCACCGGCGCCTGTGTGGCCAAGTCCCAGGTGAACTGTGTGGCCCATCCGCTGCCCAGCAATGTGTGTGGCAAAGACAGCAAGCCGTATGCGAACAAGTTCGTCTCGGATGCGGCCACATGTCGGGGATACTTCTTCTGCGCCGCTATGCCGGACAACACCCCGGACCGCAATCCCACCTGGAACCACTGTCCCCAGGACACCTTCTTCGACGCCAGCACCGAGACCTGTCGCAGCCCCAATCTCGTGAAATGCACCGAAGATCGCTGTGACGGTCGTTCGCTCCCGTTTGTGCTTAGCAACACCAAGGGCTGTCGCAACTATCTGCGCTGCAGCGAGGGCATAACTCTGGACGAGATGTCATGTGGTAACCTCTTCTTCGACGAAGCAAAGGGCGGCTGTGTCCACAACGTTGTCTCCTATAGCATATGCACATAAACTGCAGATACATATATAATAAAGCTCATCAATTGATTTTGTCTGATGCTGTTTTGAGGGCTATTTCTAGTGGATTAATTAATCATAAAAAAAATTTTCAAGGTTTCCACCTGCTGCATCGCCGGATGCCAACTAGACTTTTGAACAGGGGCTACCTACTCTTAACTGGCAATCGCTTATCCATAGGTACATACATACATACATATTGATTTTTAATGAAATGAAATCTAAGACCTGCTGGTTAGGACTTTATGACTATGGCCACAGTTCACTGTTCACTGTTTCACTTTCGTTTTGGCCATCATAAAAGATAATGGCGCTTTCGATTTCATGGCTAACAATCAGGGCTTGTTTGGAAACTGTTTGTTCTGATTACAATACAAAAAAAAAAACCCAAAAACAATTGAGTTTTGCCATATCACGAGGCACAATAACCACACAATCAGGTTGTGACTGGAGTACCGTGATTTATAAATATCAATTAATTAGCAGCCAATAAAATGGTATTTGCGATCAGCGATCAGCGATCGGAGATCTCTGCAGAAACACAGTCATTCTAGCAAACTACAAGCACTAGTTTCGCATTGAGGCTTTTTAATTAGTGTGGATTGTTGGTTGGTGGCTGCAGTGGCACGGAGAACACAACACCAAGAGGCACGCCAGAGCAGAGCCATTGGCTGTACAACAAGTGGAGTAATATATCAATGGCTTTGCGCACTTTTGCAAGCATTGATAAGATTCGCGCACCTGCTGTTAATGGGGCAATAAAGTGTACTGTACAATATAGTGGCATGTATATACATATATATATATGACATCGGTATCAGTAGCAACAGCCGTGTTCCCCTTCTTCAATATAAACTTTTCCCCATTTAGTAATCTCCATTTAGTTGGCAGCAATTGCTACTAGTGGCCACACCACTTCAAATACTTGATATTTTTGTCTTCTGCAAATTCAACGGAGTTCCCCAATAATTAGCAAAAATGCTATGTAAGTTTTTATCTGCTTGCAGTCCCAAGATTATATAAATAGAACATAAAACCAAAAGAGATTACCTGTGGGAGGGGGAACTTGAATACATGGTACTTCCATATTCTGATCTCTCTGTCCTTCTCTTCCGTTGCAGCGCGAAGCGCTTTTGGAGTGATATTCGGAGCATGCCTCCTGGTATTCTGCCTGGAGGCTATCTCGGCGGCCGATGGCGATTACTTGGAGCTGTGCCGCCTGGTCAAGAATGGCACCAACATCCGGAAGCCCGGCACCTGCGACGAGTACATCCAGTGCATCGACGGCGAGGGCATACTGAAGTCCTGCGGTGGTAGCACGCCCCAATATAACAGCAGCAGCCAGGAGTGCGTCAAGGCGCTCACCAACAGCCACCTGTACTGCGGCAATCGATGCGAGGGCCGCAACGGCACCTGGGTGTCCGATCCGACCCAGTGCGAGCAGTACTTCTACTGCAGCGAGGGCGTGCCGCTGCGAGGCATCTGCCCCAATGGCCAGCACTTTGACGAGACGAGCCAGGCGTGCCTGCACAGAGTGGACTCGCAATGCGTGGACGTGGCCAACATATGCGAGATACTGCCGGACAAGACCAGGTTTCGCTACGAGGACGACTGCAGCTACTACTACGAGTGCAAGGACACCAAGCAGTCGCTGGTTAAGTGCAGCACCAAATCGAAGCTCTACTTCAATGTGGAGACCGGCACCTGCCAGGCGCCCAATCTGGTGGCCTGTACTGCCCACTCCAAGGACGGGGTGTGCGCCGCCAGCAGTAGCCTTGTCTACAAATCAGATGGAGCCACTTGTCGTGGATACTTCACCTGCAAGCCCTTCGGCACCGTCGCCGACCTGGATCCGCTGTGGGGCCAGTGCCCCGAGGGCCACTTCTTCGATGAGAAGCGCCAGATATGCGCCAAAGCCACCGATGTGGTGTGCACCAACAACCGATGTGACGGCAGGGGCACCATGCTGGTCGCCAGCAGCAGGAACTACTGCCACAACTACATCGAGTGCGTCGATGGCGTCGAGGTGGCGGAGAAAATCTGCCACTTTGATCACTTCTTCGATGAGGTAATTCAGGCGTGCAGCAGCAAGATAATCTACGACAACTGCTGTGACGAGCAGGAATAGAGAGAGAGAGAGAGTAACTCCCGAAAGATCGCATCATAATTACAGAATGAATCACAGACACGGGGCGTGTTTTTTCTCTGAGGCGGGGCAGTCTGATATCAACATCTGCAATTTTCGATGGGACTTTCAGATTTGAATGATTAATTCACCACCGTTTCAGTTAGTAACAGTTTTCCAGTGTGCCCATGTTACGGACTGTTGTGAGCTTCTGTTGCTTTTAGTTTATGTGGACCTTAGTGTTTAAGCCAAGCCTTATTTTCTAAAAAATCCGATAAAAGGGAAGCCAATCTTGCGGAATTTTGATTCATCTATAGGATAAATTATATGTTCAGTGATGATGACTGATGAGGATCCTGGCAAGTTCGTCTTTTAATCGGTTTATTTTGGTATATTTCTGGGGTATATTTTATCTCATACTTCAACACAAAAATGAGTTGGAGCGTTGCGTGGTTTTTGTAGCTTTGTTAGCACAGTTGTTTTAGCTTCATTGTTTGAATCCAATCTTATAAGTAAACCAACAAAAAGATAGTCTCTTAAAATTATATATTCAGTGCTGAGAGTCCTAATTTGCGTGTAGATCAAATATCAAAATTGAGGAATATTATTTTGCTTGGTATATTTACGATATATTTTGATATTGAGAAGGTATTCTTTTGGTATATTTCTGAGGGTCAAGCGGGTATATTTGATCGATAAGTCCGCGGTCACACTGGACGAAAAAGCGATTGAAAATTGAAAACAAATTCGGCTATCACTAACTAGCCGAACTGACGTTCGAAACTAAGCCACAAACCGAATCTAGTCGATTATTTTCGCAACAAGTCGTACCAAAGTGAACGCATCCGATCCCCAACCGCCAGGCCATTCCATTCGCATGGTTCGTCGCCACCAGAACGTGTACCAAAAACCAAGTTAATTAAAGTTGAGACAATATTTTGAGATGCATCGGACCCTGCCCCGCCTCTAGTCGCCCGTTCCGGCTCAGTTGTGCGCGGGTCAGTGGCCCTCCTCCTGCTCCTGATCCTGACCTGACTGCCTACCCGTCCCCTTCCTCGTAAGTGCCGCCATCTATGTATCCATCTTTGTTGGGGCCGCATTTAATTTCGTTTGTGCAACGATACAAGACGAAGAACACAGAATTGCAATCGCCGACTCCTGGAGGATTCGGAGGAGACCTGCGATGAAGCCAACCCTAGCCACCGGCGGTAGCAGCAGCGCCAAAGTGCCCGAACCCATCGACTACGTGACCCTGATCAGCGACGACTCCGATGGTGAGCCGTCACCGAAGAGGACAGCTCCTCTACCGGCAACCACTCCTGGCACCAACAGCCAGAAGCTGAAAATCCACGATGACGACTCTAACGATGCCCCCGCCACCAGTGCCAGTGCCAACGATGAACGCCGCACGAGTCGGCGCAACAAGCCCAAAGTGGACTACACTACAAACAAGCCCAGCACGAGCGGCGAGGCGGCAGGCAGTGAAAGGGGCAGCGCGGGACCCACGAGAAGCACCAGCAACCCGCCGGGGGAGAAGCGCGTCCAGGCTCAGGTACAGTCGGAGCCACGCTCTCGGAAATCAGACACTGCTGCTGCTGGGTCATCTGCGGGCGGGAGTTCAGCCAACACGGGCACGCGCAGTGCCCCATCCACAAACGGGGAGACACGGAACCGAGATATGGGCACGCCCACAGTGCTGACAGGGGAGGAGGGGGCTGTGTTTCAGTCCCGCCTGCCCTTTGGAAAGATGACACCCAACGAGGAGGCCTGCTTTCCCGACATCAGCCGATCGGGCATACTGGGGCACCGCGTTTTCCTCAACATCCGCAACAGTCTGCTCCACATGTGGGTGGACAATCCGAAGCTGCAGCTCAGCTTCGAGAGCGCGCTAAAGGCACTGCCGCCGCCCTTTGACAGCGAACCGAACCTAGTGCGGCGCATCCACTCGTTCCTGGAGCGACATGGGTTCATCAACTTTGGCATATTCAAGCGCCTGGTGCCCATTCCGACCAAGAAGCTGGGCAAGGTGATTGTCATCGGTGCGGGTATCTCTGGTTTGGCCGTTGCCCAGCAGCTGCAGCAGTTCGGCATGGACGTCATTGTGCTGGAGGCTCGAGATCGGATTGGTGGACGCATTGCCACATTCCGGAAGAACAGCTACATAGCGGACCTGGGGGCCATGGTGGTGACGGGCGTCTACGGCAATCCGATGACCATATTGAGCAAGCAGATCGGCATGGATCTGGTGCCCATACATCAGACATGTCCGCTCTACGGCCCGGACGGCAAGCCAGTGCCAAAGGAGAAGGACGATGTCATTGAGCTGGAGTTCAACCGCCTGTTGGAGTCGGCCAGCTATCTGTCCCATCGCCTGGACTTCAACTACGCCGGCAACTGTCCCGTGTCGTTGGGCGATGCGCTGGAGTGGGTCATAAGCATGCAGGAGATGCAGGCCATGAACAAGCGGGCGCAGCATATGCAGGATATCATTGCTGCCCAAAAGAAGATCATCGAGCACCAGAAGCGGTTGAAGGCCGTCAAGCAGACCATCGACGCCCTCAGAACCGAGCACATATCCATGGTGACGAAGCGCTGTCCAAAGGGTGTCGAGAGCGACGCGAGCTACGCGAGACAGGAGTACAACATTCGCCACACCCAGGTCAAGCTGGACGACACGGTCAAGCAGTTTACGGAGCTCCACGAAGAGAACAAACAGATGGTCGCCAAGCTCCACGAGCTGGAGCAAAACAAACCCAGGTAAGTGGCTTGCTACCTTATTGATTCCACTAGAGCTGACGCTTTCGAGTATTTTCCAGCGATGTGTACCTGAACACCCGCGATCGCCTCATTCTGGACTGGCATTTTGCCAACCTGGAGTTCGCGAATGCCACACGACTGAACAACCTGTCACTGAAGCACTGGGACCAGGACGACGACTTTGAGTTCATTGGCCACCACACGACCGTTCGGAATGGCTACTCTTGCGTGCCCGTAGCGCTCTCCGAAAACCTGGACATACGCGTCAACAGCGCCGTCAAGGAGATCAAGTACGGCCCCAATGGCATTGAGATTGTGGCCGAGAACATGAAGACCAGCAACTCTGTGATGACATACAAGGCAGACCTTGCTGTCTGCACACTGACGCTTGGGGTGCTGAAAGTAGCCGTGGCCGAGGAGGAATCCCAGCAGAAAAACACTGTCAAGTTTGAACCGCCGCTGCCAGACTGGAAGCGGCAGGCGATACGACGCCTGGGATTCGGGAATCTGAACAAGGTGGTTCTCTGCTTCGATCGCATCTTCTGGGATCCCAATGCCAATCTCTTCGGCCATGTGGGCAGCACCACTGCTAGTCGCGGTAAGTGACAATCACAAGTACCCACAACAATCACAAGTATTTGCTAATCGCGTATGATATAGGGGAAATGTTTCTGTTCTGGAGCATCAGTTCGTCACCAGTGCTGTTGGCTCTGGTCGCCGGGATGGCCGCCAATATTGTGGAGAGTGTCACAGACGACGTCATTATCGGACGCTGCATGTCAGTGCTGAAGAATATTTTCGGCAATACCGCTGTGCCTCAGCCAAAGGAGACGCTGGTCACGCGCTGGCGCAGCGATCAATGGGCTCGCGGTTCCTACAGCTACGTCTCTGTGGGCTCCTCCGGGAGTGATTACGACCTGTTGGCAGCGCCCGTCATACCGCCGCCTGTCAGTGGGCAGCGCTCGAGCAAGGACTCTGAGGGGCTTCCACGGCTCTTCTTTGCCGGCGAGCACACGATACGCAACTATCCTGCCACAGTACATGGGGCCTACTTGAGCGGTCTGCGCGAGGCCGGCCGTATTGCCGACTACTATCTGGGCTATCCGGAAGGCACGCCGCCCAACATCGGCTACTCTGTCGCAGAAGCGGCCAATGCCGTCTGTGTTGGCAATGTTGTCAAGCTGCGCGACTTCTCGCCCAATCTCTCCGACTCGCCAACGTCAAAAAAGTCTGAGGAGAACTCTAACTCAAACACTGCCGAGCCCGAGCCGACGGAAGTGCCGTAGCTCGCTAGCGTATGTACATGTACTGCGAGTAGTGTGTAGTGTAAGTGTTTCAACTAGCGCAATAGAACCATCAAATAAGCCATTTAGTTAAGGAGCTGTTGTAATCTTGGATCTGTAACTGTTTAGTGTGTGTATTATAGAATCGGCTTTGCTATACGATAGGACAAGTTTCAGGATAAGCTAGACCTATGTAAATACCTAAGACTATTCCAGCACATTTGGATAATGCTAGAAACCATTCAACAAACTATTTTATTTAACAATTAGGTAACAACAACACAAGCAATATCATCGAACTCATCATAGTAAAATATCTTTCAGTGACAGCAGCCCGAACAGCACTGCTATCGGCTTGGTATCGATCTTAATTATGTATGTCCTCTCATGGGCTGAAAAATCTCCATCACTTCACATAGCTTCATATTCATATTCAGATGTTAAAGCCATCAATCGAAGGCAGCCAATATTTCTTCGCGTTTCCTTCTATTTTTAGTCTGTTGAAATCTGTTTGCCATCGATATGGCTTTCAGTGATAGCATCCCCATCTAATTAGAGTTCGTATTCCTATGATAATATCGTATCCCTGTCGTAGGTATATGCATGTACATATGTAATAACAAAACATTTAAGGCACAAATTAGTATACATATACATAGCTAACACACTCTCTAAGGTTTTAACTGATCGAAACTTATTTTAAAATGAATAAACAAAACTTGAATGAAACAAATAGGGGGTAAAATATTGGCAATATACATTTTTGTTGTTATGTATATTCTTTTTTTTACAAATAAATAATAATAATATAAATGTTAGCTGTACCTAATTCATTCGTTAGGTACACCTTCCGTCTGTGGCATACACTGGCAACAACACAGCATACCCAGCCATTAGGGGTATCAGAAAGCGAAACTATATTTTGGGTCTCTTGGGCAGTTGGACAATACGCATTGCTTTCGTAATTGTGTCGTCGGTTCAACGACCTCCGTTACGGTACCGTACCTATGGGCTTTCAATGGCAATGAAAGCTAAACCTTTAACCGAGCGAAAGCTCTCCCTCTCCTCTCAAGCTTAAACCTTGACTAGCAGAAAGAAATGCACAGAACCGATCGTATATTTGGCGAGCTTTTGGGAGAGTATATTGCACATTTGATTCGTCGTGTGTCAAGTTCATTGGCCGATTGCTTAGAAACTTACCCACCATATCTACCTTCCTGGTCCTAATAATCAATAGTAATTCTCGAAAAGCTCCCCGTAGAAATTTTTATGACGCGCGTTCAAGTTTTTGCTTTATTGTTGAATGGAATGCTCTTCTAACTCGTTGTATGCGAGTGTATGTGAGTGCACATGCATACAAGCTGTTGGAAGTGGCCTTGAGCCAGGTCATCGACATCGGCCGAAACTAATACTAGAAGCAGCTGAGGCGGAAACTCGGTATGTGATGCGCCTTCAGGTAGGGCGCCCCGAATGGGTTACCATCATAGCATATACATACACAAACGATAATCACGTGAGCTGCTATGGTGGGGGGTTCCCCGCTCACCGAACGCTGCTATGTATAGTGATTTCAGATCATTAGAAATTTGTTTTGTACTTTCAAGTATTAATGACAGGAGGTGGCGTTAACCCGTATCAGACGTGGATGCCAAAAAAATCGTTCAACTAATCACGGTTGAAAGTAACTTAATATCAAAAAAAAAAAAGTATTAATGACTCTGAGTCTAAGATCCTGAGCGCCGCTACGTCATTTCCGCCAATACAGCATCACCATCACCCCCGTCTCCACACTCCGACACGGTCGACTCTCACACCACCCACGATGCAGCAGAGCTTAACTATCACCGTGAGCTTTTATATTCCCACCCAGCCAACTATAAAACCCGGAACGGGAGCTGCAGCAAGCCAGTCGCAAAGATACATTCATTCGGTGAGGCGACGAAGAAGCTGCAGAGTCTAACAACAACAAAACCATGAACGAGAGTGATAGTAATAGTGATGGTGAGCTTTCCAGCGCTGTGAGCAATGCTCTTCTTGCCCTATATCAACGCCACAATGTGCCGCTGGTCGCGCAGCCGATAGCAGGCGTCGGAGAGAATGCCTACGGTCAGGTCTTGCTAGTGAGTTGGCCAACAGAGTCCAAGGCGCAGAGGGTGGTGGTCAAAATGGCGCCCAAGAACGAGGCAAGACGACAGCACATGCACGTAGTCGACTTTTATGCCCGGGAGGTGTTCATGTACCAGATCGTGCTCCAGAGCTACCGAGAATTGGCGGACGACCATAGTACCTTCACAGTAGCACCTGCACTGCTGGCATCCGGACTGCAGGCGCCCGACGAGTTCCTGATCTTCGAGGACCTGTCCCAGAGCGGCTTTCAGACAAACCCACGCAGCTCCATGCCCACCTACGACATGGTGGTGGCCACGCTCAAGGCGGTGGCGGAGCTGCATGCGTGCTCCTTTATCCTACAGCAACGGAATCAGACAAAGTTCCACGAATTGGTGGATCATGTGCGGCAGGACAACCTATTCACTGCGAACGTTGAGACGGTGACGATCGAGTTTGGCAAGGCAATGCTCCGGCGCACTCGCCTCATGCTGGAGCAGGTCAACGCGGAGGACGATCACGCAACTGCTATGATGGAGGTCCTGGAACGCTGTGAGAGGAACCTGAAGGCCCTGGCACTGTACTGTGTGGACGGCGCATCGCAGTCGCCTCACGCGGTCATCTGTCACGGCGACTTCTGGAACAACAATATTCTGTACAGGCACGAGGTAGGCTCAAATTTCGTTTGATTTCAGTCGTTTTCCGAGTCTACACCAAATCTCATCTTCCTCACAGCCTCACTCCGATATGGCGATGGAGGCCAAGCTCATTGATTTCCAAATGTCTCGCTTTGCCCCGCCGGTACTTGACCTTGTCCACTACCTATTCGCCTGCACAGAGAAGCAGCTAAGGGATGAGCACCTACCCGCCTTTCTGAACATTTACTACGATACGCTGAGCCAGAAACTTGGTTCCTGCGATCTGACAGCGGACGATATCTATCCGCGCAGCGTCTTTGACCGTCAATTACAGCTCTTTGGTGTATTTGGCTTGATTATGGCAGCATTTTCCTTGCCCTTCTTCATATCCAGTGCCAGCGAAGTGGTCAACATTGATGAAGTCTCCGAGGCCATTCAGGATCTGTCTGCTTCGGCCACGGATGCCCCCAAGTGCCGCGAGCTTGTCGAAGAGTTTGATATGCTCAACGAGCGCACATTGCCCATTTTCAAGCGACGCATGACCGATGTTGTTCGGGACCTGATCAAGTACAAAATGACCCAGCCACTTTATCAATTCGATTCGTGATGATGATTTCTGTTAACAGTATTAGGTATTATTGTGTATATGTATGTATGGATGTACTTAAATAAACAATTATGTTATTATGTATATAAAGTTGCACATGGAGCTCTTAGATCGAATTATGAATGATTTGTGACTATACGCCGACAAATGAGATTCCCTCAGATGGCGGAATGGGTTAGATTTACAGTTGGTTTAAGTCTTAACAGTTACCTGTATGACCCACAATACAACATACATATATATATATAAATGATATTACTCTGGGTTTTATTCAGAGTCTATTAAAAAGAGTCTTAAGAAATTAGAAAAACTTAGAATACAAAATGCACTAACAAAATTGCGATGACAACTAAATTATCTGCACACATGGCTTTGCTTTGCTTTGTATGGCTAATACAAAATGATATATATACATTCTATATATATTTACACAAACTTGTAATGAAATTGAAAAGGAAAGGGGTTCGGTTCGTGTGTTAACTGGTTCGTTTGACGCATTGGACAGTTCGTTCGGTAATTCGGCATTGCACATCCATAAAATGGTATAAAAGATAAATGAAAATATTGTAACTTCATTACTGAGTGTGGTGTACCTAAGGTGGTTTTTGATATTCATGTATAAATTAGTACTTGTTAATCCATAGCTAAACGTAGCTACATTTTGAATCCTTATTCTATTAAAAAGTTAATGAAAATTATCCGTAATTATAAGGCCTACAGTAACTGCTACTCGTCAAGTTCAACCAGGTTCTACTCGTATGTTTTGATGTACTACTACTCTAAAATATTATAAAATTAACAACTCATTGAGTTTATTGCAGCGACGAATGTCCAGCACTCAGATACGTAGCCAAGACCTTGGCCTGCCACCTACTGCATTGACTCCCGGAAGCGGTTCTGTCGCTCCAGGCTCTCCACTTCCGCCCAGCAGTTGCGCATATTTCGGAACAGCTAAAATTACAAAATTATCAATGAAACAGGATTGCATGGGCGTTAGGCTGCCATCGAACTTGCCTCATCGATCCAATTATGCTCAGCCAGCAAATCGTTTAGTATTTCGGTGGAGGTCTTTCCAGGGAACTGCTGCTGTTGCTCCGTAACCCGCTGCGAGCAGTTGATGAACAGATTAAACTTCTCGTGAGCAATCTTGTGGAAGAGATCTGCACGTGCGGCACAAATGCGGCATAGAACAATGTCCTGCAGGAGAAAAGCGGTAAGGTAAGTCAGTGTGTAATGGCGAGTGGGTGGCTAGCGAATTTCGTACCTTCTCGTAGACAATACGAGGATCGACAGGTATGGTTTGCATGGTGTTGGGATTGTAGGGCTCCCCGAATAGAAGGAAGCGTACTGCGATGCCCGGCTGGCGGCAGCCGGCGCAGTTCTTTTGGGTCAGATTGTTTTGCTCCCACTCGGAAAAGACGTGGCACTTGGGCCATGTCTCAATGGACGAGATGGTGCTGCGTGTCCAAGGCGTGATGGCCAGCAGCTTGTGCTTGCAATTCTCCATGATGGTATCCACTACACGCACGCTGCCCAGGAAGTAATCGTCTGCAAAAAATGCGATAATATTCAGTATTAACGCCAATTAAGAGCCACATCCACATCTTACCCTTTTCCCGTGTAATCTCTGAGAAGAAGCTTGGATCCAGGGCCTGCGAGATCATTGTCTGAATGTAGATCTCAAAGTTATCCCTGTACGACAAATAATCCTCCATAATCTTCTCGATGAACTGCTCGGTGTCGTCGGCCAGCAGCTCCGATCGCATGAACTCCACAATCGTCTCTGTGTGGGAATGTACCTGCATGCGCACTGGTGCTTTGAGGTAGAGTTTCTTTGTTTCGAGATTCCATGAGGCATACTAGTTGAAAAAAAAAAAAAAGAAAGTCCAAGAATCATAAAAGGGATCGAGAATACGAGTGTGAATGAAAGCTTACCTTCGACATGTTGCGATAGAAAGTCTTCCCGTTCTGCCGGAAGGGCTCATATTTTTGCAATATGCACTTGGAGTCCACTTGCCATATGGTGGGCCAGTCGTTCACAAGATCCGAACGCAGCACAATAAAATCGCCGGTCTATGAAACAAAAAGAAGAAACATGAAGGCTGTCTCAAGGCTGGAAGTTCAACCTACTTTAAAGTTCTCCGCTGTGGCTGCCGTGCCCGCTGCAGCACTGCCATAGCCCACGTCTCCCACTCCGGACATATCCTGCTGTGGATTGTAGCCATCACCAACGGCTGGCATTTGCTGCACCTGCTGTTGCACCTGCTGCTGTTGGGTCACTTGCTGCATCTGCTGCAGTTGTTGGTTATGCTGCTGCTGATGATGCTGCTGGTGTTGTGGCTGCATCTGGGATGAATTCTCATAGGTGTTCTTGCGTGGCGTCCCCTTGGAGCGTCGCGCAATCTTACGCTTCCCATAGCCCTTGCCGGTTTCATCGCTCTACGTACATAGTGGATGGTGATGGTGGAGGATTACAAGCGGTGACGAGGCGATCACAAACGGACCACAAAAAAGCACTTACATCATCCTCTTGCGGAGTCCAGACAGGATCCGTGTCCGAGTCGGTAAACTCGGCCTCCGGCTCGCCCACGGCACTGCTCTCCCCTCCAGCGGCAGTGGAATTCAACAGAAGAGCGTGCATACTGCTTTGCTTGGCCTTGCGGGAGCATTGCTCGCGCCGCGCAGGCACATTCAAGGGGTCTGTGAAGAGCACAAAAGTTCGGTTAGAAACATTGATCAGGAAGGGTGGCATTTAGTGGGGGGGAAGCAAGTCCACAACACGAACGGAACGACAACAACAACAACCACAACAACAACCAGAACAACGACGATAACACCACAATTATCCCAACAGCCCAAAAAGAGCAGTCGCCGGCGCATCAACACCTATGCACCTTGCACCAGCACCTGCACCTGAATAGAGGACAGGACCCGACCTATGCTCTCTCCCGATCACTCCCTGGTCTTCTGTGCAATCGGTCGGTGGTCGTGGGCTTACAATGTAAATAATAAAAATACACAGTTTATTTGGGTTTTTGTAAATTAATAATATTTGTTCATCTCGATTTCATCTCAAAAATACTTTTTTACTTTTGTTCATGCGATTCTCCTTTTCTTTTTTTTTTTTCTTTTTCTTTTAACAATTTAAAAGTGCGTATTCCTTTTTTTTTTATCTTTTTTTTCAATGTTTTTTTTTTACATATACACAGCGTTCATGTCCTTGTCCATTGTCCAAGTCTGGATCCCTATGGCCAGTCGTCTGTCGTTGGTTGTTGTTGTTGTCGGTGTTGTCTATTGTCGTGTCGTGTGGTGCGGTGCGGTGTTCGGTGCTGCGGCGGCAGTGGTTAGTGCTGCCATGGCCACAGCAGATTTATAAAATGATGAGGATTCGGCGCTGGTGCGGCGGCGGCAGCGGCAGCAGCGGCTGCGGCGGTGGACGCCGGCGTTGGAGATGTCGCGATGGATGCCGCGTTCGCGTTGGCTGACGTGTTGTGGTGGTGGTTGTTGTTGTTGTAGTTGTTGCATGGCGTGGAATTAGCGATAGTGGAGTGCTTATTGGAACTATGCTGTTGGTCAAGTAACATACCTTGACTGCCGCCAACGACTACGCCGACCCCAGCACCCGCTCCCAGCTGGGCGCAATGCTGCTGCACGAAATGTTGCGTGCCCATCGACTGCTGCTGCTGCTGTTGTTGTTGTTGCTGCTGCTGGGCGTATGGCCGGAAGGAGGTCTGATCGGCGGGCTGTTGAATAACGGAGGAGGGCGCGGACTCGGCAGCTGCTGCCGCAGCCACCATTTGTGCATGCGGCCGCTTCTTGGGCAGTATTTGGGTCTGGGAGAGTATTTTGATGCGATGCCCGTCATCGCCGACCAGTCCGGCGAGTCCTTCCTGTCCCGTTTGATTGTCCCCAGGACCTCCTGCCCCAACTGCCGTCTGCGACGTAGAGGCCTCCTCACTGCCGCCCCCTGGGCCGCCCTTGCCTTTACGCTTATACGGCGCCCGCGGATAATTCAGCTTGCGCGATGGCTTCACCACCGGCGGCGGATCGTCGTCCCGCTCGCCCTGCAAGAACTTCAGATAGCTGTCCATGAACTGTGTCTTCTTCTCGCCAATCAGCGTTCCCACGCTGACCGGCTTCGGGAGCGGCTGTACTGGTCTGTACGGCACCGAGGCGGCGTGGCCCGTGACGGGTGGGCTTGAGGTCGACCCACCCGATGGATGATGGCCATGCCCATTCGACGCGCAGGGCGATGGCTCTGGCGATGGGGTCTTGTTGGGATTGCGTATGCCAAAGTTGGTGTTGTTCGTGGATGAGTTGGTGCCGCGGCCATTGCTGGACGACGAGTTGGCGTATCCCTGCTTGGGCGCACTGCTAGCGTCTGCGAGAAAGTCCAGCTCCTCCTCAATGTTCGGCACGATCACCTTATTGCTTGCGTCCGCTACAGCCGCCGCAGCGGCAGCCGCAGCATCGTCCTCCTGTTGGGCAGCCTCGATCTTCTCCTGTTGCTGCTGCTGGTTCTGATGCTGTTGCTGCTGCTGCTGCTGCTGTTGTTGCTGCTGCGTGTAGGCCTGTTGGTGTTGCTGCTGTTGCGTATAAGCTTGCTGCTGCTGTTGCTGTTGTTGCTGCTGCTGTTGCTGCTGCTGCTGCATGCACGCCGTGTACTGCGAGGCAATGGGCTGGGGGAAGGCTGGATAATATTGCGCCAGCTGGGTGAGATGTGATTGTGCCTGCGAGGACTGCAAATGGGCCGGCTGCGGTACGTGCTGCTGCTGGCTCTGGTGCTGCTGTTGCTGCTGCTGCGTCTGCTGGGGATATGTGGGTATGTTGATGGTGGCCGCCGGCGACACAGACGCCGTATTGTTTTCCGTCTTAAGCGGAGCATTCCACTTGCTGTTGAAGTCGTAGTACGTGTTTTGCTGCTGCTGTTGCTGTTGGCTGTGCTGCTGCTGCTGCTGCTGTTGGAGCTGATGGTGCTGCGGCTCCTGGGGACTGCGCACATTGCTGTAGTCGCTGCTGGTCGCTATTAGCGTTTTCTTCGGCTGTCGCTTGCGCGGCGTCTTCGCAGGCTTCGGCGGCGGTTTGACCTCTTCCTGCAATGGAGCGAAAGAAATACCTTCGATTAAGATCCAGTGACTTTTGGGGCTTAAAAGGCTATCAAAGACGAGGCTATCAAAACATTGGACATTGCATTAGGGACAGCATACAACATTTATTCTCTGTATAACCAGAGATCGGTCTGCCCACACTGCGGATCTCCACATGTATTCAGATCCACCGCACTGAAGGGAGCGTAGCGTAGCGTACCGTATCGTACCACATTCATTACATTACAGCATAACGTCACAGTCTCAGATCGGCCACAAGGCATCTCTTCAACACAAAAAGATTAGCAGTTAGCAAAGCAGTTAAAGGAAGCAAATAAAGATTAAACAGAACACCCATGAGGTACACCAAACTAAATCGTAGGGAAAAGGGGTTGGAAAGTGTACTCTTCCACCAGAAAATTACAAGCGAATGTTAAAAAAGAAAGCATGCTTATTAAACGAGAGCTCCAGAATCACCAATAGAAAACGAAAAATATTTTCCGTTACAGTTGGGAGCATTTCAACAACCAACAACAACAAAGAAACTCTTATCTTATCAGAAAAACTTTAGCACCAGTGTGCATCATGCACACGACATGTATGTTGTGTTTGTACTGTTCTCGGGCATTCTCTTTTGCAGCATTCACTTGTGCGGGCCGAACATCATGTGGGAGATTCTTATCAAAAAATCAACATACTAATAGATGGCTTTAAGTGTGACTGCCCCTGCTTTCAATGCGTCGCTTTATATCCTAGAAATCCTAGACCATATTCAAGAGGTGTCCCTGGAAGAGTTCTGGGGTTCCGAGGGAAAGATTTGAAATGAAAAACAGTAAACAGAAAGCGCAACAAAACAAAACAAATAATAAAAACAAATCACCAACAAAACGAACAAAACAAAACGGAAATTAAACAAACAAAAAATAGATTCGGAAATAAATAGAAATAAGAAGATACAAACCTTTGGCACTACTTGAATCTGTGACGCTATGTTGCCGCTCGCTGGCGACATTATCATGTTGGCCACCACATGCTGGCGTCGGCCAGGTGCCTGCTCGTGCAGGAGGTGCTCCCCATCGACCACGCCGGACGGATAGAAGGTTTGCTTGATCTCCAGGCCTGGCGGCAGATTGAACACCAGGTTCTCGCCGGCATCTCCACCGCCTGGTTCGACTCCCGCCGTTGCCGCCGCCGCCTCGCTCGCATAGTCTAGATGCCGCTGCTCCTGTTTCACTTGCAGATGCAGCACATTTTTAATGTCCTCCTGGCCGCCTGGTCCCTCTTCCAGCTTCTCCCAGCAGAGGTTCTGCTCCTGCTGCTGTTGCTGCTGCAGCGTACTTTGTATCACAGATGAATAGGCCACCGTTGTGGGCGCCGTCGGTGGCGCAGACGAACCAGCGCCTGGCACATTCACCACCGATCGTCGCTGCACTAGAGGCGCCGTCTTGTAAACAATCACTTGAGCCTGCGGCGTGCTGACCACGTCCACGGCATTTAAATTCGTTATGGGGGATCCGTCCGCCGAGCTCAGAGCTGGACTGGCATACTGTGCCGGATAGGATCCCCCCGAACTGGCGGCCCCCACTGGCACAGCCACTGGCACTGGACTAGCACTCTGCTGCTGCTGCTGCTGTTGCTCCATGTGGATCTGTTCGGCCTCTTTGCGCGTCAGTTTCACCTTCTGTCCATCCAGCGTGTAGTATGTTTCTGTCTCTTGGATATCTTGCTGGAGATGGTGGTGATGCTGCTGATGCTGCTGCTGTTGGTGTTGCTCCTGCTGCTGTTGATGCTGCTGTTGTTGCAGCTGCGTCAGGTATATTAACTCGTTGTATGCCTTTATTTGCGCCTTGGCTTGTTGTTGGCTGTTTTCTTGCTTAATCTGCTAGACGCGCAGTCGAGGACGGGGCACATAGATTGAATCGGAATCGGAAAGATTTGGTTTTGGTTTGGATTTGATTGTGATTTGAGAAACTCATGTGTTCATGGTTGGATTGGATAAAGCAAAAAGGTCTAATCTAGACTTAAATGGTAGGGTAGGGCTAGTTGGTTAGTAGAGCAGAATGACAAATAATGCGATAGGCGGAACTTCAGGCGGGAATAACAGATTCAGATTCCAGGATTCCGCTCCCGCTGAAGTCCCCACCCCACACCCAGAGGAGCAACTGATTAGGTATAGATAGGGGCGGGGCCGAGGCGGCTCTTGGCGGGCATGTGTTACATATATGGATGTATGCATGTATGGTATGGTATGTCAGTGAGAGATCAGTAAGCCAGAGTAATGCAGAGTATTCTACTCACCACTTTGTCAGCCACCAGGTTCAGCTGCTGCTGTTGCTGCTGCTGGGCGGCCTGCTGCTGTTGTTGCTGCTGCTGTTGCTGGGCCTGCTGCTGCTGCATGGCAAGGAACGTGTTCGATAACATGTTGGGCGTGTTCCAGGTCAGCGACGTTGAGGTCAGAGCTACGGTCGTCGGCGATGGTGAGGCGCCGCTGGACGACGAGTTCTCGCCGTAATAGTTGGAGGCAACATTGTTGACCACTGCTGCTGCTGCCGCGGAGACGGCCGCCTGATTTTGAAATGTGCTCAGCTGCTTATCCAGCGAGCTGGGGAGCTGCAGCTGGCGGTGCGGCGTGTTTGCCGCCGAGGAGGCATAGTGGGCGGGCTTCGGTTGTACACTGGCCGCCGCCGCATGATGATAGATCTGCTGGAATACTGGATTGTAGCTGCCGATCGGTGATGGTGGCACAAAGCTCCCCCCACTGGCCGCAGCGGCATTGAAGCTGGCAATGCTCGCCGCGGTTATGGTCGCCAAATGCGGGTGCTGGAAGTCCTCGGCTGTGCCGCCCGTGCTGCCAGCACTCGCCGGCACAATGCGGTTGTACGCATATGACCAGGGGCTGGAATTGGGATCCATGTGAAGGTAATGGCTGTTCTGCTGCTTCTACTGCTCGTGCTCGTAGTAGTAACTAAAAAATAAAGTTGAGTTATGTTTTGTTAGCGCTTTTATTCACATTGGGAGGGGGTAAATCTCCTATTTAGCAGGTGGAATTGCTTTATTCGCGGGACTCCACTTGCCATCCACCACGCTGTTTCGATCAAAATATACACACAAGTTTGTGTACATGTGTATATAAAGGCTAAATATGCATGTATGCGTATGCATGTATGTATGTGATTGAAGGCAACTTCTTTTGGCGTCGTCTTCTGTATTTTGTGCATTTTTTGCTCACACATAAATTATGCCGCGTAAGATTGTGCGCGGACAGAAGGGGTCAAACATTGTTTCGATTCATTGAGACACGCACATTTTTACTTGTTCATTGAAAAAATATGCCTTTTTCCAGAAGTGTCCGAATTTTAGCACTTTGAATGTTGTACATATGTATCTATACATACACACATGCATGTGTATGTGCATGCGTGTGCCTGCGTTGTTGAGATTGAAAGATATCCACACTAACTTGTCGTTGTTGTTACAGATTCGGGAGGCGCGAACTGCGTCGGGCCAACATTCTTTTTATATTTAATTATGCACTGCTTAATGCACAAGCTAAATTTTGAGTTCAATTTCAAACTAAACTTTTTTTCAATTTTGATGCATAACTTTTTTGTGGACAATCTCCAAAATGGCCGCTTCGATATAATAAAAATATCGATGGTTTTCGAAGCGCGCGATTGTTTTTAATGTAACATCAATGTTTCTGTGTAAGCAGCGATGTTTTTGAGATATTGATACAAGATTATAATTGGATTTTATTTGATTTTATTGATTTCACTGACATTGGACACATCCAAGATCTAAACGAGCAGGAAGTGCGATTCTATGTGCGTGCACAGAAATTTAGCGAATGATATGCACCACTAGATCACGGGAATAATGCCGAAGTGAACCGGTTCGCGGCGCGAGTGTGTTTTGTTGTTATCGTCGTGCCAATTAATATGCATGTTTAATTAAGGGCCTTAGATTTGAATTGTTTTAAATAATGAGGTGAGTAAAACCGGCGTGAGAAAACAATGCCCGGTCACGATAAAAAGTTAATTTCCGGCAGCCAAGGCGTGTGTACACATTCGCTAATGTCGAACCACAAGTGTTGTAAAGTGGTGGATTTGGGGGTTTGGCTGAGTGATTAAATTAGTTTTTAACACTATATACACACTATATATTTCCAATTTAGAGTTTTAAGCAGGCCTCGCACAAATTTTTTGAAAATTTTATAAATTAAAGCAGCAGCAACTCTATTACCGTACGTTAGTGAACACTGCGCGAACTAGCTCGATAACTTTTCTGCGATATTTCGGGTGCTAATGACAGTCATTTTACGTATTCAGCTAAAAGAAAACTGAAGAAACATATATTCTCCCCGGATTTCCTCTTAGTCATTCACATAATCTGATCTTTGTTTCGTATTGCAAACTTCAACGAGGAGGTATGTAGCAATCTACAGCGGGCGCGCTTGCACAGAATGTGTGGCCAGCTTGAGCCTGCCCTGCGTACGTGTAAATGGAATGAGACGCCCACTAAATAATCAACATATTTTAGCGTAAATAGAGATGGATTTCGGTGATGATTTCGCATTGAAGGAGGAAGTGGACCCAGCGGCAGAGTTCCTGGCACGGGAGCAGTCGGCATTGGGGGATCTTGATGCAGAAATCACAGGCGGCTCTGGCACGGCCCCAGATGCAGCCACAGTGGACGATGCTCTTGGGCTTGGTCTTGGTGGCCTGAGTGGTGCTGGTGCGGAGCTGGGCAGCGAACTGTCTGCGACTGGAGGCGGCCTAGAATCATCAACTGGTAGCTTCGAGGTGATCGGTGGCGAGTCGAACGAGCCCGTAGGAATTTCCGGACCTCCACCCTCTCGGGAGGAACCTGAGAAGATACGCAAGTGGCGGGAGGAGCAGAAGCAGCGACTCGAGGAGAAGGACGTGGAAGAGGAACGAAAAAAGGAGGAGCTGCGACAGCAGTCGAAAAAGGAACTGGACGACTGGCTGCGTCAGATTGGCGAATCGATTTCAAAGACGAAACTATCATCACGAAATGCTGAAAAGCAGGCCGCTTCCTTGGAAAATGGGACCATCGAGCCGGGCACTGAGTGGGAGCGCATAGCCAAGCTGTGCGATTTCAATCCAAAAGTTAACAAGGCGGGCAAGGATGTCTCTCGAATGCGTTCCATATACCTGCATCTCAAGCAGAATCCAATTCAGTTGCAGAAGACCACCTAAGTGTCACAACTCGACGCTATGGCTTTGCCTGCCAACTAGTTTTAATTATGTACTCGCCTAACCACACACATTGAGTTGAATATGAAAATTATTATTGAAAAGTATTCGCTGTATATTCCAATTATATGATAAATACATTATTATTGCTGCTGACAAAAATTTGCGATCATGGTTCATGTTCATGTAATGAATGCAATAAAAAATGTGCACACAGTTGTCGTTTTAATTACAATTTAATTTAATAAAAAAGCAAACCATCCAAAAATATCCCTAATCATTTCAGCGACACATCTGACAATAAGGAAGTTGCGGACGCAACGAATTGGAAGCGGAAGGACTACCTGCGTTGGGACGACTACTTCATGGCCACGTCCCTGCTCTCGGCCCAGCGCAGCAAAGACCCTGTCACCCAGGTGGGCGCCTGCATAGTTGACCAGCAGAAGCGCATCGTTGCCATTGGTTACAATGGATTCCCGCGAAACTGCAGTGATGATGAGTTCCCCTGGTTGAAGTTGGGCCAGAGCAGTTCTGACGATTCCCTAGAGGACAAGAAGCTGTATGTGGTCCATGCCGAGGCCAACGCCATACTCAACTGCAATGGCGCCAGTCTGGTTGGTACGAGCCTCTACTCCACGCTCTTTCCGTGCAACGAGTGCGCCAAGCTCATTATACAGGTAATGTTGCCTTTTACGCACTCCAGCCACATATCCTTCAACATACTACCAACCTCCAATATTCGTTTCATTACGCAGTCGGGCATCCAGCAAGTGTTTTACATGTCGGACAAGTATGCTTATAAGCAAAAATACCGCGCATCCAGGCGCATGTTCGACGCCGTTGGCGTGGTCTGTACCCGGCACGTGCCCGCCCAGAAGCAGATAGTCATTGACTTTGACGCCTTCCTCGAGGACGACAGATGAAACGCTCATTCAAACGACGAGACTAAGTTTATGTGAATTGCATGTAATTTGTTGATGTATAATTTTTTATAAGTAATTGGTCTTATTTTAATTAGTGTGAATTTTTCAAATAGAACTGTAGTCAAATGCGTACTGTAAGCCGGTGATTTTTTGAATATTTCTCACCTCCTTTACTCTGGTGGGTCCTGTAGATCACTCGTTGTAGATCCTGCGGTAGATGGATCTTCAGAGGATGCTTCGTAGTTAGAAGTTGTGGACGACTCTGTTGGTTCCTGTGGACCATCCGTTGCAGGTGCTGTCGTAGCTGGGGTTTCAGAGGACGCTTCGGAGCTAGAAGTGGTGGACGACTCTGTTGGTTCCTGTGGACTACTGGATGTAGATCCAGGGGTAGAAGAATCTTCAGAAGACGCTTCGGAGATTGAACTTGTGGAAGACTCTGTTGGCTCCTGTGGAGTACTAGTTGTAGATCCTGTGGTAGAAGGATCTTCAGAAGACGCTTCGGAGTTAGAGCTGGTGGAAGACTCTGTTGGTTCCTGCGGAATACTGGTGGTAGATCCTGCGGTAGATGAAGCTTCCGTTGACAATGCAGTGGAAGAAGTTTTCTGTTCCTGCGGTCTACTCGTAGTTGTTGCTGCGCAGTCCGCCGGTCGAATGGACACACATCTGGAGGAGGCCGAGTCGAAGAATGGTTCTGCCCCATCGCAGTTATATAGGATGGCAATCCACGTGACGCTACTGACCTTCTCGCAGTAGAGATAGCTATTGCATGTTGCGTCGTTGGTGTATCCCGTAAAGAAGGAAAGGTTGTTCGAATTGGGAGGTAGTTCACCTGCCTCTTTGCAGGCCTTCACCTGTTCTTGCATAGTGGGTACCGTTGGGTTTGGGGGTGCCACATACTCACTATTGCTGCACGTTGCCGACTCGTTCAGCTGTGGATTAAGCAACGATTCAGGTCGTTCGTACATCCATGAGCTATGACGGAAGCACTTACGAAAGTGGCGACAATGGTGGGCACACAGAGGGTGCCGTGGGTGGCGAGGGCCTCAATCACACAAATCTCATCGGTGTCACAGCTGTAAACATTGGCGGTGGATACCTGCTGATCTACACATCTTACAAATTGGGTCTCACTGACGCAGCTGTACTTGTTGCTGCCGCTGCAGACCTCACAGTTTTCACCGTTATTGGCGCCGGCTGCACCGCATACGTCCAGCACACTAGATCCATCCACAAAATGACTCATCACGCACACTTCCTCGGTGTTGCTGCAAACGTAGCCGCTGCCACAGGACACAATGTCGCCAATAGGATTGTTTTCTGTGGGGTAACTACAGTGAGTGGTGGGCTTAGGATCGAAGATTCCACATTGAACTTACGCATGCAATTTCTATAGGCGGTCTGACTATAACAGTAGGCAGAATTACCGCTCTGACACTCCTGGCACTTTTGTGCCGCCACGAAAACTAACGGGCCGTAAGCGGCAAAGGCCAAAACGGCAATGATCTTTTGCATTTTAACGGAAAACTGATTAGAATTTTGTAACGAAGGTGTCTTATATAGCTGGGATTCCAATCTTGTTGACGAATTCATCAACCTTCATACGTTTATGGGCCATTGTTGCTTATCAGAGTTGAACCGGTCTGTCCCAGCCGTAAATCTTCTATCATTAAGTAATTTTGGAAGTTTTCTGCGAGTTTTTCATACCAAATCAGTAAGTAAACAAGGCAGAATAATGTTAGTAGATTGCTGTGATTTCCATGTATTAATTCTTATCAAAATAATTATTTTTCCGCTCCATTAAAAGGTAATTGGGATATACTTACATATGCATGGGGGGAGTAGTTTTACATTTAATCAGCTTTATAAGTCCATTTACTGGTGTTCGTTCCGTCATCGAAAGGTCAGATGGGATTCACATGCACTACCTAATTAACATTGCACACCCACGCAAAGGCAGCTCTAGGAGAGTGGTTCCCTACCCACAATTTGAAAACCTTAAAGTGACTCAATACATCATAAATATCCGCGTTTTCCTTATTTTATATCTCAGGTGCTTTCTATCATTGAGAAAGTACAGATGTACATGGCCATGGTCTCGAACTTTGAAATTTGAGTGCCTTTTGCCCAACTCCCCAAAATTTGTGGTACAAATTTGCATTCAGCTTAACCGAACCGAACCGGACCGAGCAAAACGGTGATGGGAGTTGTTTAAAAATGGCATGCCGGCACGAAGGAGCGTCACCCTGGTATGGCGTGCTACCAAGCAAAGAAGTCAGCAAATAGTACTGGGGATATGCAAAACAACGCGGCTAACCGGATGCCAAGAGGAACAGCCACCTGCTCTCACGCAATCCCCCGTATACCCAGGGGTACTTGTGAATGTGCATAAACAGAGTGGTTTGTTTTCTTAAAGGTGTCTCTTTTATTATCTCTGTCCACCAAGAATGTCTTTCAATTTAAAAAATTACGATACACTATATCCTCCATAGATTCCTGAGCTCATGAAATGCAGACTGCAATAAGGTACAGCCAGAATCTGTTTTGGCCAAGACTTTCAGTAGTCACGGAAAGGTGCTTTCCCCATTTGGAAAAAACTACTGCCAAGGGCGGAGAACCCTTAAGTTGTTGGCAACCTAACCGGGTCAGCGTGTAACAAAGCCCTAATTTTAGGTTTCGTGAACTATAGCTACAAATTTTCTAAAATCACATGGAGTGGCCAACTGAAGGCTTGGCGGCACTGGACTACTTAGAATGTGTGCTACGGGTCGGTCACCCATGTATGCGGCAGCAATAAAAGACACGAAACCGAAAAATAATCAATATACTGCGAGGGTACGACAACAAAGCTGAAGAATACAACTGTTTTTGAGAAGAAAGTGCCGGTGCAGGTTACTTTCCCATCAAGAAACGTTAAATGGACCACTTGAACAATTTTGGGACACAAAAACTGGCACAAAGCGAGTCGGTGCACGATTTATGGGTATTCATCATGTCGATCTCCTGCTTAATATCCGATTGATCTGATACTAGTAGCTGGGTACCAGTATCACTGAGGGTATTCCGATTTTGTCTGCTCCACCCACTATTATCTTGGAAAATAAATCCGTAGACTGCGAACAGATGCAGAAAAGATTGACTGATTAGGACATTTTGGAGAAATAAATGTCGCATATATGTATATACGACGTGTTTTTATACAAGTTCCGGAATTCAATCCCTAAAAGCCCTCGAGAGAGAGTGGCAAACAAACGGGAATTCGTCACCTTGTTTACATACACATCAGTCGCAGCATCAGCATCGCTGTCCTCTATCTCCCACGCGCATTTGCCAGAGTACAAGGTACATGGAATAGAAGGTAAGGCAGTCCAAAGAGCAGCCTCTAACCTCGTTGAGCTGCCTTCCAGACATTGGTAGGTAGCAAGATATGGAGAGAGAGAGTGCCCCTGAGCTGCTTCACCTGTTATTTTGCATTCCATCGGGAGAGCGGGTCTCTAAGAGCGCGCGCAGCCTCCGGAGAAGAGCGAAAATGGAGCAAACGGGCAAAATGGGAATGACACTTGGAAGTTGCAATCAGCTGATACGGACGATGCCGTTTGTTTTGCTTTGCCCATGCTTGCTGCTGCGACGACACTTTGGGGAAGCAGAAACACCAACAGAAACGGTAAGTGGCGGCGACTGCGACTGCGACGCCGACTGGCGACTGTGGGGCCACTGTGGCCAAAAAGGATTTCCGAGCTTCTGGCCCGAATCAGTTTGTAACGGAATTCCATGAAAGACGGACCGCGAACACCAGAGTGTGCCCTCCTCGCTGCCTCCGTGTACGTAATGGTGACGCTGCCGCTGCTGCTGCTCCTCAGCTCGGCGCGCTATTTCGGAATCATAGCGCAGCCATGCGTCGGTGTGTGGCGTAGGTCTAGGCTGTTGTTCTTGTTGCTGGTCGTGGTATGCTGCTGGTGGTGGTGGTGGTGGTGTTGGTGCGGTGCTGTTCTGTCACCAAAAGCATTCTATTATGTGTTTGGTTTCATTTAATGCTTTTCGCCGCCTTTGTACTATTGCCCCTTGTTGTTGCTGCCGATTTAGGATGTAGCTGTTAATATCTGTACATACATACATATGTATCTGCGGATGCGGCATTGTGTTTCCCTGCGCTCATAATTTTATGACCACTTATCCCTCCGCAAGGGAAGGGGAACTGTCACCTACTCGCATATGGTGATGTATACAGTGTTATGCAGGAATAATCATTTTCCCCCCAAAAACATGCTGTGGCTTAGTGGGAGTGTGGAGGCGCACTCTTTGCAGAATAATTTGTTGTGCAGGGAAATGCGTTTTCTTCACAGTGCGTGTATGTACATATGTATGTATGTGAATGATGCAAGCAACAATAACTTAAGGCGCCAAGCCAAGTGAGAGAGAAATGGGTGCTTGACTAAAGAAAAGACTTACATACATACATAAGTAAATATGCATGTAGAAATGTTTGTTTGCACGTTTCGTACATACAGATGGATGTGAAAATACATATGAACATATTTATTTAGACATCTCTCTCTCTCTCTCTGGTGGATATGAATACTCGAGCGCATATATGTATATTTATGTACAAACATACACAACTACGGAGAGATCGTTGTTTAAAATATATGCAAATATTAGAACAAACAAATGTTTTAGGTGCTGAAAGACCCCAACAAGACATTTCTGACCGAATTGCCAAATAGATAAGACGACTCTGTGGGCCATTAAATGTAAATGTGCTCCATTTAGAGATGGAGAATACTTTTGTACATCTAAGCATGCATGAATATTTCACATAAATATATGTACATACATACACATGTACAGTATTTGTTTGCATTAACAGCAGCAGCAGCAAATAAGAAATGTAATCACATTTGATTGATATGATGGATCCGTCACAGCATCCGTGACTTGCAGCTTTTTATATACCTTTACTACGGTGTAAAGCTGATTTTTCTGCAGTCTAGAATCTATATAAATGATTTTGATTCAGTGATTGAGTACTCCTCTTCCACCCATTAATTTTATCCAGCACGTTCAAGCGCCTCCGACTCACGGTCCAACCTATTCATGTCTGTCTGTCCGTACGCATACCAGAAGATCAATGATAATTGTTGTAATGTGCACATTAACAAATGAAAGGATTAATAGAATTAATTTCTTAAAAAACATAACAGTTCCAAGACTATCCTCTAATAACGATTCAGAAACCTATGCTTGTTATATTCTCCATACTATTTGTACTCTTTTCACACACATCATTCACATTTCAGTACACTGTCATTATTATTATGATATTAGATTAGTTCCCAGTTCTTTACCCTACATTTTGAATGGCATTCATATCGAAGATTAAAATCACTCATCCCAGAGACTTTTCCGAGCATTAGATCCTGAAAGGCAGGCCAGCCCCCACAGAAGCAACCAATCTCGCTGACGTTTGGCATTTGATTTTTTTGGGCTTTCCTTTTTGCTTTCTTTCTTTCACCGAGATTCACTTGTTTATTTATTTTCGTGATTTCGTTTATTTTTCCCACAGCCTGGGATTTTTTTGTTTTTTTTTTTTATATTTTTCTCCAACTTCCAGCGGTTTTTGATTTGATTTTTGCGTGGGCCTTAGGACTAAACTTTTTTTTTGTTTGTTGGTTATTGAAATGCTAAAGCAGGAGACTCTTTAAGGCATGCCACTTTTCGTATATGTATGTATTTACATATGTATGTTTGTACGTACATCTATGTGTGCAAAGTGTATTTTGGGTTATGAAATTCCAAAGGATTAACCGCTGAGCATAGAAAATCATGAGAAAGGAACCCAATCTGAGGAATTGTCAGAGGTACAAGAGTACCCAAATCATAATCTAATCAAGATCTGAAATTTAAGACTCCAGCGGAAAATCGATTTAAATAAGTCGTTTACCTTTCATCCCCAAAGCCATTCAAGGTGTCGTAATTTTCGCGCTTGATTTGCCAACCAAAAAGAAGGAGAATTTCGGCTCGGTGGCAATTAAGGCAAAACATCAACTTGCCGCATACTTCTCCTATGAAATACACTGGACGAAACCTTCGCTGAGTTTTCTAATACGTTTTTAAAAAGATATAAACCAAAACACCATTCCTCAGACAAGCTTTTTCTTCTTTAGATATTTATCAGAAATTGCAACTCAATTTCACTTTAATGCTGCACTTTTATTCCCCATTATTCTCCGAGTGTGCGTAGCGTGAATAAATTACGGCTAAATACTTGCTTCGAATGCCTTGGGGCGCTTCACACACAGCTGCTGGGCTGGAAATCCTGAAATCCTGGTCCATATGGCTGCTTAATGCTCGCACAGCGCCGCTTTTAAGGTGCCAAACGACTGACTCCCAATTTCCGTTTATCCCTAATTTGGTTTATAAATAACGAAAATCGACTCTCAACATTGACACACATCCCCACATGAGCATCGCATCCGAGGGCTGACATCATTTCAAAGTCGTTAAAGCCCTTGTGGTCTTGTTAATAGGTGCCCGAGCAGAATTTTTGGCTATAAACTGTGAAATTTAACGTGAAAATGTTTATAGTTAATACGTGATAGCCAATTCCATAGCCAAGCAGGTGCTCCTTCGACAGGCTCTCTCAGGGTACGTGCCTACCCGTCAAATTGACTCCACGGGCAACTCAATTAAAAGCGCTGGCAACCTAATTACCTGCCAGAGAATTTGAATGAAAAAATTTGCGAGTCGTGAACAGCTCCCATTTGACCTTTGGCCGAGACGAACCTTAGGACTTTTCCAGTTTTCGTAGTTAAATGTTTTTGGAGGCACTATTGTACAGGAAATGTCAGGTGTCTTTAAAAAATACTTATCCGTTTGTGGGAAGCAGCTTTTACTCTTAATAGACGTAGAAGATAATCCACCTTGATGTTAAATACTAAATGAATCCTATATTAGGAACAGGTCTGAGAGAAAGAGAGAGAGTTGGCCCATATATGGGCAAACTTTTTGGATTTTGGGAGCAGACTCATCTCCAGTATCATTGTGCATCATTGTGCCGCTTCCTGTGGTACCGTGGGGAGCAGCTGGGAGCCAGGACATTCCCACCGATGCTCTCCAGAGTGTGACCTAACGTCGTGCTAGTTGTTTGCTAAATTTATTCCAGCCATTGACCCTGAGACTTGACGCATCATCTGCAAATAAGTACATTTGCTGCCAAGTTAATTGCTGCGGGGCGTAAGCGATGTTTGCTGAACTGAAATGCTGAGTGCCGTGCCGGAGTGTCCGTGTCGTCTGACATGCAATTCATCGTAATTGAGTCAGCCAACAATCATCTTTTTGGGAAGGCGCCGCGCCACACCACACACGCAAGGGGGCGGCAGCCGGATCCTTCTTCCTTCGTTCCGTTCGTTGGTGGACAGAACCTATTACCGTCAATGTCCGTTTAGCGGACAGATAGCTGGTGCTGCTGTTGCTGCTGTTCTGCTCTGCTCTGTTCTGTTCTGTTATGTTCGCTCTTTGTTCTGGGATTAATGGAGAAACAACGTATTCTGTCGTCCGCAATGTGCTGGCGGATAATCCCATTATCTTTTGATCCCTCTTGTCCTGACCCAAGGCGGCAGCATTGCCACCCGGAACCGGAAATTGACCCCAAAAGAAATGGGTAATTGAAATAAATAGAGTTGGGCCTTCCATTTATGGGGCCACCGGTACCGAAAAGTGGCCTAGAACTTCCCCATTCGCTCTGGGATTTTATTTTCGATGGTTTCGATGGCCTAAAGATCCAATTGTGGCTTTCCCACATTGAATATCCTTTTGATTTATTATTTCTGAAGCGTAAAGTTAGCGAAAATCCTTAAAGAAATTCCACAATTTCGCAGCGAACTCTCTCTGTCATTTTCACTTTAGACAAATTACATTTCGATAAAAGCCTTGCGCCCACTTTTGCCGCCACATTTACATTTTTCGCTAACGCAATTTTGTTTCAAAAAGTGCCTCAGCAGAGGGGGAGAGAGTGCGGCGGTTCGTCTTCTAAAACATTTTACCTGGCAAACGATGGGGGGCACGCCTGCCCAACGCCTTTTGCCTCATCGGATGGGAATCTTTGAATACAGCCAAAAAAAAGGAAATAATTGAAATATGCATGAGAGTCTCGAGTCCCTCCCTCCCTGTGGGAACTTTAAATGAAGATGGCTGGCCGCCGAAATTGTTTTTTTCCGGAGATACGAGTTCTTCGATTTGCAGAGGCTCTCAATTCGTATTCCATTTGCGGTAGTTCCAAAAATATAAACTCGCTTTCTCTGTTATCTTCTGTTCGTTTCGCATTTCTGCCACAAAATGTACCCCGTACATTGGCGTGCATATGCGTATTGTATCTTTTAAGCGATTAATCAATACCCACCTGCTATGCTGCCTTTATATTTAGGCTACAATATGTTGCGCCACATCCCTCATCCCCATTCCCATACCCATACCCATTGCCATCGATGGGCAGAACGGGTCCTTGTGTTCTGCTAGAGGTTATCATTTTAATTTCACACTTCGTGGATGTGCCACTGATTCTGTTGGCACTGTTTGGTGGGTCTGTGGGTGTGGCCCCCCATCCGGTACGGGTTGAAGGTTGGGTGTGGCATATCGCTCAATTGGTGGATACATTGGTTCGTTCGTCTGGAGCCACTCGAGAGAACACTGGCTTCATAAAAGCTGAAAGCATTTCGACCATCACAAAAGACCCCTCGGGCACCTACCACCCCGTACAAATATACACTCGTACGTTATAGTAGTGGTCATAAATAGTGAAATGGCAACCGGGTCAACGGGTTTTGTTAGCCAAAACCCCCCCTATGATGAGGGTATATGATGATTGGCCAGCAGTTAGCAACGCATCAACGGTGCGGTACGTGCTGGCCAAAGAGAAGCTTTCCTTTGTGCCATAAACTTGGGCTGTGGAAAATTGTATAAACTTCTTATACACATAATAATTGCAGTTGTTTATTCAGGGTATTCAGAGCGCCGCTTTGCTAATGATGCTCCTCCTTTCTGTTTTAGCTATCATTCCTTTATTCTCCAGTCGATAAAGCGCATCGTATTTGTTTCATTTCACTACATTCCTCCACACCCATGCACCCATTATACGGATATGGGATACAGGTACATAAAGGGAAATATCCGTGCAAGCAAGTTCTTTCGTTCATTTGCTGAATCGGGGAAAGTTGAGAGGTACTTCGTCCACAATTTATTAGAGCAGAAAACGAAGCGTCCCTGAATGGGGAATGCTCCTCCAAAGCTAATTTGATCAAGGAGAAACTTATTATATCAATTTAACTTTTATGTAAAACATAATTTCAGACTGGAATATTTCTTTATATAATTTCTTTTTCAGTTGGCAAAGCTTTGAGACGCTGATTTGATGCCCCATGTTGCAACATCGCCAGCATCGAAATGAATAAATTATACGAAAGTGAAATCAATTTGCATTAGGGCCGCCGACTAGCGAATGGCCCCCACTAGCACCCCAAGACGAGCGTGTGGAGGAGGAGGACGACTCCGGCAGTACTCTGGCAAGCAGTGTGGCATGTGAGGGGGGGCGCTGACAAATTACATTATAGTGTCAGGCGAAGGCGAGTGACATCAGGCCATCAGACCTTTGGCCCCGACGCATGTGTGAACGTGGACGTGGATCTGGAGACTGGAGACCGGGCGCCTCACCTGCCTGCCGCCGCCTGACAGTTGCCGACGGGACCAGGGACGGCACTGTCACGTCTTAGGTTACGCTGCCCTGCTCCCTCCCCACCATCAAGGTGGTGACCTGTGACCTAGCCCCGGGGGCTAGTTTTTGACAGCTTTGACAGGATTTGTCCGTCAGCCCGCAGAAGTATGCTACGCAGCTGCGTGTGCCTCGGATCCGATGAGGACGGCAAGCGGCGCGGCTCCTCCGTGGAAGACGCCTCGTCGTGCCGCTCATCGGAAATAGAGCGCGTGGGTGCCAGCATGCAGACGCTGGGTCCGAGTGGCCAGCCCCAGTCGGTGGCCGCCCAGACGACCACACGGGCCTCCAGTCTGCTGCAGCTGTTCCACAGGAAAGGTTGGTGCAAGCACTTTCGCAAGCCTCTGCGGGGAATGAGCGCCTCCCGTGCCGAAAAAAGTGAGTATATCGCTTGCTGCTTACCATAGGCTTATATCCATTCAGTTGACTGTCGCAGGGGATTTGTACCAGAGCCACGACGGGCAATAGCCCCCAAAACCTAATCCGTTTACGGCTAGCAATTGGCATCGGTTGACGAACATAGAACGAAGCAGACGTACATACATATATTTGAAATCTGGTCATGCTGCTACTAAGAGAGAGAAATATAGGAATCCCTATAGCATAATTCCCAAGAGATCCCTGGAAGTAAAAAAAACATAAAGGAGTTGTCTTAGCAAATTCCTAGAACTCTAAGGAGCTCTACAATTACCATATGTCGCTTATGTGTCCTTTGGTGGCATCTCTGTGTCTCCCTAAGGGCCTGCACTTGCAGTCCCCATAGGAAGACCTTTAGGCCACAGAGGGCCTACTACTATGACCGTGGTCGTGTTCCGGCGCTTGCGCTAACCTTGTTCTTTGTTCCATTTATTTTACCAGCGATTCACATGGATCCGAGCCAAAAAGACGACGACACCCTGCGTCAAAGGGAAGGAACACCACCAAAGAGGGCCTCCATAGTTTGTTGGGCCGTTGGTAAGACAGCTTGTCCAGCCTGAAACGAGCATATACATATACGAGTATGGGTCAATACTCTGGCATACATTGTACTAGTATACCCATTCAGCTAGTCACGCAGCCTGAAATTAAACCACAAACACGCGGACGTAGACGCCAAATTGGAAAGGGGAAGGCCGGCGGACGGACGGACGGACGGACGACCGTCCAACGATTCGATAATTGGAACAAAGAACACTGTGGGGAGCCATGGCCATGAGCTTTGTATTATAGAATCGGGCATTTTGTTCACTTTTATTGTGTGTGCGGCCCACTGTGCTACGCCTTTTGAAAGAACCAGAAACAACACTCGTTTGCCACACAAAAACAAACAGAACAGAGCACGAGGCATCGTCATAGTCATCGCGTAGTTCTTTCTACTGCTGCAATAAGTACCCCAGTCGTTCCGGGTCCTCTATGCGGTTTCAAGCGGCGGTGTGCACGGAAAAATATAAAAGTTTTTGGTTTTCCTTTGAGTTTGAGTTTTGCATTCGAAAGACGGACACAGAAACGAAACTTCGAGTATTTCTTGAGGGTTTGTTATTAGGTCGGACATCCCAAAGTGCATAACGATGACATTTGAAAACCAATTAATTCTCACTCAATTTTCACTGCCTTGTGGTCTCTGCGGTTAAGCCCTTGAGGCTTTTCCAAGGCTTTTCTTGGCCCCCCCCCGTTTATATAATTAACCAAACCAGTCCGTGCCTTAAATGTCATGACAGTTTTACCCATTTTGGCAGCCCAAAAACAATATATTCATACCGCATATTCGTATTTTGTGTGTGCGGTCAAGAAAGTATTCGTCATGCAGCAGTGACTGGACTGACTACTCGGCATTTTCCCCATGTACAAAAGTCATCATTTAGGCCATTTACGTTACCCGACCGCTGTAATCAGGTATTCAAACATTAATTGCTACTGAGATTAATCGCAGCATATTTATCCGTAAGTGGAAGATATCTCCAAGTGCGCATGCCTCGTTAATTAATTCGATATAGATTTAGAGATTTTCAAATTACAGAGTACGGATATTAAAACTGAAATCGAAGCGTTCAAAAAAGTCTCAAGCGAATAGTATCCTCAGGCCAGATCTAACCAACAGATGGACATGCACTTATACATCGATATAGCCATTGAATATATTCTGAAATGTTTACGAAAAAATCCCAAAATTTTAGAGTAAAAACCTCCCAAAGATTTGCATTATGTAACCAGATCCAAATTCGTTTCGAAGACATGAGAAGGGAAAGTGCCCGAGTAGTGACAGTGTCGAATACTTTTTTGACTTCGCACGTTATGGAGGTTATGAGTAACGTTATATGAATAATGCCGGAATAATACCATTTGCAGCTGGGTATCGGACTGCGGCGAATGTTGAAGCAATTTTCGACCCATCTTATGGGCTGTGTAAATTTGAAAAAGAAAAAGCCACCGCCCAAACCAGACGCAGCGACAAGTGTGTAAAAGATTTTGAAACTGCAGAAGAGCCAGCCCAAACCCCAAACCCCAAGCCCATCTCTTTTTCCTTCTCACACTCGTACTATCTGCTGGTAGAAGTAGAAATGTTGTTGTTGCCACAGAAACCCCTGCCCAGCCCTGCCCAGCCCAGCCCACTTCTGCCCACCATTCTTTGATTGTCTTTGACGTTTTCAGCATTCAGTGTGTGTGTACATATAGCAGACGTGTAAATTTGCATCAGAATGGATGAGAACGGCAAGTAATTAACGCGAGTACGAGTACTGTTCCGCACAACCCATTCCGCACTCCAACACCCCCCCCATATCCACGACTCCATTCATTAAAATTAGCATTTTGTGAACTTTGTACCGATAAGCGTCGAACGGGAAATGCTTGAAAATGTCAAAGGTCGAAACGTAGCATTAAGAAAGAGCCCCTGCTTTCGACTTTCTTTAGGTGTTGGATGTTGCATTTCCCAGAAATCCTTTGATGTTCCTTTAATCTGGCTCTCGATATACGAATCCCCCCGCACCCATACAGTCGCTAGAAAACAACCAACAATACAGAATATTTAATACATAATACTCCATCTATATTTTAGCTATCAGAGCGGCAATATTTATCCAAAAATGGTATCGCAGGCATCAGGCACGTCGCGAAATGGAGAGGCGCTGCAATTGGCAGATATTCCAGAATCTAGAGTACGCAAGCGAACAGGACCAGGCTGAGGTAAGAACAATGCTGAAGGGGGGGGTATACGTATGCCCACCCGACGTCAGACGATTGCATTTGTAGAGTTTCAAAAGTCGATAGCAAGTCGATGGAACTGTGCTGCAAGTGCAACAACAAGAGTGAACCCCTACCTCCCTCCCTCCCTCCCTCCCTCCCTTCCTGTCACTCTGCGAGTCTATTCATGCGTGACATTTTGTTCTCCCGCAGCTGTACAAATTCTTCAATGACCTCATCAAACATATGCCCCAGGCGGCGGGCAGGAAAAACCAACACCATGGCGAGTCCATTAGTAAGTTTTCCACTTGGAACACTAGCCATAGTCATGGCCTCTACCTCTACCTCTGCCTCTGTCTCCTCTACAGTTTCCCTACTGGACGAAAAGGACGACATCGTGGATGAGCTAGGGGATACTGTGAATGCCAAAATAGAGTTGCCAATTCGTAAGAATCACATCGATCTCCTGATTGACGTCTTCCGCAAGAAACGGGTAAGTGGGCAGCAGCAGCGGATCCTTGTCCATTTCCCCAGCCATATAGTCGTTTCCAGGGCAACCGATTGCATCCGAAATATGTGGCGCTAATCCTGCGCGAGGGCGCCAAGTCGCTCAAGCAGTTGCCAAACATCTCGATGGTGTCCACCGCAGTGTCGCAGCAGGTCACTGTCTGTGGCGATCTGCACGGAAAACTCGACGATCTGCTTGTGGTGCTGCACAAGGTGAGAGGCACTCTGGGATCCACTCAATCTTCTCCATACTCTTATGAGGATTCCTTTAAATTTTAGAACGGTCTGCCTTCATCTTCCAATCCATATGTCTTCAATGGCGACTTTGTGGACAGGGGAAAGCGGGGACTGGAGGTGCTGCTGTTGCTGCTGTCCCTGTATCTGGCATTTCCCCAGGCGGTTTTCCTGAACCGCGGCAACCACGAAGACAGCGTCATGAATGCCCGCTATGGATTCATTCGCGAGGTGGAGGGCAAGTACCCCGTAAGTATTGTCGGCTTGTCGGTGGATTCGCAGATGATTTAACCCGTCTGTATGCCCTGCAGCGGAACCACAAGCGACTGCTGTTGATCATCGACGAGGTCTACCGATGGCTTCCCCTGGGCTCCGTTCTCAACAGCCGAGTGCTGATCGTCCACGGTGGCATCTCCGACAACACCAGCTTGGACCTCATCAAGAGCATTGACAGGGGCAAGGTGGGTTCCCGTGCCCCCCTCCATTGACCATCAACTAACCATGTCATCTTTCCAGTACGTGTCCATTCTGCGACCACCACTCACAGATGGCGAGCCTCTGGATAAAACCGAATGGCAACAGGTACAAACCCAAGGCAGGGCTCCCTCTAGGTATATTTCATGCGATCCGGCCATTGCAGATCTTCGATATCATGTGGAGCGACCCCCAGGCCGTGATGGGATGCGTCCCGAACACCCTGCGTGGTGCGGGCGTTTGGTTTGGCCCAGACGTCACTGAGGGTTTCCTGCAGCGCCATCGGCTCAGCTATGTCATACGCTCCCACGAATGCAAGCCGAACGGGCACGAGTTCATGCACGACAACAAGGTGGGTGACTCCTTCCTTCCCTCCCACGCCCCAGACTGCGCCAATAAACCCTACCGCCTCCCACAGGTAATCACGATCTTTTCGGCATCCAACTACTATGCGATTGGCTCCAATAAAGGAGCCTACATACGACTCAACAACCAGCTGATGCCGCACTTTGTGCAGTACATATCGGCGGCCTCGCAGTCGAAGCGGCTGTCCTTCAAGCAGCGCATGGGCATGGTGGAGAGCTCTGCTCTGAAGGAGCTCGCCGTGAAGATGCGCGAGCATCGCGACGAGCTGGAGGATGAGTTCAGGAAGTTCGATCCGGACGATACCGGATGCATAACCATTACGAACTGGTGCTATGTGATGGAGAAGGTCACAAAGCTGGGACTGCCCTGGCGTCTCCTACGCGATAAGCTGGCTCCCGGCACCGACAGCCACATGGTGAACTATAACACCACCTTGGATCTGCTGGACACGGACGTGATCGTGAGTAGTTTCCCCAGTTTTACTGTGAGCCCTCAAAATAAATTGCCACTTGTTTTGCAGCTGGAGGCCGAGGCAGATGGAACCTCAGTCATGGACGCCTTGTATGCGAACAAAGCCAGTTTGGTGGCCATCTTCAACATCATCGATGCTGACAATTCTGGTAAGCACACTCCGCACGGGTAAGCACCGACAATGCAGCTTATTATTCGATTCCTTAGGTGAGATAACTCTGGACGAATTCGAGACAGCGATTGATTTGTTAACGGCACACATGCCGGGCGCCTACTCCAAGGAGGAGATGCTGGAGAAGTGTCGCATGATGGATCTGAATGGGGACGGCAAGGTGGATCTGAACGAGTTCCTGGAGGCCTTCAGGCTGAGCGATGTGCAAAGGAAGCAGCAACAGGACGAGAACATACGTAGGCGTTCGGAAGTCAGGTCCACCACCAAACCCTCGGACCCCGTGACCGAGCTGGCGGAGCGAATACACCGGAATACGGTCATTGTGGAGCAAGATATAGACCCATCGGACTGCGAGGCAAAAGTAATCAAACCCGATAAGGCATAAAGGCTCCACCGTTACTCACAGGCCGCCGTGACTCATGGAAGGCCAGACATAATCTGTTTATATAAACATGAAATACCAGGAAAATTGTTTGTCATATACGAATTATACTCGTACAGTTCTCCACAGCACTTCTGACGATCATTTGGGTGTGTGTGTCTTTTTTTATCGGTTTTCGCGGAGCATTTATAGTATTTGCGCAATATTAAAACATCTGACATAAATTATACGAGTATATGTAGCTAAATGCATGTGAATATATTTATAAATGATGAACTATTAGATCTCTGCGAAAGCAAAAACTACGGACAGCAAAGTCATGACACATTTTGGCTCGTCTGCCGGCCATTCCCGAATGCTTTTGATTTATAGAACAATTATAGAACATCGTATAATACCCGTATAAACAACCCGTAATAGTCGTATTGTGCACTCTATAGCTTGTGCTTTCTTCAAGTATAGCCAAATATCGTGCACATTTGTTATAGCTACAGTACAAGCGTATAAATATAATAAAAACTAAAGATATTTAATATTTATAACGCTTACAACCTAAGCCAATGGGATCAAAATGAATTTTATATTTAATACAACAAATACTGCTAGTACCAGAATTTTGTAATAAAACCAACGTTTAAACGTTGATGTTAAAGACATACATATACTATTCCTATCTATAATTATAACTACTATTAAACCCAAGCCAATTAAACATTATACTACTCCAAATAAATCTTCATAAAGCCGCACAATTTTTAATGAAATGAATGGCCAGAAATTACAGAAATTGTAGCAGAAAGAAATGCCTTCCTATGGTAACTTTTTTATGGATTAAGAATAATTTTACATTTTATCTGAGAAAATTATTTTAGGAAATTTCTGTGCACGGCTTTTAGGATTCTATTAAATATTATTTAAGTTTGTCTAAGAATCTGTAGAAAATTTAAATTAAATGTAATCCTTAAAGCATAGATAACCTAGGGCTTGGGGAGATTTAAATTATGTACCAATTATTTTCAATTCTAATTTTCAAGCTGGCTCTATTATCCTTCCTTAAAGTACTTCAAGCAAGCACAGGGTTTTCATGATTGCAGCTAAGCCTCCTGTGGAAATGTTTTCTGATACTTTTACCCTCAAAAACGTTACAGATATTAGTTTGAAATTTAAGAGAGCATAAATATATAAGTATGTACTAGTAGTATTCCCAAAGCCGATCTGCTATCAAAATATATGCCATTTGAGACCAAAATCATATCACTTTGTGCAGTTTTTGTTAGACTATCCCGTACGTACGTATGTCCAGCATAAGATAAGGTTAGATTAGAATCCCGAAACTCACATTGCCGTGGGCAGAAATGAAACGACGATTGTAATACATTTATACATTTTTACACAATATATTTATACTGAAATTTCTTTGGAATATCTTGGAACGTTGAATGTTGCATGTACAATGTATAAATATATGCAAAGCAATTAATTACAATGTAATGATGTTGATATTGAAAAGACGTAACCCATACAACAAACGAGTATGTAGCCATTTGTGGCCCTCTTCAATTGAGATTCTGAAAACAGGTTTTACTTAACATTCGTAACAGTATCAATTGGCCGTCAAATTCCCCAACTAAACGCAATGAAAACTTTTAAAACTAGCAATCCATTGATGTTGTGCTAAGTATTTACTTACTCGTAGTTTAAGTCGTTTGTTTGCAGGGAGTTTGCTCTCCTTTGCTAAGAATATACTCACACGATCGGAATGGAATCGAGTACCTATGATAGAACTACAACCAAAACGCTTCTCAACAGGCACCGGTAGGACCAAACAATGTCATCGTCAATCGTTGACACACAAATAACATTACGCTACGCTATGGCTAGTTATCAATGAACATTTTACATACAAATTACATACACACTACATAAATATGTTATTTAATATAAGCATAAGATACTCGCACCTCTCTCTATCTCTCTCTCCAATTTGTATCTTCAGCGACATTTATTATTCGATAGTGAAAATATTTTCCTGAAAATAAACTTTATTAATTCATTGCATGTTGTACGCCGTATACTAACAATGATCCATCCAAGAGATGGTGCTCTGTAGAAACTTACTTTGAGTATGTATTCGATCTGTCTGGAATCTGGAGGAAATAAAGTAAGCCTGTGCGGGGCATTTCTTCCTTTTTATTTTTTATTTTTACATAAATTTCAAAATTAAGAAAAAAAAAAATATAAATAAATATGAAGAGGTTTTCCCATCCCAAAGCCATAAATCCGCATGCCAAACATTTCACTGACTCGGTGGCAAATGTTCTGAACAGCATGGAAAAATTTGAAAGTAGTTCACTCGCTTGGCCCACTTCCAAGGGCGCCTCCAGAAAGAAGCAGGACCTCAGAAGCAGACAGGACCGCTCCTTTCCGGATGTTCCCTTAGCCCAAAGTCCATCCAACCTGTACCCGTTTGACAAGAGTCGGCCACGCGGTTGGTGGGAGAACAGCAGCCAAGTTCGAAAGAAAAACACATTTTATCAAATTCTTCAAGAAAATCAAAATCGAGAATTGTCGCAGATGTCGAAAATTTACCCGTACAATCCCCAAAAAGTGTCACCAATGCCGGTTTATCATCCCATACAGAATGGTATTGATATCAGAAATATGAGCTTTGCGAGGAGGCCACCCGATGACGACAAAGTTTATGTTAAACAGTACGAAAACAATGCATCTCTGGGAGTGCATCCCATCCACAGAGTTAAGCGGCTACCCGATCCTCCATTAATAGATGTGGATGTGGCGCGGAATACCGTCAGTAGCTACAAAAGAAAAACGCCTTCAAAACCGTCAAATGTACCGAAAACTCCAAGTTCCCAACAATTTGTACTCAGTTCTTCGTTCAAGAAGGTGGAACCCAAACCAAATTCGATTCGAACATTAACACAGCATAAAAAGAGCACAGGGAACCAAAAAAAGAAGACACGTAGGCAAAGTAAGCCATTGAGAATCTCCTTCAAGCGCCCGGACACGATTAGCCTTTGCCGGTCAAGGAAGTCTGATACAGCCTCTATTGCCACCGCAATTCTCGACGAAATAGTAGTCGCGGAGAGGCAGTCGCTGCTGCAGATCAGAAGCAGTTTGATAGTCAAGCCCTACCAGCAACATCTGCCTGACAATCAAAACGATGAAGGGGAGCGCCGAAGAAGCATCATAAGAGAGAACAGGAGTCGTATGGAGGTATTAAACAAACAGGAGGATACTCCTAGAGCTTCCTATGTAGAGCAGCTGGAAATGTTTAGGGAATTGCTTGCGACAAACACGTCGATACATAATTATAACAATGAAATAGACATCGATATAATAGATCCAGCTGATGTTCTTAATTTTCCATATCCCATGTTGCCTGAAGATACCCCCAACGTCGATCCTTCACTGGAACAGAAGACGAAAATCCAGCCGAAACAGAAGTTGGGTGCGCAGCAAACGGGGCAACCTTTGGAGAAGAAGGTTGCCCCAAAGAAAAACGAATGTTGCATTTGCCAGGCGTTACACCGGAACCACACAAAGGATGCGCCCTTTATCGTGGAGATGAAGAGGGAGCAAAAGCGGCAGGAGTTGTTGGCATATCGCTACAAAATGTTGGCTGCCAATCCCAGCCTCAGGGTTGCCGTGTGGTGCAAGACACTGAACAACTACGATCAACTTGTTCATGAAAAAGTTTCATAGAATCACGCGAAATGCGAAATGCGAACGGAAACATAATTCCTCTGAGAAGCATAAATAACATTATTACTTCTTAAGGGAATTGTGTTCCCGTAACTAGCATTTATTTGGAAACAGAAACGATCTTTGTGATAATAATAAAACGCTCAACATACTCGTATATGATTTATGTATCGTACAAGTCGTGTATTTGTATCATAGCTTAGAGGTTCAGGGCGCTGTGGAGTCACAAAATCTTACAAATTAAACATATTTTTTGATTGTTTTTTTTTTTAATTCCAAAAATAATTTCCACTACATACACAGTACTCGTATAATTTTGACTAGAATGTTTGTTTAAATGTATGTGCATTGAAAGCAGTAAATAAGGATCACAAGGGGGCAAGGGGCCATAACTCCAATTCTCTAAATCAAAGATAGGATAATAAAAACAGATCGTGGGTTGTATACCTACATACATATATACACACTCGTATCTGTGTGCGAATAGATACTAGAATTAACTTAAACTTATCTGCGATATTTACATTTACAACGTGAGACTAGGCATAAATATCCTGCATCCTAATTCTACTCCAAGGTGGTCTACGTTTCTCATATGCTGCTCTCATATGTATATGGTATGTACCCGTACTTAACAGAATCCTAAGAATGCTACCGCTAAACGTAATCTCCATTATTTGTGCTGTTTCTATATACATAATACTCTCGTTACACGGACACCTCCCTCGACTTGGAGCGCAGCTTCGATTGAAGATCCTCGTGTCCCATCTTGGACTCCGTTGTGGCTGTCAGTTGCTTCAGCGTGACCGTCTCATAGTCGCTGCCACTCTCGTCCGCGAATTGGATGTCATCCAGTGCCAGGAACTCCTGCAGATCGTTCGTCGACTTCTCGCAGGCAGTCTCCTTCTCCACATACGACCCAGTCATCGATTCATTGGGATCCGTGTCGGCTTCCAGCTTCTGATGCACTGCGGCAATCTCACTGGGATGAGTCCTCACGGTGCGGATCTCGTGCTCTGAGGCTGCGCCAGTGCCCAGTGAACACGTCGAGAGGAATCTTTGCTTGGAGTGACGTCGCTGCTTGCGGGACATGTACGGCGTGGGCTGCTTCCCACTCTTCTGTGGGACAGTCGTTGTCGTCTCGCAGGGGGAGGTGGCCTTGGAGGGGCGCTCACTGTTCGGCGGCGATCGCTCCTCCGAGCTGGGCGTGTTGTCCGCCGTTTGGGATCTGCTCGACTCCGTGTTGCTGGCCGGACTCAGATAGTGGCCGTACTTCGGCATTTGGATCTCCTCGTACAGCGGCTCTGCCTCCTCCCGCTGCGGCTCCGGCGTCTTGTCTTCGTCGTCCCGCTCGGCCACTTCCTCGAAGGGCGGTATCCACACCAAGTAGGCCGGATCCATGCCCAGATACGAGCCTGGTGCGGCGCCTGCATTAATCACGTTGTAGTCGTAGTAGTCCAGCTCGAGCTCCTCCTGATTCCCCAACGAGAACTCGGACCCGGGCCGTGCCAGCAGCTTCCTGCGGTTCTGCTTCTCCTTGGACTCCTTGGGATTGCTGGTCGTCCGGATGGTAGCAGTGCTAACCACGCTGGCGGCGGGAGAGTAGCAGCCCTGCAATAAGGATATATATAGAGACAGCTACAGCTATGATTCCGGGGGATCCTAAAAGTACGAGTACCAACTCACATTCGTCAGGGAAGAGCTGACACTCCGCGAGCCCAGGCGACCCATTCGCAGCGACTCGGACACGGAATGCAGGGAGCTGGCATCCTGCAGGCTCTCGTCCAGACGGGAGGAGAGCAACTTCAGGGTGACCGCATCGTAGCGATCCGAGTACTTGCTCATCCGCTTGCTGTTCATCGGCGGACTGTTGCACAGGGAGCTCATGCCGGACGATATGATGGACTCCGAGTCCTTGGCGCTGTCCTTGCAGCTGGCCGGCAGCATGCGGGCCTCCGGTGAGCATTCATCGTCGTCCGCTTTGGAGGACAGCACGGCATCACCGGACGACGGCGAACCGACGACACTTTCCCCTTCCAGTGAGCGCGCTGGCGAGGATCGTTCGTTCCGCAACGTCAGCATTGAGGCGGAGCTACCAAGCTCTTGGATGGGATCCCTGCAGGAGACGGCATTGAATGTTACGTCTGTCGGTACAGACAGGTCCTGTCGCCCCTCCCCCAAGGGTGGGTACTCACCCCTTGACCGGCAAGCCATCTGGGCCAGAATCCTTGAACTCCGTCTCGAGGTTCAAGTTCTCGGCGTCCACGCTCTCCCGCAGTATGGAGTGGCGCAGGTGGTGCTTGGGTCGCATCTTCACCAGGTAAATGACCTCGGAGAGGAGCGTCGTAGTCGATGTGGCACGCGACGGCGGTCCGTGCAGCGAGCTGAGCGAGGCCCGAGGCGTGTGCAGGCGTGATCCTTCGTCCTGCCGCAATGCCACCGCCAGATGATATTTCCGATACCGCACCACGTACTGAGCCCCGAGCAGGGCGCTTATCAGAATGATAATGCTGGCAAAGATCATGGCACTCAGGTGGACCAGGGTGAAGCGCAGACGTGACATCGCCGGTTTCTGGTGGATGGCGCGGCTCTTTCCGGAAATTCTAGTGGCCGCAATAAGGGTCGTACTGTTGTTGGATCCCCTGGCCCCGGCTGTGGGATTGTAGCATAATAATAAGTGCAGCCCTGAGGTGGAATTTTCAGCTAAAATCCTTACGTAGCTGCTGCTGGACATTGGCCATAAATCCGCCGGTACAGGCGGCGGCTGTTCCGTCCTCAGTTGTGGGGGATGCAGAGGATGCATTAGCCGACTCTCCCGATGAGAACTCCACCAGGAGCTGCCCGCCACTGGACTCGATTGCCACCGGAATGTGGCTGAAGACGTGGCCGCCCTCGCCAACGGCTCCCTTGAGAGTTAGGCCGCCGCCGCTCAGCTCCACCAGCAAAGTGGATGAGAGCGAGGGTCCATCGCGCACCTTGATGTACTGAGAGGCGCAGGGCAGGCGTAGGAAACTCAACACAAGCGAGATGGTTTCCTCCCCGTCCACCTAAAGAAATGGAAGTTTTTTTTTTTTGTATTGAGTACGAGTATTAAAGGGAATCCCCCCTTCGAATTGGGGTCAACCTTCAACCGGAAGTTCGATTTGAGCATCCTGCCTGACTGCCTGACTGCCAAGCTGCCTGGCTGCGTGAACGTGCCAATTGGCGGTCTAATCAACCCAATTGTATTAAACATAATCAAGGAAAAAGTTCGTCCCGAAACGTTGATAGTTTCGGGCGGCTGTACGGGCGGCTGTAATGGACTTGACAGTCGACTGGGACGAGTGGGGCATTTATTATGCATGAATTCTGTCTGTCCCACAACGAACGTCCCACTCGAACCTACCCCCAAAATGTCTCTGTGGCATGCAACATTAACTTACAATGCCTTTGTCACGGCGGCCGGCAGCATCTCAAGCGTACGGGAATTTTATTCATGGACACATTTCTGAATGTTTGGCATTGTTCGGCTTTATGGTTATTGCCGCAGACCACTAGAAAGAACAGTGACCAACGGTCAAGGGGGTCAAGTTGGGTCAAGTTGGCTCAAGTTTCGATGGGTCTTGGGGGTCAGCGAAGGGTCATACCTGTATGAGCCAGAAGGAGCGTCCCGGGCAGCTTTGAGTGGCTCCCGCTATAATCCGCTTGGGCTTCGAGGAACCCAAGTGCACAATGCAGCCACAGCGACAGCCGGGTCCGATCTCCTGACTGACCTCCGAGCTGTTCGATTTGCTCAGCGTGGTGCCGGATGTCTCGTAGATGCAGTCCCACGTGTCGGCAATGCTCTTGCCACACTTTTCCGTCTCAACGGAGGGGCCCTGCAAAAGAAAAGGTCTCTCGATTAGCTCCTCAAATATATCATTAAATATCAGAATTAAACCAACATTCTGTGTGCTTTACAAGGATTACAATTTTTATTTACTGATCAACGAAAAACAATATGAAATGTGAAACTAAATGCTTAATAGAAGAGATTAATTTCAAAGTCGTCGTCCTCTTCTTCGGCGATCTCCTCCATGCCGGATGAGCGGGTTACGCCCGTGACGCTATCAGCTGTACCGCCACTTCGAATGGACTTTGTCTCACTCGTCTTGGCATCCTCCACGGAGATAACGAGTGGTGCGGCTGCTGGCGGTGGGGCGCTGCCCTCGCTGCTGGGCTTCTTCATGGACACATCACTGCTGGAGCCTTCTGGCTCCTCCAGCGGCTCCTCCTCGGCCTCGATGAGATCGTCCTCGCGAGAGGAGGACACATACAGAGTGGTGCCAAACTCCACGTCGATGATGGAGAGCTCGTCGCCGCGGCGTCGGCCTGCAGCGCCCTCCTGTGCCTCCTTGTGCTTCGTCAGGTAGTCGGGCAGTGTGTGATCCACCACCAGGTCGACGACCTCGCTTCTGAATATCTCGAAGGGTGTGGCCTTGGGCTTTTGGGGCATGAAGCCCATCTTTCCGGGCGCGTACAGCGAGGAGGTGGCACTGCCTATGGACACCACCGACGGGGTGCGCGGCAGCTCCTCGGAGTGGGAGCTGACAATGTTCATGAGCTGCGAGAGCAGATCGATGCGTGCCAGCTTGCAGAGGGCGACCGCCTCCTCCTTGACCTCCTTGATCACCTTTGGCTCGTCGACATCCGCCACGACGAGCCGCTCCGGGAACAGCTTGACACTCTTCTCGGCTATGATGGCATCCCGCACGGTCACCTTGATCTCCTGTATCATGCCACGCAGGCGCTGTATCTCCATCTCGTGCTGATCGTGCACCACCGCCAGGTTCTTGTTCTCCAGCGACAGGATCTCCATGTGCTTGGCCAGGGTGCGAAGCTTGCCCACCGCCTCCTTCTGCTTCACCTGCTCGCACTTCTCCGCCTGCTGCTTGGCCTCGTAGGCCTTGCGGTACCGCAGCACCTCCACGTACTTGGCCTTCAGCTTCTCGTAGTTCTTGGTCAGCCCCTCGATGATCTTGATCTTGTTCACGGCGTTGCGCACCAGCTCGTTCTTGATCTGGTCCAGGGCGCTGTACTGCTCCTCGATCTCCTTGTGCTTGTCCTTCTGGTTGGTGTACTGCTGCTGCAGCTTGATCTGTGACATCACCAGCAGATCGATCTCCTTCTGCAGGGCAATGTTCTCGCGGATCAGACGGCGCGTGTAGCCCGCATTGCGGATCTCGCTGGAGCGTGTAAAGTCCTCGGATACCTGCAGCAGCTTCTGCTCCACCTCCTTCTTCAGGGCATCCTTCTCGACCACCGCCCGCTGCTCCATGTTGTACAGCGCCTCCTTTTGCTCCTTTTCCTTCTCCTTGAGATCGGCCTCCTGGTCGTCGAACTTCGCCAGGAGTATGTCGCGCTGGATGCGGAACTCGTCCAGGGAGTTCAGCTTGCCATTCAACAGCTTTATCTCCGACGTCAGCTGGTCGTGCATGGCCTTGTACTTGCCCTCCAGGTCGCCAATCTTCTCCTGCGCTATCTTGTTCTCCTCGTCCCGCACCTTGGTGATCTCCACCAGCCGCTCCTCCAGCTCGGTAATCGAGTTATTGCGCTCCGCCAGCGTTCGCTCCAGGTGGGCGGCCACATCCGTCCGATCGCTCTCCACATCCTTCAGCTTCTCGTTCAGCACAATATTCGACTCGTCCAAGGTCGACAGATGCGATCGGAGGCGGGCCAGCTTCTGGTTGAGGTCCGTGATTGTCAGCTCGTAGAAGGTCCGATCCACCATCGTAATTTTGTTCGGATCCTTCTTCTCCTTCTTTCCCTTCTTTTTCGGCGGCATCTTGATGTATTTTGTCTTTCCACTTTTTCCGGTATACTAAATTTCCAAATTGTGTTTGAATTTTGGGCGATTATCCGTTTGAATCGGCTAGGCTACGTGAATGTGAGTGCCAGGCCTCCCGTTTCGATTCAGTAAAGTAATCCAATAAATTCCTAAACAAAAAACAAAGCCCCACCGTTGTCAAGGATATGAACTTGGGTGCCAAAGCTTTTAGCAAAGCTGCCACCATAATTCCGGAGAGCTTTAGTTGATTATAAATAAAGCTAACGGAAACTATAACTTTGGCATAATTATTTCGGCAAATATGAGAGCTAATGAAAGAGGTTTAAAGGCTTCAGTGGGTCCTCCTGCATTCCCCTTGGGGCTGTGCTATATTTAAGAATTACTCTACCAAGAAGCAAATAAAACATGGATATATAATGTGGAAGAGTTCATTGCTACTTGTCACAATAATTATGGAGTGCAAACTATTTAGGTAAAAGGCTGCTGTGCTCGTGCTCGTGCTCCCTTCATTGTGCTCCTCCATTGCTCCATTGGCAGGACTGTGTGGCACCTACACCTACTGCCAGTAAGTGTGGCAAACATTTGAAAACTTGGCTGTAATTGTTCCGAACAAGTTGGCAGAACAGCGAACAAATGTGTCCCGGCCCCTATCGCTGGGGATGTTCATGCCGGAAGTTTTCGGATAATGAAATGCATGGGCGGGGCGGGCATTACGCGCACTGTGTCCCCACAAAAGAAACACAAGATGAAGTGAGCCGACACCCACCGCCGCTGCCGCTGCCGCTGCCTCACACTTGTCGGAAGTGCCGTAAAATCCCCGTGCCGCCCAACAGGCCCAACAGGCCCCAACAGGCACAGATAGCAAGTGGAATCGCCTGCCCGCCCTGCCGTACAAAAACAATGGAATAGTTGTACGGAGTGCACAGGGCATGTTGTCCTGGGGGGAGGGAACTGAACAGGGAAGCAGCCAAGTGGATTGCGAACTTAACTGAAAGAATCCCCCCGCAGGCAACGGAGCAGGAGAACAAATGCCAAAAGTTTAGCACTTATTCTGTGCGCCTCGATACAAATTTACAGATGTAAGCGTTGCATTAATCATTCACCATTCCCGCAAGCTTTCAATCAAACTTTGACAATCAGCTACATGGACGCGAGACATTTACATACATCAGGCACCCGGAAAGCCCCTTAAGATGCTCCAGGAATCCCAAGCTATTACAGCAATAGTTATCCAAAGTTCTATATATATTGTGGATAGTGGGATATCGTTTAAGTACAAACCTCACAGAACTTTGCGCCATAGCGCGGTGGTGGGGAATCACAGAATCGGTAGCGATTACGCGTTCCTCCCAAGCAGTTGGTGGAGCAAGATGTCCACTCGCTCCACGGACCCCATCCACCAGTGTCGGAATCTACAGAGTTGGAATGAAACTGTAAGCTGAATGAAAGTACAGGGGGGCGGGGAATACCTACCGCTGACTGGCAAAGTGGGTACGCAGTCCATCCGCACATCCGCCACGGCGCCAGATATGGCCTGGCTGACGTACACGAAGCAGTACTCCACGTACTTCTCGGAGAATAGTTCGCAGGAGAAGTACAGCGAGTGCTGGCTCTTGACCACCCGCTGCTCGGCGACGTAGTGCAGCGATGTGGGTGGCTTCAGGGAAGCCACATCCGCGCGCAGCTTCGCGTAGAGGCGCACCCGATCGCCCTGCTCCAGGATGCAGCCGGGATACTCGTACAGCACTCCGATGCCCGTGTGCGGATCGCAGGGGAAGATGCTACGGGCATAGACATTAAAGACAAACTCGTCGCTCCAGTCCACGCTGAGCTGCCGCCGGGTGGTGGGCACATTCTGGGCGGCTATCATGGGCCGCAGCTGGACGGCATAGTTCCCGGCCAGACCGAACAGCTGGCAGCCCAGCTGCAGGCTCTTGTGCTTGGGGAAACCACGCACCTGCTCGGCGAAGAGCACACTGGACCGGGAGACATTGAGGCCGCAGCTCCGCTCCTTGCCGCAGTAGATCAGCTCCAGCCAGAACTCGGGCAGGCCCGGAACCTTGCCGGCAACAAGGGCTTCATCGCAATTGACCTCGGGAAAGCGCAGCGTCACCTCCACCGGGCCCTTGGGGTAGGTGCGCAGGCGTACCGGACTGACGATCATCTCGGCACTGGGCCACCGCACATCGAGGGTCTGCTGCAGCCGCTCGTCCTGGGCCGGCACCAGGGTGGTCGTCGTCAGTGTGGGTCTGGGCGCACCATCCGCCTCGCTGCGGTTGCGTCGATCCAGGGCCGGGGCCGGGGGTGCATCCGATATGGTTTTGAGGTTGCTGACAACCTGCATCTCATAGAGGCCGCCCAGAAAGAAGGTCTGACAGGGCACGGTCACCTGGGTGACATTGAAGCGTGGATCCGGAAACAGGGGTATGTTCTGGACCACCTCCTTGCGCTTCCGCTGGAGCAGCACCTGGGTGCCATTGCTGCTGGCTCTGCTGCCACTGCTGCTGCCATCGTCCTGCTGGTGGTGCCCGTGCCCGTGCCCTGACGCCAAGTCCTTTTCCGGTGAGGGCACGACCTCATCAATGATTTTGCTAATGACTAAAGTGCTCATTATGGTATTCCTGCTCGTCAAGGAGTCCCTCTCCTGCTGCTGCTGCTGCTGCTCCTGCTCCTGCTGTGGCCCTCGTCCGTCGGTGCTCAAGTGGGGGGGCGTGCCAGGCGGCTCTGTGTCGTTTCCATTGAACTGAATCTGCACATGCAGGTCCCCGCTGAGTGCAGTGAATGTGCTCGGGGACATCAGGCGACCCTTTCGCACCGCCAGCACGTGACCTTTTGTCGAAATCGAGCCGAAGACAGAGGCCGGGAGCACAATGCGAGAAGAGAAGCATGAAAAGAGGAGAGATACAAATTATAAATCCCTGTTATTCATTTCTGGCCCCTTCCCCACCTCCCTGGGCCATTATTTCTAGCTATTCATTCAGCTTTTGTGTGCGCTGTCCCTATGGTGGTGTAAATTGAGATGAAACAGGGCCACAACAGCGCTCCCATTTACAGATTACGGAGGCAAAACAAAAGCAACAGGAAAAGCTCTGTTACGGAACACCGAACAACTCATACCCTTGCCACTCAATACGTTCTATGGGATGCTAGAAATATAACCCCATGACCCATGTCAAAGTCCGCTCAATTGAGTGACACTTGGAGACAAAGGCTATCAAGTATACCACTCTCTCCTGCAGGCTGCAATCTCTTCTGCTCTTCTGCTGACTATAACTGACTTACTGACTTAATAATGCGATTAACAAATGGATATAATATTAACCACAGCTTCATTTATACTTTGGAACGGACAAAAATGTGTCGAAAAAGGTGCTTCGATTTTAAATTAGATTTCTGTGCTCCTAAAGGTATTCCCTGGCCAAAATTTAGTACAGTTTCACTCACTTGTTTCGCTCAACAGGAGCAACATTATGGATGATATAATAATTTTCCACTTGACTACTGATTCGAGGCCGGATGCTATCATTTCGATTGTCTTCTTTCGCTTGCGATTCGCCGCCATCTTCTCTTTCATATTTTTTCCTTTTGCTCTGTTGTATTTGTGCCTTGTGCTCCCAATTCCCAAGTCAATGGATATGGTCCACCGGAGCTGCTGCTGGGGTTGCTGCCACACCGGGAGCGAGACAGTAGTCGCGCGCAAGTGGAGCTGGGCGCTGGCTGTTATTCCTCATTGAGGGACAATGAGCATCTGTTTAGCTCTTATCGCGGAAGGAAGAGGGTGCCGTGGCGTGGCGTGGACATATTCTGAAAGACAAATAGAGCAAGCCACACAAATCAATTGCAGGTAAAGTCTATGCAAAAAATAATACAAAAGAAAGGAAATGAGTACAGAGCTCTAGCGGGTTAGATGAATGGCTGACTATGGGGAAGCGGAGCGAACTCCCTGGCACTTTTTGAAGGGAACCAACACAGGATGAAGGATTTCGAATATCAGAAGATATCTCACACTCACGTGGCTGTCACAACTCTCCTCATCACTGTCTGGACTCTCAAGTAATTTGTGCCAGTCAAAGCTAATAGCTAATACCCTAATGGAATAGCCAACACACATTCCAAACTCTTTGTGCAAGTACTTTTAGGCATTAACTATGAATCAGCATTGCTAGAATTTATCTCTGTCTGGGACCACTTTCCGATCGAGCTTAAAAAGTCACTTTCGATTCCCAATGGTGGGTGTACAATGCAAACAATACAAATGACAACTCAACTGAAAAAAAACCTTAAAAGTAAGTGCCAACAGCAAAGGGTGTCAATGGCCCCCTTTCGGACAATAAAACATCCCCCCATCACCATCCACTCCCTAAGCCAAAAAAAAAAAACACTCCTAACATGTATGGCCTAGACCGTGTATATTGTACATACATATATGTATGTAAAATGTACATATGTATGTATATTGTATGCTTTTGTATATAAAAACTCCTTTGTGCCCCAAAAGAAAACAGAAATCAAGAAAAAATTGCTAGAGTAAACATCTGGACTATAAGATACCTGTTATCCAAAATATTCGAAGTGGATTTGTGAAGGTGAAATATTTTATACTTAATCGGAGTTCCAGCAAGAAAATGACAAATTTGTTCTAACCATAAAACCCTGTACAAATAAATATGAATGAATAATATATTAACATGGTAGAGAGGTATATTTGGGCTAAATAAAATACCTTCTGGCTCTACTGAGTGCTTACTGTGGGTGTACTCGTACACCCTTAGAGTCTCTAAATTATTGGGTATCAAATACCGAATCAACCCTCATAAATTCTTAAACCAATTACAAGTCGTGCACGAAGCATTTTTATGGCGATTATTTTCACAATTCAATGCAATTTCATGAAAGTTATGGTCCAACAAAAACGAAATAAAACAAACATAAAACTAAGGAAAATTGTGATTTTAAGTGTTCAGAGCCTGCTGTTTATGCTTCTCTCTTCAATGTAATAATAATAATAATACCATGTTTGGGCAGAATTCCAAAAATAACCATCGTTATGGGTCATTTGGGGGCACTATTGTTGCCCGTAGAACCCATACGGGTAGCTTGTAAATTATTGTGGTATAAGCTCGGCAAATTATCTCTCTAATTGCACATTTCACATGCGTTTAGTCAAAGAACATTTTCAATTTCAATTTGTGGAGTAATTTTAGCTTTTATGTGGCACTTTCATTTCCATTTTCCGCAGTAGTTTGACTGAAGCTGACAGTTGGACGCTAACGCTGAAGTTTCTGTGTCCCTGTGCGAGTATTAGTTATCAATTCGTTCGGTTTGTACGTCCAAAAACCATCGAGGGAGGACCGAGACCACCCGGAGTGTTTCGATATGTTTCCTTGCTCACCATAATTAAGTAACTTTCGTACATATACGAGTATGATATTAAACACATTCCAAAAACAAGGCAAGCAGCCCCAGCCACAGCCACAGCTCCAGGTGCGGCTATTCATCATCGGCATCCCCTTAATATGATGTCTGAATCAACGTACAACCGTGAACTTTATACAAGTTTGAGTGTAGAAGTTCTGGAGCTAGTTCCTGTCGGTTACACGTTGGATACTTCGACAGGGGCAAGGAATAAAGGTGCCTTCTTATATCAACCCCAACTCTTCCTGCAGCCTTCCTTCATCATTAGCGAAATCTGACATCGTCATTGGCATGTTGTGCACCCTGCCCCTGCCCTGTCCCTGTCCTGTGCTGTCCTGTCCCTGCCCCACCCATCCGTTCTCGTAGGAGTGTAACTTTAATTACGAACACGCACGGATCATATACCGATAGGCAGATGGCACATTGCACGCCTTTCGCGCTAATGAGTTGGTCCTGGCAGGGGATTCCACATGACACATGTGTCCGTCCGAACGGTTCTCAGTGGAGGGACCAACGCTTGCTGGTTGTAAGCTGCCTCGAATCGTGGCTTGTTTACAGCCAAACGGCAGAGCACACATCGAACTCTGTTGTGCATTTCGTGTTGCCCTTTTCTATGCCCTTGCGGAATCAGAGGGCACAATCAACTCTTGGCAATATTCGTTGCAACTTTTACATAAGCAAATTACTATGGAACAAGGCATTTCCTAAGGGCTATGCTACGGAAAGAAAACCAGTTTCCATCCCATGGATCCCATCCCATGTGGAAAATGAAAGCAGAAATCACAGCACACTTTTCATTGCCGAAAATTCGCAAAAGTTTGCTCTGTCCCCCCGCACAGTGCAACAGGGGAACGTGTCGATGCCGCCGCCCACCGTCATGATTATCGATGTCGCTGGTTGGCAGGGTACAGGACGCAGGGTGCAGGGTGCAGGGTGGGTGGCATCGGAAAACTATTAACTGCACTGTGCGGTCCTTTGAATAGGCCATTATCCTGCTAGCCAGTCGCCACCCGCCACTGACGCTAATCGCTGGCCCGGCCCAGGCCCGCTACACAGGCCTCCCAATCGTCGCAGCGTGGAAAATCAAAGTGATTGCGGCACAGAGAATTATGGTGCATGCCTGGACCTAGGGGGCAGTACGACAGGGCTCTACATGTCATTGCCCCTGCCTGACTGGTTTTGCCGTCTGGCTACCAATTCCACCCTCGCCTCTGCCACGCCAGTATCCGCCGCCCTGCGACCCCGCCAGAGTGCTGTTATTCATTATATTTTGTGGGCAGGGAAAACTCTGCTTCGACTCCGCCGGGGGTGACTCCTCGTCTATGGAAACACACAAACACACACACACACGAGCCACACAGACGAGTACTCGTCGTACCTCTACGGACGAAACTTTAAAATGCGCAAAATTCACCCACAAAGGAAAAGGGAAAAATGCAGATTTTGAATATCCACACATTTACATGCTCTGTTTACTCTTAATCAATGGACAAGGCTGAGAACGAGCTGAGTTTGCAGGGCCTTTCCCTGTCCGTTTGCGCGAGGGGAGAAGAGGGGAGCCCGCATGCGGTGGTACTGGTACTGGTACTGTTACTGGTCTGGCTCTGGGTCTTGCCACGGACGTTGTTTGGTCTCTTTGGCAAATGGGCTTAAAACTACAAATAATAAATCCCCCTAGGATGTAATTGCCCGACCTGGACCACAGCCACAGCCAAACACAAGCTTGTCCTCGTTTTACCAAAATGATGGAAAGCAAAGCAAAGCAAAGCAGGCATGTACATCGGTATTAGGCCACGGCTAAAAGGATCCACTGAAGCATACAAGGATTTTACGAGTACATAGTAAAAATGAGAAAAGTCGAAAGCAGCCATAGATTATTAACATGTCTCTTACGTGGACTGCCCAATGGAGATCTTCATAGGATCGTGCGCCTTTATCATCAATATTTCACCAACCACACCCCACATGAGCAGTAGATAGCAAGTACATAACAGATATAAATATGAAAACAGTATTTCAACTACAATTTATTTTAGGACATAATTTGTACAGCCTCTGGTGGCTCTTTGTGGTTTTGCAGCTGTATCAGCCACGAGGTTAACTGCTTGGAAACCGCTGACCCAGGCCGTCAGGGCAAAAATAAATGCATCTCAGAGCGTAGTAAGAGCAAAAATGTGGCAAGAACCACAGTGGCTCAGTTGTCGTTGCACTTGACACCAAAGCCACAAAGACTTTAACTACAATGATTGCTATGGCGCGCCACCCCTTTTTTTGGTCACAGCAAAAGAAAGCCAAGAAGCAAGGCGTCAAGTATTTAAATACCATTTGCTCACAATTTCTCGAATTTCCACCATTCCTGGAACTTTTCACTTACTGCAGAAAGTTTAGTTATCCAAAAATCAAATTCTTAGCAAAAATATCATTAATTTCTGGGAGTTTAACGATCAGCAGTCAGAGCTACAAAAAGGAATAAATCGGAAAATAGCTAAAGGCAGGGAAATTCGTTCTTAATTTAGTTTTTTCAGTGTAGTTTTCTCACCCATGCTGATTTATGCTGATTCGTACGCAGATTTGGCATCAATAGATTCTGAACAGCTCTACTTCGTTCAAGCAGAAAAAAAATGGCGAATCAAAGATAAAAGAAAAATACCCGATGATGGATCGAAATAATCCCAACACTTGCAGCGACATCTAATCCACTGGGAATGAAGCTCCTGCAAGGCGAGTACGAGTATGTGGGTTCGCTTATGGAATTGCAAAGCAATTTTAGCTCCAGACTGCAGCTACGCTGGTGGCATTTTCCACAAGACTAACCGCAACACAGGCACTCGCGTGCCCCGTGCAATTGACATTGACGTTGGCGCCAAGCTGTAGTAGGGAGTCTCCTGCTCCAACTCCTGCTCCTGCCGTGGCTCGTAACTCTTTCATCAGAACTAAGGGCACCTCATCATGCGAGAACTGCTCGCATGGAGCCTCAACAGTAAATAAAAGCACGACTACGAGTTTATTAGAATGGAGGTGAAAAGAGCTTATCCACCGCAGACGCCCTCAGGACGAATGCAATACAGAGAGAGAGAAAGAGAGAGAGAGAGGGCCTGCCATGCCTTTCACCAGGTAGAATCCAGGTAGAGCCCACCCAGCCATATGGAAATGGAATGCATTACACGGACAAAGCTACAAAAGGGGACGCCCTGGGGCAACGACTGGATTGCATGCAGGTGGACATTAAAGAGAGTCGACACCGACCCCCATCCCTCAGTCCGACCACGACTCTGACTCCTCCTATCCGCACAGCCAGCAAGTGCTACTTAATAATTGAAGACCCAGGCGTTCGCACCGTCGTAAGCTTGTCGAGAGCCAGAGCCAGAGCCCGGCTCTTCCAACGTCACTTTAATAAACGTCTGCGACGTCTGCCCAGGAAACTTAGCGACTAGACCGCAATCTAAGACAACCCCGCAGAAGCGGCTCCGAATGCAGACTAGACCCGACCCGACCCCTTTAGGGCTTAAGTGTGGGTGTGTTCGTTCCGATTCTGCCATGGCATCCGCCTCTGTGCTGCCTCTAAACTAAATGTGCACTTAAATCAGTCAGCCACATAGTCGGAGTCCGCCTCCTGTCGTCCGCACTACGAGGTCCTCGCCCCTAAGACGCCCACGAGCGAGTGCCTTGTGGCTGTCGTCTTTGTTTCGTACTGCTACAAAGTTGGGAACACAAAAAGAGAGGCACACAACTCAAGGGAGGGTACATGAAAGTTCGCTGTATTTTCGGTAGCGTCTCCCACTATGCGTTCCAAACGGAAGTCGTATCAATGTGTCCAAATATCCAATTAGAGGGTTTATTAGACGAGTACAAAAAGGGATTCCCCTACTCGAAGTATCTTTGCCCAAAACACGAGGAAGACCTACAAATGGCACCCTGAAATTTGTTGTAGTTTTTCCATCAATTCTCATTACATTGCCAGTAATGGGATCAGCTCGTACTGTGTATTAAAATGTCATGTGTTTCGTAAGAAGAATAAATAAGAATTATGTCTTCGTATCTTTAAGTTTTTCTGATCGAAAAACGGTGCCAAAAGTGAACTTCCTTTGGGGAAACTTCGAATTCAGTTAGAGATTTCGGATGCTTTCAACTTGTTCGCATTATGGTTTATTTATTCATAATTTACCATCTGGCGAGAGTGTTTCAATTGAGTCAACTAATCCAATCAAATTACGAGTCTTCACGTGCCGGATTCCCCACATAAAAGCTGTGTGGAATGCCAATGTTTGGCATGGCATGAAAATGAATTACAGTCAATTTAGTTTTGGCCTAAATATATAGATAATTCCATATTCCGCCCCCACATATCATCACAAAAAGGATGCGATAGCAAATCTGTAAATCAGCAGACAAGAAAAACGAAAATACAAATTGCGTATACGAGATTAGGGTCACCGAAATAAAAACTCCCCGAGTTGATTTCCGATTGAAGGAATCCCAGACAGTAGCCAGCGGCGTTTGAAGATAGAAGTTGGCGCAGTCACTGGCTCTGGGTCTGGCTCTAGCTCTGGGTATGGGTTCTTTCCTTATCGGCCGGAACACAATATTCATATTTGCATAACGCTCCCATAGAGTTCTGTATTGAAGCGACTCAGTTTCACTCCCTTCCAAGCACTGGCTCTTGTCTGGAACATCTCCCTTTTTCCCATTTTCCTGCTGCGCAAATGCCACAAGTCGCCTCCTCGTTCGCATCCTTATATTTGATGTCGTTGACGCTGGAACAGCTGGAGCTTGATTTGTCAGTTTTTATGGCAGACAGCCTTTGAGGCGCCAGTGCCGCCAAGCGAAAGGAATCCATTAATCGACGGCAGCGTCAGCCCAGACAGCGCGCCCAAAGGAGTTTATCCCGAAAATATAATGAGTCGGCACAAATGCTTCAGTAATTTTTTACTGAGAATTTTTCCAATTTTATGCTAACAATAAATCCTGCCATTCGTTTTGATTGATTTCTGCTTTGGCGGACATGTTGCGTGACCAAAATGCAGGATTTCATAAACCAAATGCTGAGTAAATAATAATAATTACTGCTGTTATGTACATACATACAAACCTAGGTCATGTCATGTGGAAATGTTGCTGCAAACACAATCGTATTAGTGGTAAAAACAAACACTTAAACCATCCCAACCACTCACGAAACTACCCACAAAACAGTGAGGGTTTCCATGCACGAATCTACCCATTAAACATTGAGGATTTCCATTCATCCATTCACGAGTTTCCCCACTAAACATCCACGAATCTAGCCATTAAACATTTTGGGGATTTTGGAAATTAATACCCGATAACGGCTTCAGCAGTTTTGAATAATGCTGCGAGATTGAAACTGTAAGCGGCAATATTTTCGCCTTTTCGTTCGCTTCATTTGCTGTTTGTTGATTTTGTGGTTGGGTTTTAGGGACCGCGGACCAGGGCTTCTCGGGATGATTAATGGAATGCGCTTTCGCCATTTCCCACCCAATCCTCCCCCAGAGCGTCCGTCCATTACGATAATGAGCCTGGGCCAGAACTGGAGTAATCGAAATGTTTTTGGGAATATTATCTGACAGAATCTTGGAGTATCCTTCGTATATTTTGCATGGATATTCAGTTCCCCATAAAAGTACTCTAATCAAAGGAAGGAAAGATTAGGTACATAAAAAAATTTTGAAAGTTTCCCCGATTAATAGGTAGTACGTTACGTGGAAAAGTTATCAGACAGAAGGAGGTCATTACTTTATCTGCGCAGTGGAATGCCATGCCATGCCATGCCATGCCCCAGAGGCATGGACCAATGGACCAAAATCCCAGTTGCCAGCTGCGGTGGTGGTCGGCCATAATTGTGCCAAGCGGCCAGCAATGGATCTAATTTGAATAAAAATGGTTCTCATTACGTGCAGCATCACGCGCCTCCGAGCTGTAGACAGATACATCAGATGTAGTCGAAAGTGTGGCGCCTCCACCTCCACACACACACACCTCCTACACAGATCGTCCCCTCGACCCATGGAATCCAATCTTCCTGTTCCCCATGCTCGTAGTCAAAATTGTTTATGAGAAAATGGTTTTGGGGAGTAGGCGGCAGCGAGGGAGAGGCTTATGACACGCAATAGAGAACCTCTACATCCACATCCAGGAAGCGGAAGTTTAATAGGTGGGGGCATGGGAGCATCCCCAGGAGTTGCGTGCCTGAGTGGAGGATTGCAGGAGTGGGTAAGTGGTGGAACACCACGTTGACTTCGATTTATGTTTGCCACGAGCCAACAGCCACCGAAAGTAAATTAAATTTGCATTTTTTTATTAGAAAGTATTTTGCTGAGTCGCCGAGTCGGTGGATGGGAGAGGGAAATCCCCCATGTTTGCTGAGGCCCAAAGGTGACAGACACCCTCCCTCTCGGGTTGACATCAAGTCAAGGAGGGAACTGAGTGCCTCTCCGTCTAATTGTGCCTGTTCCTGTTCCTGTTCCTTTGCGTTTGCCTTGATTATTTTCATTATTCGGAGGTGCAAGCATAGATTTGTGTTGTGTGTTTGTTTTGTTGGCAGAGACGGAAATACTCGTACTCGTACATAAGTATGCCCCACACTCGTACACTCGTACAGTCGTATAATCGCTTACCGCCGGATTACATTGTCGCATAAATTGCAAAAACAAAACCCTGAATCCGGCTTCAGTTTAATTACGCACATTTTTCCGTACACTGAAATGAAAAACAAAGAAGATTATAGGATAAACGCTCCTCGGGTATCCTTAATTCAAGCAGCAACCCAATTTGAAATTAAATGCCATGATACTCGTACAGCTGAAGAAAAGTTTGTTTGTTTGTTACTTACTTTTTCTGGCTGTATTCATTATACGAACACGACTCCTCCCATGAAATGAATTGCAGAATCTGTGAAATTATGGTACACAGACTCAATTCTCAAGTCATGTCTTACATATCAAAGGCATCTGCTTTAATCAACTACTTTATTGATAAAAACAAATTACTTATCATATGTTCAGCCTGCCAGAATAACCATCGATCTTCGGTGTCTACGCCTAGAATTCCTTGTCTTCCTTTCTCTACTTATCGCTTGGCTCGTATGATTAATATCGTTGGACTACCAATCAAAGTACTATTAATAAATAATGCCATACATTTTCTAGTATGATAAGTTTTCACAGCGTTATGCATACACATGGAAGACTATATATTAAAGCGGTTGAAGAAATCGCATTATGGTATAATCAACTAAATGTTCCCTTTATCCGAAACTTAAACAAAAATAAACCTAGATGCGTGTGGGATGGAGGTGGCGATGGCGCACACAGATACAATATTATCCACAATTGCATTACTCGAAAGCCAAGCTGAAAACATTTCCGACTGCCAAAATGGAACACTCGCACTGCACACAAAAGTTGCTCGAGCTGACATTTGAAACCGAATTCGAAAGCAAAAGTCAAAAAGATTAAGAAAGCTGTAGCATTACGACTGTAAGATACCCTGTAAGATCATCAGCAAAAAATCATTTTCAAAACCATGTCTAAAAGGTATGAAACACGTTTGCTGCTTTAGCTTCAATAACATCCGAAAATACTGATAAGGAATATGGGCTTCTTCCTGTTTCATTTATCTTTGTAAATGCTATATACCCTCTATGCTCTACTCGTGCTGGGTATAATTACAATTAAACAGAGGTAATGACACGGAGAAGCCGTGCAATACGTCTGGCATGCCATTCCGCGTGGTCATCGGATATCCTTCCCTCTGCATTCAGTGCAGAAAATGAACAGCAATTCCCTTGCGAAATGCAAACAACTTACCAAAGTGAAGCCCTTCGCAACTAAGTAAATTGTTGGCTTAACAAATTGCTAATCCCCATCCAGGCCACGGGAATGGACAGGAGACTGTTTGAATGGTTCGTAAGTTCTGATTTAAAGTAGTGAGAGTCCAGATCTCGAATTGAAATGCACTCGAGAATGTACCAGCACAGAAAAATCCTTCATCACGAAGCGTTTTAGTCTCAAGTCGCAGTGTGAAAATATTTAAATTGAATTGTGTGGCACTTGAGCAGACTTGAAGGCCTGCATTCTGCATTTCTTTCAACTCCTTGGACGACGCTTGTACTGTTCGGAGTTCTCGGAAAGGTCATTTCGCTTGGCTTTTAAGAAAATTAGTTTAAAATTAATTAAAAGATTTTCCCCCATAAAAGCTCTGTGGCTTTCAGAATACTCCTACGAGGGTGGAGGGAAAAATGGCAAAACTTGGGATAATCATCCCGACCAACTCCACACACACACCACCCCACACCCGTTCCTTGCCAGGCGGTTCGCTTGGTTGGACGTGTACGTACACCAGGAATTTTGCTCACTTTTTAATAGTTCGCTAACCGCGGAAAAGCTATGTGGAGCTTAAACACTGTTTCAAATACTTTTCCGGACGCAGAGTGTGTGTGTACGCAGCACGCTAACCCCCTTTTGGGTGGTAGCCCGATCCCTTTGCAACTCAAAAATACTTCAAAAGTCCTTGCCTGCGAGTTAACTCCAATTATCCGCCGTTTCCGAGTTGACTTTCTTTAATTTGGCAGACAAGCATCCGCTAAAGAGAAGTTAATCGCGTTGTGCTCTTACTCGTTTATTAAAAAGTAAAGTTGCTTCAAAAATATTCCCTTGAAAGGAGCTATATAAAATAATGACTGGAATGCAATGTCACGACAGAACTGTCGTCCCACTTAGTTATAAAGTTATTCATAATTTAATGTTTCATATTGTCGGAAAAATCCAATTTAATTGTCAAAGAGAACAAAACGTTCGTAACAGTCAACAGATGCTGTTGAAATCTGACGGATTTTCATTGTCAGTTTTCGCCGTTCCCTGACTATCATCTGGCTTTCAATCGAATGCTTTTGTATGTACTTGAGAATAATGCAGACACCCCCAACAAAAAGGAAAAGCTGTCAGTGCAGTTTCATGGTTCTAAGGGTGCTGCATGTACCCTGTAAGCCCTGTTCAATGAGACATATTCGTAAGCTGTTTGAAATTTGATCTCTTGCGAGATCTTTCATCTTTGGGGAATATCGTAATACGTACACATATTTAGTTATGTTTTTGCATACTTACATACGAGTATAGGTATCTCAAATCTAATGAATCAATTCTGAATGTCATCAGACAGGCATTATCGCCAAGTAAGATGGTTGGCTGTCGTCCTGCTGCAGTGGCGCTCCTTTCTGTTTCTGGTTATACTTCGAATTGATTATCCCATACCTGTCCCCGCCACAGGGAAAAAACACCCCGTGTTGCATGCAATTTTGGAAACACCACCAAAAAGAGAATAGCAATACGAACAGAGCGGGCCCAGACAGCTACTTTTATGCGATTCCAATTTCCAGTATGGTTTTAACGAATGCAGTGCCTTAAATTTCAATGAGATCACCCACTTCGAATTGAACCCAATTCAGTTCAATGAGAGGTGCCCCGACGACTTTACTTTTTCCACATATAAGGATCCAAATAGCTTATTTCTGCAACACACTTCACAATAGTTAAGCACTCGAATGCAGATAAGCCTCACACACACGGATGTCACTGCCACTGTCAGAGGACCTTTGTGCATTTGGAACCATTTTCCATCGCTCGGAAAATTCAATTTTGACAATTCTCAAGTGACACTTCGATGGCGCACTAAACAACAGAACGAGTTGCGCTCTTGACGGCCTAGAGCTCGATGGAATGGAATGGATGAATCAAATCCCAGCTACTACGACGATGTATGATACGATTGAATCCGATGATAGCGCGGCGACAGGCGAGTGGACTTTCACCCACGAACAGAGTCCAGAGCAAACTGGCGGGCACGCGACCTGAAGCCATCAGCCAAGGCGAAATAAAGCCACGAGCGCACGGACGAGCACGAGACACCACACGAGACTTCAGGCTATCCTCACTTCCTGCTCGGGGAAAGCGAGAAGCGCACGCCAGCGACGGTGTGAGGGGGTGCGCAGAGAGAGAGAGGACGCGAGCGAGCGCACGGGGTGGTTCAAACAACCACCCAGGGGGTGGCTCGGGTGGTTGGGCACGATATGTTTTGTATCGTGTGTTGTGACGCCGTCTGTTGCGAGTTGTACAAGTGGCATCTAGAGCAGGCCGGCGACAGGGGTGGAAAAGCGGGCAGCCAGACACTTTCCCCTACGTAGTACTAGCAACCGACAATTCAACTAGAATTAACTAATCGCCGCATGTAAATCTCTTGCCAAGCTATGCTAATACTGAATATTGGTACATTGGAAACTAAAATCATCTTTAAACTATAGCCCTAACTTAGTTAAATCCATTCTAGAGTAACTTTACAGTTTTTGCAACATATACGAGGCCACATTTATTTGTAAAATTAAATGCAGATTTAGTCATCAATCAGCATGAACAAAAGCACTAGAACAATTTTTAAGTAGTCAAGTTTTAGAATCAAGCTTCCTTCACTTGCAATAACGATCGGCTTTCATTTTGCTACGTCTGTCCAGAAGAGTTTCATGCAGGGATCCTTGTGCCTTGGCTTCCTCGAGCTCTTTTAGCGTGTTTTTGCTGATCAAAATCTTTTTGTCCTGAAACTTTTGGAACTTTTTCCTAAAGATCAAATAAAAACATAAATTGACCTTTAGCTTGAGAATAATTGCTTCTGCGGTGGCCGTACTTACACATAATTCTTTTCAACTTCCCCCAAGTCGCCCTTCTCTTCTTTGGGCTCCTCGTCGACGACAACGTCCCTTGCTCCATTGCTCCGAACTTTGCAAACTTCATGCTCTCCCACCTTCTTGCGCAGGGCCACACATGCATCGTCTTCGGGATCGATGGACATAAAGTGTCCGGTTTCTGCCAGCAAAGCCATTCGATTATCCTAAGGTCATTAAAAATAAACAATATAATCTTCTTTGAACACCTCTGGGGTAAATCAAACTTAGGTCCATACCTCGAATACTGGCTCCCATTGCTCCATGCTCCCAACGGCCTCTGAGCGTCCCGTAACCATACCATCCTTTTCAATTTTTAGATACTTTCCGTAGCCCGATTTGAAGGCCACTTTTCGTTCGTTGATGGGAAATGCAGTGAAAATCTCCTCCGGTTCTGGCGATTCACCAGAGCCATGAGGGGCGCCCAGGGTAAACAGACTACAATATTTATGTGTGTAATTATAAAAACGTGCCTACAGTGCGCTTATATGCAAAACATTACCCATTGTCCAGGGCCTTCAGGTAGCAGCGATTACCAAATTCTATAGCGACTGTTCCGGTCAGATCCACTGCGGCCTTCGCTGCCCACCAGCCGCCGTGATCGATTGCGTCTTCGTCGACTTGAACCTTTGGCTTTTTGGAAGTTTCCTTTTCGTCTTTATCCTTCTTGCGTTTCTTACTCTTTCTGTGGATAAACAGGAAAGGAAAACAATTATGAAAGCAAAGAACAGCAGATACAGGGTTCTATCTTCTTACTTGTGCTTTTCTCCCTTTAACACTAGTTTTTTTATGCGTACATTGTCATAATCGGACATTGTGGCTTTTATTTATAACCACTTAGAGACAATTTTGTCCTAGAATTGCGGAAAACAAATTGTTTTTATTTTTTTTACTTTGTTTGGGTTGAAACAGTGTGACCGGTGTGAAAAACAAATAGCGGACTTAACCCACTTAGCCCCCCTCTATTTAAACTCGATTTTGATATTTCTTAGCCAGCTAGGACTCTAAGCACGGAACATATAATTTTTCCGAAAGATAAATCAATTCTCTACAATCCGGATAATTTTAAATCGTTATTTTAATTGAATTGTTTATAAAATACGGTTTTAACTAGAATGGTCACAAAAATGTCAATTTTTTACATGGTAACTACACAGTGGCTACATAGTAACTACATATTTATGTAAAACCATGAATCGATATCTTTTAAATTTGCAATCAAACTTAAAATCAAAGTGAAGAAAAACCTGATCAGATATATAACTATACAAATATGTTTTTAAACACTTTATTACACAAATTGATATATGTAGAGTTTCACAATATAAAAAAAAAGAAAAGAATTTCTTAACTTTGGTTGAAGAATTATATTTTGTAAATAAATATAAATAATATATTTTAGATATTTAATTTTTTAAAGATAAATGTAAGCGTAAATAGTTGATTACACAAAATGGAACTTTGGGGAAATAATAAAAGTACAAAAGAGCAAGCAAGGCTTCGGGTGACGAAGCAGATTGATTATTTCATTGGTGTCTAAATGGTAAAGTTGGCCGATTGGGTAACAATTCAGCCGAGCTATAAAGCGAGAGTAGAGTTTGGTTTGGAATGTCACAAGAGCTGCCTGACGGCGAGAATATTAATACTTAATGGGGTCTGAAATGATTCTTTTGCATTAGGAACCACTGGTCAAAATAATGATACCGTCTGCAAGGGCATACGAATACATATAGCAAGCATAAATACAAGATCCTGAATCGTATATAGGAATGCCCTTCATGGAACAGCAACTGGTTACATATAGCCCTCCACCGAGACATGCTGCCACTGGCCCTGAAATGGAATTACTGATTAAAAAATAATACAAAATGGATGTTTAATCGTAATTACTGCGATGCCCAGGTTCCAGCCGACACCAGCGGGATTGTCGCTTGTTATTCCGCACCGCCTGCAGATGATGCCATTGAGGGATATTGCCCACACCTCGGCGCCCACGGATACCGATCGGAAGCCGCAATGTTGCTCCGTGTGGGGCGGTATGGTGGCGGCATTTGGAAGAAACTGCCAGTGTGAGCCCTCTGGAAATGTCCTTGAAATCTCCCTGCGCACAGCCAGTCGCTGTTGGTTGTCCAGAGCCCAAATTCCAGCTCGTCCCACGCTTATTGCCTTGAATGTAACACCAGCCGGCGCCTCCACCTGCTGCCACGCATCGCCGCAGGGGTTCTGCCTGCTAATGCCATAGCGGAAGAACACCATGCCGTTACGCGCCACCGTCCACACCTGACCGGATGGCCCAACGCTGATGGCTATCAGTGGCTGCTCGCTGGCAATGTGCTCCCAGGCGTCTCCGCGCGGATTTAAGCTGCTGACGCCATGTCGGATGAGCACATCGCCATTGGAGGCAATGGCCCAAGCGGCCACTGGCACATTCTTAACGTCATGCGCACTGTCCACGTCCTCGTCCAGCACATGCAGCGCCGCATCGAGTACTTTCGACTGACTCAGCTCCTGCCAAGGGCCACTGCTGCTCAGGCGGCACCTCTTCATCCACCGCCGACGACGCACGCAATCGGTGAGCTTATTATGGGCATGATAGTTGGCAGGAAAGTCAATGGCATACTGCCAGCCCTCCTTGTCGGCGCCACCAGGTATGTTGTAGTCAATAGCCCAGTCCGAGATCCATTCGCAGTGAGTGGACAGCAGCTTTGTGTGCTCCTTGCTGCGCTTCTGCCGCCCTGTGGCATCGCTCCACGTGTGCCGATCCGTGGGCAGACTCTTGGCAGTGAATCCGCTTATCGGATTCCACCGCTGATTCTCATACACGTAGTACGTGTGCGTGTCTATCATGGCGTTTATCTTTCCAGAGCCCTCGAGGCCCTTTAGGAACATGCCGCCCCAGCCGCCATTGTAAACCCATGCGGTATTGTCGCATGAAATGCCCCAGACAACGTCCACGCCGCTGTTGTAGACCCGCTTGATGTGGCCCCCCATCTGGCGCCAGTGCATCTGCTGCATGGACACAATGACCGACGGACAGCGATACAGCACGCTGAAGAGCTTGATGCGTCCACTCACGTACAGACAGGTGACACTCTCCGGATCAATGCGGTATTTGTAGTCCGTATAGACCTCATTATTCACAATGATGTGGTAGTGGTTCTGCAGTGCTCTGAAACGATGGAGAGAGTCAAAGATGAGAGCGTTATGAGCAGGTTTACTGATCCCACAGCCTTACCTGATTTTCAATGTGAATGTGGCGCCTGGAGCAAACACTACCTTGTCGTTGCATACCTCCTCCAGCCATTCGGATTCCTTCATGGAATTGAGCACTGTGGTGCGCTCATTGAAGCGTGGATTCAGATGCATCGCAATCACTCGATGCTTCTCCACACGATGCGGCTGCACCTTGACCGTCGAGTGGCACTGCAGGTCGAAGCGTATCTGATCCGCATCATCATAAACGCAGCCAGAGATCTCCAGCTCTGTGCCACAAGGCATGCCATTGTACAGAGTGTTGTAGTAGGGTGTCTCGCAGGTGGACACATCCATTCTCTCCACGTAGCCCTGGCCGCTGGACATCTGCTGCGCCTTCATGGAGGCCGCATCGAAGACAAACACATCCCCCATGTCGCTGGTCAGCCAGATGGCGTTATTGGCCGGCTTGCCCATCAGAGTATTGATTTGGCTGCACACCGACGACAGATGCGAGAGCCAATCTTCCATTTCCGAGTCGCTAGAAAACTGCAGCTTCACCGGCGAGCAGTTGACGGGCAGGTGGGGCGCGTGGATGGCCAGACGCGGCGATCCCGCCTCGCTGCAGCACTGCGCGCAAGTTATGTCCGATAGCGGAAACTGTATCTTTGTGGCCGCTCCATCGGGACTTAGCACTGTGAAGGTGCCCGAGTCGCCAGACCTGGCGCCGTCGATGCTGCCACTGCTGCTGCTGCTGCCACTGACCCATTCCAGCTCTATGATGCAGTCCTCAAAGTCCCCGCCGGGTCGTTGATAGCGGGCATCCGCGGACTTTATCCATGAAGACAGCTCTACAGCCTTTTCGAATTGGGTCTTATTCTGCAGCTTGACGAGACTCTCCTGTCGGCGCTGCAGTTTGCCCAGAATATCCTTCCGCCAGTTGGCATTCACATCCACTTTGCTATCACTGGCCGCCTGCTCGTTGAACCAGTTGGGCAGATTGTTTGCGTCGACGGTGACTGCCCCGGGTGCCACACAGCTCCACAGAACACCGCATTCGGTCCAGAACTGTGAGCCCGTGTGGTCATCGTCCTCGCCCAGAAACACATCCGATCCGTGGTGCATCGAGTCCGACTCGAAGACCGTCGAATCGCTCAGTGGATGCGCCTCCATGCCCACCACGGATCCCACACTGCGGACTGGCGACCAGGCACGTGGATTCCTCAGCTGTGTCTCAAATTTTCCACTGTTTTCGATCACATCTGCGGCAGGGGCGCTGGAGGCGTGCGAGGACTCGCGAAGTGCTGCCGTGCGCTGCTTGTGGCGGTCGTTCAGGTTCAGACTGCCAATGGTGGGCGGCGAATCGGCACTGAGCTTCCACCTTTCGTTTTTCAAGCGACCTCCTACTCCGTTGCTGGAGGAGGAGCCCGCAGAGCTGTGAAGCACCGTTTCTATAACGGCGCACGTCTCAACAACGCCCTTTTCCTTCTCTTTGGAGTACAGATTGGAGAAGCTCTGGTGCTTGGACCCAGGCGTGGAGCTGCTGCCACCGCTTTTGCGGGACACGATGGACAAGGAGCTGGAAGTACGACTGATCTGCATGGGGCATTGCAGTTGGCGCCACTTCTTGCCGGTGGGATCGGCGGCAGTCACGCCGGAACGATAATACAGCAAACGGTCGGCGGCCCCCACAGCAAATACCTAGAGAACAGGACACGTAGTAAGTAATCGACGAAGGATTCAGCGTGCGGATGGGAGCGCTCACCTGATCGTTGGGCGCCACGGAAACCATCGAGACGTTGCCCACCATTTCCACCCAACCTTTGCCAATGGCCGAGTCCTCACTTATGCCGGCCGCCTCGCCCTTGATGCCGCGTCGGAACCAGGCATGGTGATCGTTGGTCACGCACCACACAGCATCGGTGCCCACAGAAACGTGTACGATGCGGAGACCCGCGCCAGCCACTGGCGTCTTCACATCGAGCCACGCCTCGCCGGATAGGTTATCGCGGGTCACTCCTGTGCGGACGATGACCCGTCCATTGTACAAAACAGCCCAGACCAGTCCAGTCGGCCCCACACTTATCTGCAACAGTTCGCTGCCCGTGGGCGTGGCTATGGCTGTCCATCGCAAGCCCTCCGGTGCCGTTTTGGATACACCTGTACGAAACATGGCCCTGCCATGAGCAGTAATCGCCCAGACACACAGCGTGCCGGCAGCAGCATTGGGAACACTTGTGCCTCCAATGGCCACATCGATGAAGGGCTCTTGGGTGGGGTCTTTGTGCAGCGGGGCCACTGCACACCAGCTGTTTAGAGCGGCATAGCGGCGATAACGTTTCCATTTGCGACGCCGCACATATGAGTTCCACGACTTCTTTATCGAGTAGGAGGCCGGAAAGTCCAGGGCATACATCCAGCCGTCTTCCGGAAGCTGCTGGCCATCCAACTCCAGGTCCAAGTGCCAGTCCCCATCCCATTGCCAGGCCATGGAGGGCAAGCGGATCTTGTCCACACTTCGCTCCACACTGCCGTCAGCGGAAGAGTATTTGTATCGATCGGTGGGCAAAAGAGTTTTGGCGAAGCCCTCGATGGGTAGCCAGCGTTCGTTCTCGTACGACTCCTCCTTGATGCGTATGGGCACATCGAGTCCGTGAACATGTACATACACCTGTCGGTCGCCGCCAATGGCCCAAAGAAAATTAGGTACAGCGCAGATTTTCTTGAATTCCAATCCTAGATAAGGCAGTTCGCGCCATGCTCCCGAGCTGGTGGACAACGTGTACACACGCCCCTCACTGCTCGCGGCAAACAAATATGTGCTAGGCATTTTGGCCGCCAATAATTGTAATACTTATAAGGTAGTTGCTGTTCGTTCTCGGTCTTTCATTGTGTTTACAATACGAAAAATTGATTTTTCGTCCATTCTTCACGTCGACATATCAGCTGATTCGTGGGGTTGGAAAAATTTCGACTATTTCACTTATCGACTATATCGAATGTATCTTGGCACTGAAGAAACAGTCCAAAACTTTATTTGTTTTGTCTATAAATTTAATCAAAAATTATATATTTATATCGTATTTGCCTATGTAATAATATTAATTTAAAATCCGCGAAAATCAGAAAACGATTAACCCATTGTCGTACGGGGGTATTTAAAGCTTACCACGAACATTATAAAATCCAAATAATTTTAACACAATTCAGATGCTATTTATTAGGTCATATTTTTTGTATAAGTAAAGAGGAAGGACGGATCTATAAGAAAAACCACAAACAGTATTATTTTCCGCGGTTTAACTCAAGTTGCTCACCTGTTTAAAAAGAGGGTGCCGCAGTGGGTTAAGTTCGTTCACGCATCACTGAACGAAACAAATGAATGAATTATAAATTGATTTCGAAAAATATGCTAAAAATTCAAACATTTCGTCCGTACGGAGAAATTCGTGCATCATTTTAACTAAATATAGTACAACCACCACCAATTAAGTGAGTATATACACGGCAGCCGAGCCGGGCTAGTGTAAGAGTGCTTTCGGCGTGGCGACGTAAAAGACGAGCACGCGCAGCGTCAGCTGCTGGCTGTGGAGGCGACCACCACGAAATCAAACCCCAACCGACACCAACCTCCACTCCAGGACAATCGCCATTTCGGCAAAAGCAAGTAGTCCTTGCCAGCAGCCGGTATTTCGTACATTGAAGTAGTAAAACGTTCCTGTGTGCACGCATACACACACACTCGCACACAGATTTGGGTGCAAATGGTCAGGCATGCACGTACTATAAGGCAGGTTCTTGGTTTTGGTTGGTGCGAACGAACTAAACTACGCGGACGCGGAAGTTCCACAGACATATCCATGCATCGCAGCCCCGTGTTGAGTGTACATGTCTGTACGTCACATCGTATAAACACACACATACAGTAGTATCCTGTGTGCATCCCGTGAATTTCTTGGCAGCGACAGTGGAAAAATCATTGCGTACACCGCGACCCCAGGAGTTGGGGGTAGGCCTGCACCGAGCCAACCTCTGCTTTTGCGACAATTTGCAACGTTTACGCAGACAGTCGTAACACAATTATTTAAACACAAAACACACACATTAGTTCTTCATTCGGTTGAGGCTTAAGGATATTAATGCCATAGTTTTAATTTCTGTTAACCATTATTTCTCTTACTCCTTTCACAGATTAGCAAATTTACGCTGTAATGTTTGTTTTCTAAACTATTGTGGTAAGTGCATTTCATAATTAGATGGACAATATGTTAATCTATTTCCCCAAAAACCAACAGAACGTATTCTTCCGTCAACCCTTCTTAATTAAGTCTGGTGAGAGGCACATAAGGCGACGTCTGCCAATCACATCACAACAAGTCATGCCACGGGGTAAGCGTCGAGCTCCAGAAATAGGCGAAAGCATGGATAGTCAATCAAAAAGGGCCCGTACGAGCTATACCAGCATACCGACACAGCACGGCAGGTGAGTGCACATAAAAAATACACGCTGGAGAGTCCTCATGAAAGAATCCACATACTCTGTTTGTCGCTCCATAGTCGCTCTTGGAACCTAGGGAACAGAACTAAAGTTAAGACCCCACCATTATTCCTTTTAAAAGCGTTTTCTCTGGCTGTTGTCCCTGTGTATTAATTTGGGAAAACAAATCGATGTCACGATGTAGCCAGTTGCTTCATTTATCTGAACATTTAATGTATTTCGAAGGCAGGTCGCGTACATTCTGCTAATTTAATTTGGCAACTGAATATTAGTTTAAAAACTCTTCACGCAAGATCAATCACAGTATATCGTTTGGCTTGTAAGAATGTTCTTGAGCGTTTGGCCAAGCATTCCGCTAGCCCAACCATAGATTAGGCCTATTGTTCGAGGAACAAAATTCTCAGAAATTTGTGTATTAATGAAACACAAGATCTGTGTGTTGATTATTGGTGATAGGTAGATAATTGCCTCGCAATCTGCAGATCTTGGCCTCAGACATCCCAGATCTATTCGTCTGATCCTCCGCTAGGTATTAAACATGAAAAATGTCTGTGACATTAGTAGGCAAATAATTGTTTACTTAGGCGGGGCGGCATCACGATATTGTTTATTCCGTGTCGAAACATTAAACCGAACCACATTTGATATTCGATATAAGCATCTTGTCCCAGGCAGAATTTAGCAAGCATTTTTAATTGTAAGTGAGAGAAAGAAAGAAAGACTTGGTTTTGCGATGAATCTGAGATTTAATCAAAGGAGAATGGAAGGTGCAGGAGGAAATTTCAATTAACAATAGATTGATGCTGAAATTTGAGTAGAGATTGAGAAGCGATTCTATTCGATTCGATCTAGAGTACATGACGTGCCATAACATTGGTCTTTTTTTGAAGACAAGTAAACAATATCTGATATATCTTGGGTTAGTAAGGATTTATGTTAACATTTAATAATTATAATTATATGTTCATGTATATGTATATGGTGCGTATTATTTTATACATTAACAATATGGAAGACATTTGCAATTCTCATATATGTGTATCTCATAAATGGTAATATCAGCAGTTCTGCGCCAACTCTTAGTTTAAAAATAGGACTACGGATTACAGGAGATCCAACAAACATGGGGATATGTTTAGACAACGATATGGTCGAGAATATTTGAACAAAAAGCGCCTCTCATTGTCGCCTCGCTCACTCCATTGAGCCGTACTGAACCTTCTTGACTTTAAAGTACCTGCAGGAGAAAGGAAAAATCAGAAATGTTAGGTGCACCCTACTTCTCGCTCCCACTACCACTGCAACAGGACGGAACCAGACTTACCGCCAACCTCCGTAGCCGGATATGGTTAACAGAACGGCTATGGCCAGTGCAGTGCCCACTGCCAGAGGCGCTGTCTCGTCGCGATAGGACCCAGTGGCACTGCAGTGGAATGACGGTCCCCATTTGCCGGTCTCCTTGAACATGAAGCTCTGCATGTGTAGATCGCGCAAATACAGACGGGCAATATGTCCAGACTGGTCGCCAGAGTCGTGTGGGGCGTACATTATGACGGTCTGCTCCTTGTCGCAGACATACGCTTTGCCCACCGGCGTTGGGAAGTACATGGGCGTGTGCACAGGCGAGGTGAGCTTCACGTTCAGTCCAGGGCGATCGGGGTGCTCGAACAGTGGATTGGACGACGAGTATGTCAGTTCGAAGAGGTTGATGTACCAGCCCTCGCCGCCAGAAGACTACAGGGAGGAGGGAAACATTACGGTATAAGTGTGTAGGACCTCAGCCACCTTTGACCTTATTTGCTTACAGGCCCAACCACCCCAAAGGGGACGCCCACGCACTGGTGGCTCATAGTACATACCTTTTTGAATGTCATGGACAGCTTGAAACCCTTAAACTCCATTGTAAGTATCTCCATGTTGGACTCTTCGCATTCGCCACTCAGCTGGGGGCTGTCCGGCATGTACAGATCGGCCTCCACATCCTCGTTCAGCTTGTTGCGATACTTGATGCCAATGAGACCGTCGACTTGCATTAGGATGCAGGTGATTCCGTTGGTGGAATTGAAGCGATACAACGAAGCAGTGGCATCGTGGTTCATCGACGATGCCTGCAAATGGGTAGTCCAGAGGGGGGTGAACTATTGGAATTGTGGGACCCCGACTGACCGACCGCAGACTTACCGATGGCGATTTGGTTGTGTATTTGCTGACCCTCGGAGTTTTCGTCGTGAATGCGCTCAGCTGCAGGCCCTGAACGGCGGTGCCTGCAAAGGACAGAACAGACAGGTTGCTTTTTCAGTGTGTCAAACCCGTCCTCGATAGTATTGATTTTCGGTGTGCTCTAACCACGCATAACGACACTCGTGGCCCGTGGCCCACACTTTTGAGTAACTTCTGTTACTCACCCAGAAAAACAAGGAGCGCCAAGCAGGCTAATGCGCCATTCAGGCTATTGAGAATGCAGTAGTTCCTTGGGTTCAGCTGCAGCATCTTTATGCGAATTGTTTTCACAACTTTTTTAATTGATTCCTTGAAGAATTTTACGCTACTGTCTCCACTAGAGAGCTCTATGGGGAACTACGACGTGTTTCTTGCTTCGGGTCCTGCGCACATCTGAGGCCTAAACGGAAATCGTTCTAGCTGGTGTAGCTCCACAAAACACACTCGCCCTCCCACTCCCCCAACCACTTGACTTCACTCTCGCTTTTGTCCTGCGCAGTCGCTGAATTGGAATGTGGGTACATATAGAGGATGCACTGCAAGAAATATGGATGGATAGCAGGGATCGAGATTGAGTGAATTCCTAATATATGAAAGGGGCGATCCTTCAACCAGCAGATGACATCTATTCTTTAATACTGTCTTTTGTTTTTGGGGTCTCGGGCTCGGAATTATCCTTTGCACTTTTTGCTTGTGCGTCTCGATTCGAGCAGTAATGAGCCTTTTCATGCACACGACATGTATTTTGTTGTGTGGTTGTTCATTCAAACCCAATTGATGGATCCGATGAAAAATCGAGCAATAGTTGAATAGATCTAGCCTAGAAAACACCCAAATATATAGATAAATTTCGATACGATAGCGTATCTAAAAATGTTGAGTATTTCTATATGTATACACACATGTACCAGTATATATGTATGTATGTACATATTTACATACATATATATATTGTATATAGTATGCCTACGCCTAATCCATCGCAAAGTTCAATCTAGTATTATTATCATCATAGAAGTAACAACCGTATTTTCGGGGAGAAAATTTTTACTTTTAAGGTCAAAGAATCGGTAATAGTACCGCGTATTTATATGAAGATTCGCTAGGCCTTCCTTTCTGGTCTTTCAGCTGTTTGTCTGCTCTTGGCATTGGCCTCGTCTCTGTGCTACGTTTACTATCGCTATTTTTAGGGACCGGACGCAACACTTAAAACAAAACCCGAGAGAAGAAGAAAATCGAATAAAACAAACAAAAAAAGAAGAGACCATAGAGAACATTAGCGACAGATTCGATTGAAACTTTAGTGTAAATGAAGTGCATGGTGCAGTGAAAAAAACATCAATTATTTCTCACTGGTTAATTTAATGAATCGAGAGTAACGATGGCAGAGTATGCGGATGGAAATCAGTTTATTGAAGATAGTATCTATATATTTTACTTATTTCCCGCAGGCGCCATATCAGAGCTGAAGACGGCTTCAGTCATAAACGATGTCTGACATGGTTCCAGGAATACACGACTCCCGACGAGCCAGAGACGCTGGGTAAGTAGCATGCATGTTTTCGGGATCATATACGTATATACATTCTATGCATTGGTTTTCCCCAATAGGTCCCGACGGAATGGAAAAGTTCTGCGAAGATATCGGTGTGGAGCCCGAAAACATTGTGATGCTGGTCCTCGCCTACAAAATGGGTGCCACCCAGATGGGCTTCTTCAGTCAGAAGGAATGGTTGAAGGGCCTCACAGAGCTCGAGTGCGACTCAACAATTAAAATGGTTGTGAAACTGGACTATCTGCGTAGCATACTCAACGATGCCAACTCCTTCAAGAGCATTTACAGATATGCCTATGATTTTGCCAAGGTGAGCTACTTCTCAATCCAATGCTGCGAAAGATCTGACTAAATGCATTAATTATTCCGGATCTAGGACTCGGATCAAAGAAGTATGGACATCAACACGGCCAAGGCCATGTTATCGTTGCTGCTGGGCAAGCATTGGCCACTCTATTCGCAGTTCGCACAGTTTCTAGAGCAATCAAAGTACAAGGTGATCAACAAGGATCAGTGGTGTAACATATTAGAGTTCTCGCGCACAATATGCATGGACTTGTCAAACTACGACATTGACGGCGCCTGTGAGTAGCCGCCACATTTTGTTTGGCGTTACCTTTAGTTATAAGGAATTGATTTTTTTGTGGTTTGCAGGGCCGGTTATGCTGGATGAGTTCGTAGAGTGGATGCGTATGCAACGGCATCAGGTCTCCAGCTCGGTATCCAGCTGAGAGATGCTGTATCAATTCGCCTATTTCTAGTTAAACTGCTGGAGGAAAAGGAAGAGGAGGGAGGAGTTCACCAATACAAGATCAGCGGAACTAAGACCCCGTACCCCGCATCCCATACCCCACCCCATGCTCGCACTCAAAACGACACTCACTCGCAGAGATACAAACAAAAACAAGGAGAGACTGCGTACACTGGCAAAGCAAACCAACTATGAAACTACACTATTGATATAATATATTTAATGTAATAATTTATGTATTAACTACTACTAAAAACTAAAACTGAAAATTTTCTACTTTTAAGGAGTCATTGAATACAAAAAAGAACAGCAGAAAAAGCCAAATTGGGGGCCACTTGCAAAAAGTATACCCACAGAAAAGAAACGATGGCAAATTACCAAGAAATCCAACTCCCAAGAAAAACAAAATTTTTTCAAGATATGCACCATAGTCAAAATCAACGAAAGTCAAACCAATCCTGGGGGAAGTCGTAATCGTTACTAAATCAATGTAGGAAGAAGACAACTTTTGGGGAATATTGAATAAATATACATATTAAGAGAAGACAGTGATAGTGTTGCCTTGTTACCTAATTGCTTTCTGTTAGGTTTAATCGTCTTATCCTTATATGACCTCTAGCAGCTTGACTCGCAATATCAGCATCTTTCGTAGGCTGATCGCTCCTAAACAATCAGAATCATTTAAGAAAACATGCGGTGCGAAAGTAAATAATCAGTTCACTACATTGCTATTTTCAAAATAAAACGACGAATTTTTGTGGTTATCGCACAAAAATATCGCTTTTCTTGTAAACACTACCCTGTGCCCCGATGAAACACGAAACGCTTGCAAGTAGCATCAAAAGTCGGGGATATATCTGAATAAGTAAAATTTAATGAAACGACAGAAACATAGTGTGCTCCAAATTGAGAAATCAAGTTCCGTTGCTATATGTGTCCCACAAAAATATCCAAATTCATATAAGTATTTACATCGATACATAGGCGACGCCCATCACTAATTTTCATTGGCATTTAAATCGAACGGTTTCGGCGCGTTGTCCGCTTTGTGGCTATTTTTCGTGAATTGTGAGTGGTTGTGGTGTCGATGGCATAGTAGCTGCGAGTGATCAATTTGTGTGTTTGGCATTGGCATTGATCTCTTAAATTGATTCGTTGGGAACGCATTTAACTGGACGTGGTGTGTACAGAGCGAAATTTGCATCAACTCGGCGGCGAGGAAGATTTTTGTGTTTCGAGTGAACAGCAAGGCAAAGGGGATATAGGAGCAAAATGGCCGCAAAACCGGACGATAAAAGCACAGATATACCGGATCGTCTCTTCGACGCCAATCAACGCAGGACTTATAAGCGTATGCGCTTCTTTGGAAAGGTAAGGCTTGCCTCAGATGCGGATAATAATGTACCGGGGGATCCTCGTGCACATTTTAATAACTCTGCGCAGCTTCACATCGCTGTTCGTATGTATGTAAAGGCATGCAAACCCATACAAGCATGCGATTTACATCTATTTTCGCTTCAGTTTCCTTTGGCACCCTTGCACTGTTGGATGCGTGTGTGTGTCTGTGTGTGTGTGTGTATGGTAGAGTTGTCAAAGAAGTGACGGCAGCTACAAACATATGTACATACATTCTATTTTTTTTTTGGCGCGATGCATTCAATTTATACATATTTGGTAGAAAATTGTGGCTATAATGAGATGTTTTGCAATTGCTTGTGCAGGGCGGCTTTGCAAAGTGCTACGAAATCATCGATGTGGAGACCGACGATGTATTTGCCGGCAAAATCGTATCGAAGAAGCTGATGATCAAGCACAACCAAAAGGAGAAGACCGCTCAGGAGATCACCATTCATCGTAGCCTAAATCATCCCAATATAGTGAAGTTCCATAGCTATTTCGAAGATGTCCAGAACATTTACATTGTCCTGGAGCTATGCAAGAAGCGGGTAAGTGTACGCCGAAAAGGCAGCTTGCGATGCGTTCTTCCGAACTAATGGATCCCGCCTCTATGCCAACCAGTCGATGATGGAGCTGCACAAACGCCGGAAAAGTATCACGGAGTTCGAGTGCCGCTACTACATTTTCCAGATCATTCAGGGCGTCAAGTACTTGCACGACAACCGCATTATCCATCGCGACTTGAAGCTAGGAAACTTGTTCTTGAACGATATGCTGCACGTGAAAATTGGCGACTTTGGGCTAGCCACCCGAATTGAATATGAGGGCGAACGCAAGAAGACTCTGTGCGGCACCCCCAACTACATTGCCCCAGAGATCCTCACTAAAAAGGGGCATTCGTTCGAAGTGGACATATGGTCCATTGGCTGCGTCATGTACACTTTGCTGGTGGGCCAACCTCCATTTGAGACCAAAACGCTGAAGGACACTTATTCCAAGATCAAGAAGTGCGAGTACCGCGTGCCGAGCTACTTGAGAAAACCCGCAGCGGATATGGTGATTTCCATGCTCCAGCCAAACCCCGAGAGCCGGCCAGCAATTGGTCAGCTGCTGAACTACGACTTTCTGAAGGGCTCAAAGGTGCCAACTTTCTTGCCAAGCTCTTGCCTTACGATGGCTCCGCGCATTGGCCTCAACGACACCATTGAAGATTCCATGCATCGCAAGCCGCTGATGGAGATGAACGGCATTAGGGATGATACCCGTCTGGAGTCGACATTCCTCAAGGCCAACTTGCACGACGCCATCACTGCCTCGGCCCAGGTGTGTCGCCACAACGAAGACTACCGCAGTGACATTGAGAGCTTGCACCAGCAGCTCACCAATCTGATTAACAACAAGGTATTTTATTTCAGTGAGTGTTTTTTCAAATAATTAACTAATCATCTCGTGCTTACAGCCGCGCATACTGCAAGGCAATCTCGGGGATGAGAATACCGATCCTGCAGCACAGCCTCTCTTCTGGATATCCAAATGGGTCGACTACAGCGACAAATACGGCTTTGGTTATCAGCTCTGTGATGAGGGCATTGGCGTTATGTTCAACGACACAACCAAATTGATTCTGCTTCCGAACCAGATCAACGTTCACTTCATAGACAAGGACGGAAAGGAGAGCTACATGACTACAACAGATTACTGCAAGTCACTTGATAAAAAGATGAAGCTGCTTTCCTACTTCAAGCGATACATGATCGAACATCTTGTGAAGGCTGGCGCCAATAATGTGAACATTGAGAGTGATCAGATATCGCGTATGCCCCATTTGCACTCCTGGTTCCGCACAACGTGTGCTGTAGTTATGCACCTTACCAACGGTTCCGTGCAGGTAACTAAACTCGCATAGTAAATTAGAAAACTATTAGAAATTTACCAAAACTCTTTTTGATTTCAGCTTAATTTCTCGGATCACATGAAGCTCATTCTTTGTCCGCGTATGAGTGCCATTACATACATGGATCACGAGAAGAACTTCCGCACATATCGCTTCGCGACCATCTTGGAGAACGGTGTGTCCAAAGATTTATATCAAAAGATACGCTATGCCCAAGAAAAACTTAGGAAAATGCTGGAGAAGATGTTTGTTTAATTGTTTAATGATGTATCCTAACACATCAGCGGACTATCATTCTAAGGCACAATGTTAGTTTAAGCTAAATCACGAACGCCTTAGCCAACCCAACACAAAACCTTCGGGCCGACCTAAAATATTTCCCACCCCACTCATCAGTTCCCACGCCACTGCTTTTTCAAAATCTTAGCTTCTGTTTAATTTTATATTTAATGTTTAACGTTTTTAGTTTTTTTTTGTTTTTGCATTCCAATTTAGTTCCGTTTTATCGTTTATTCATTGCAAATGTAGGGCCACGCTGAAATATAAATATATCTGTTTAATGTTTTTCGTACCCGAACATCGAATAATTTATAAATAAATACATACTTTTAGAAGTTACAAGTAATCCTTGATCGCCCACACATCATTTGAACATTTGGAACTATTGGAACCATGCCGTTCGGGACTAAAAGTTTATTTATATTTTCACCTGAGCTAATAAAATCCTTTTAACCACTATATTTATTTCTCGATCTTATAGTTGCCTTTATGTTTAATTTAAATTCAAAACCATTTCTACACCAATAATTATTTATTATAACAATAAGTATATGAGTCTATGAGAGGTGTCTTCTATCAGAGCTGAAGGCTCTGTGGACAGTTGCAGCAAATTCTGTTGGGACTTTTCGCTTGTATGAGTAATATATAATATAGATACTATAATGCATGTAAATCTATTATATGCATGGTTAGTGGTTTAATTCAAGGTGTTCAACTGTTTAAATAGATAGGGGGGCTAAATGGGCCAAGTCCTTATTTTTCTTCGGTATATTTTGAAAAAAATAAGGTATATTTTGGTATATTTCTGAGGTTCCAGCCACACTGGACAGCACCGACAAAACAAATCACATTACGTACACACTTACGTTTTATGCTTTGGCCGTTTTTGTTGGAACCTTGAACCAATCCAATGAAAAAGAGTTCTTAAGACTAGCCTTTCCTGAAAAAAAATTATTGAGGAATCGGATAAAATTATTTGTTTAGGGCTGAGAGGGCCAACTATCTAGTAATATTAAACGGAATATCAAAATCGAGGAATATCAACGTTGAATGTTTTGAAAAAAACAATCGATACTATCGTAATAGTATCGGGCTCAAATAATTATTAAAAAACCATTGAAACCTTTTAGAAACTTGTCCATTGTAAAAATTAGATGCCACCTGTCGATTTGTTTACAAATTTGTCTTCGTATTTTAGAAGCAGCCAATTCAAACATATCAAAAGCGCAACAACTGTAGCTCGATACTATAATGATAGCAGCAAAACATCGATACTATCGATAGTGCCCTCGATGGTTTGACACCTCTATGGTACTGCTATTGATTTTCGTAAAAATAAAAAAGTTTCCCAATAGGTCTCTTAAAACTAGGGTCCAGCCGAGCCCTATTTAGTTTTTGTATTTAAATGCAATTGTACACAAAGCGAACATAATTCCTCAGAATGGGTGACAACGAGCAGAAGGCCCTGCAGCTGATGGCTGACGCCGAGAAGAAGTTGACACAACAAAAAGGATTTCTGGGCTCTCTTTTCGGGTAAGTAAATTGCGAAATAAGATTTCATTTGTGCATACACCAGTAGGAGGTGCTGCGTCTCCTACCTCCATTCCATTGGTTAATTATTGGAAACTTAAATCTTACAACTTGCGTACGTACATACATATGTATGTATGTATGTACATACATTCATACATATGTACATAGATACAAGTAAATGAATATGAAAGTCCAGTAAGCTGCGCTGCTTTTCTTCTGCCTCCACCCTCACCAGATCCAATATCATATAATATAATAGAAAATTGCATGTACATATGTACAGATGTATGTACAAGTTTATGTATTAATATGCTATTATCATAAAACTATGAAACGGTGATTCATAATTGTATTTATTGGAAAATATGACTTTTGTTTCTTTGTTCGTTTGTCTCTTATAAATCCCTGCAAGGTATGGTTATTTATGCATGGAATTGTAGCTTTAACTTGTGTGTGTTTTTTTTTACAGAGGCTCAAACAAGGTTGAAGATGCCATCGAGTGCTATCAGCGTGCTGGCAACATGTTTAAAATGTCAAAGAACTGGACAAAGGCTGGCGAATGTTTTTGCGAGGCAGCCACTTTGCACGCCCGCGCTGGGAGTCGCCATGATGCAGGCACCTGCTATGTGGATGCCTCCAACTGCTACAAAAAGGTTGATGTTGAGAACGCCGTCACCTGTCTGATGAAGTCCATAGACATTTACACGGACATGGGTCGATTCACGATGGCCGCCAAGCACCACCAAAGCATCGCTGAAATGTACGAGGCTGATTCCAACACTCTGGTATGTGACCTGCTGCGGCGATTGAGCGTTGATCGTTAACCAAACACTTCTATTCCTGCACAGGCTAAATCGATTCAACACTATGAGCAGGCTGCCGACTACTTTAAGGGCGAGGAGTCTGTTAGCTCGGCCAACAAGTGCATGCTGAAGGTGGCCCAGTACGCAGCCCAGTTGGAGGACTACGAGAAAGCAATATCAATATACGAGCAGGTGGCAGCCTCGTCACTAGAAAGCTCGCTGCTCAAGTACAGCGCCAAGGAGTACTTCTTTCGTGCGGCTCTGTGTCATTTAAGTGTCGATCTGCTGAATGCACAGCATGCAATCCAGAAATATGCGGAGCAGTATCCAGCATTCCAGGACTCGCGAGAGTTCAAGCTCATCAAGGTCTGAGATGAAATGTAGAGAGCCTGTGCGTTTCTAATAGGGAATTGATTTTGTTTATCCACAGATTTTGTGCGAGCATCTTGAGGAACAGAACATTGAGGGCTTCACAGAAGCAGTTAAGGACTACGACAGCATCTCACGATTGGATCAGTGGTACACCACCATATTACTTCGAATCAAGAAGGCTGCGGACGAGGATCCCGATTTGCGATAAATTATTCCAAACACACACTATCTGATCTGATAAATTCACATAAACATTTACTAAATGCTTTATTCGTTTTGGAAATTAATATACCTATACAATATAACGACAAATTAATTAAAAAAGTGGCACTGCTCGTCACAGAAAAAAGACACACATAATCCGAAAAAAAAGGAGCAAACTTGCAGTTGAATAATAAATTAAGCAGCCGCCCCATAAAATGCCAGCTTCTTTCGAATGGGTAATGCTATCAACTCAGAATATTCCCAGACGAATATATTAGCTCTTGCAACGAATAAAAAATAAAAATCAAGCCAAATGCCACTATTAATATTATGTTTGGAAAATTGTGCAAATTCTGTTATCTGTAATCATTTTATTTGAAGATTTATAAGAATGCCGCCATGTGTGGCATGTAACACGGTTATTTTTTCCGGTTTTTGTGTTACATTTGTTATATTCTTTTTAATTAGAAAAATGTTGAATTAGCTGCTGTTTCATTTGAAAAGTTGTAGCTTCTAGAATCAGAAAGTTTTATTGTGTGAACATTGAAAAATAATTATAAAAAAAATGAATGTTTTAACCGATTTTGATGTTTATTGAATCAAGTTAAACCTCCCCCCTCCATTGATAATGCACAGAGAAAAGTAAACGAGTTTTAGAATACGCAACCTACCAACTATATATGTATGTCCATAAATGTATCGAAAATTATCCCCCTATAAATAATATTCAAACGAGAGTAATGAAATCTTATAAAATACTTGAGGGTCACATTTATTGAAAATTCCATCTCGCAAATGTTTTGAAATGTTTAGTAGATTATATGGTAATTCCTATAAACGTGTATGAGAAATATTCAAATCCAATAAACAGAATTACAATATACTATACGGGTCAGAGAATTGTACACCCTTGCGGTTGAAAAGCCAATTATTAAATGGATATTCCACCATACACATACATAAATCGATATCTAATTAAAACCACTGCAAGGGTATAAGCAATGCAACTATGCATTCATAATCATAGATATTTTAAATTTAACTATTTTAATAAAGTTACTTGCTTGGATTAACCCCGCTATCCCGGTCCTCGAGTCCAATCCGATCAGAGTGCATTCCCTATCATATCCACAGAACACAGCCTATGTATTCCATTTGTATAATCATATATTTTATGTACAACAAGCATTGGTAAGCATATGGAGCACAAGAAATGTAATTCTGAATAGATTATCCACTAGACTCGACCCCAAACGTCAGCAAGTTTCCACTTTAGATCGATTGGGTTTCTCCACGAATAAAAAAACTTGATCAAGTCGGATGAGGAATGCGAACGTCACACAGCCGTAGAAAAGAAACTCTAGCTTTGGGTTAGATTCTGTGGGTGCTCTTGTATTGGTTCCTTAGCGGTAATATAATAAATTGATCTAGTACGGCAATAATCATACATTTAGAGTGCTCTTTCTCTCTCTCTCTCTATGTCAGTCTCCAAGATCAATGTCACTCTGTCTGTGTGGTTGATCCTGTACCAGAACATATTAAGCTCTCCATACACACTCACGAACATCAAGTGAACTTGTACGCTGCGAGTACCAGAGCATAAAGAGCATACGAGGCATAAACAGAGCGACTGAAGCCTGCCGCGTCATATCTGAGCAGCTCTTGATTCTCGCTCTGAGCTCTCGGCTCTCACAGAGCTCAATGACGATGACCGTTGTATCAGTGGCGCGGAATGATGCCTCAGTAGTTCCACCGTGGTCCGTGTGTTAGGTACAGTTTAATTGTTTAATCCGCTCAGCCGTTTGGCGGAGATTCATTGACATCTTGAGATCTAGTGCCTACCCACCCATTGGTTCCTCCCGTGTTCCAGAAATGAAAATAATTAAATAACATTGACTCGCATTATATAAACCTCGCTACGAATATATTCATGAAGATAACCTACGTCTGTATATCGCTGTACGTGTGTGCGTGTAAGACTCATTGCATTCCGGTTTTGGAATGATATCCAAACAACAAAAGTGCCATATATATACTCGCACTCGTATAAACGTCGCTACGTCAGTGTCAATCCCACAGAAAAAAACCCCGAAATACATCAGTAAATAAAAACTAAATAATTAAAACATACTACTACGCACATCTGTATGCACGAATGAACAATCAGTAGTACATACATACATATATGTGCATATTATAACATCAGTTTCACTGTTTTGATAGACGAGACTCAAAACTAACTTGCAAAATGCTTGAATTACCAGGTAACAATCAATCAACAATGGGGGGGATATTCCCATTTGTGGGATACAGGTGCAATCACCCAGTCATCAAAACTTTACATCAGCTTAAGCAAAAACATAGCATCGTTCCGTACATACTCGTTTACTACTTCTGTGGTAGGAAGGTCGCCACTTCAGATCATCTTTATCAGCAGAAAACCCCACACATACACATTGTATTCACATAGGAAAGTTGGAAATTGAATTGACATTTAAAAAAATATTGTCCAATATCCGGAAGTGAAGTATATGTAGTACATATTTACTGATGTACATATGTATGTATATATAGCTTGAATCACTGTGGAATCTGGGCCTGTGTGATTGATAGCTTCTAAGATAACCAGCACGGCAGCTCTTTGAATTTAGACAATAGAGTCGACAGGAGGGGAAATTCGGTTATAGAATATCATTGTAGGCATCTGAACTGAAAGTGTTCATTGAATGTTCATTGAGCAACCTATTGGGAAATTAAGCTGATTTTGCTAGCAAAGATCTAGACATAGGTTCAGAATTGATCCCACAAATTGCTGTTCTAGTTGTTGCCAAAGCCCAAGACCGATTACATACATAATTGACATTTCAGGTCGTGTATTAGGATGGTTCCAGTTATGTTTTGTGTTTGCTGGCATGTGTCTAGCGCAGCAGCAATATCCTCAGCTATCAGTCGGCATTCCCCTGGAGGCGTTGACCGCACCGACAGCCTTTGAGCAGAAAACCAGCCATATCCAGTCGCTGCAGACCAACTTTGATGCAGATTTGCTTCGCACTATTTCCCAAGGCGCCCAGGAGTTTGGCCTCGATCTCCTGCAGCGTATATCTGTGGAGGTGCAGAAATCCAACACGGACTTTATGATATCACCATTTTCCGTATGGTCGTTGCTTATCCTGCTGTACGAGGGCGCCAGCGGAACCACCTACGACCAGCTGCGCCGGGCCCTGCGCATCAATGTCGAGGATGAGAAGCTGCGCGCTGTCTATCAAGTGTGGAGCACGTACCTGAAGTATGAAACCGTCACTGATGGCATACCATTTACTCTTGGCTTACTCGATTTTTTGGACTTTCTATGGCAGCACCAAAACGTCCACCATTGAAGTGGCCTCGCTCCAGGCCGTTTACACCGATCACAGTTTGCCCGTGAAGAGCGCCTACCGGGATGTCGTGAAGAACTACAACGTACAGCCCGTGGAGGTGGACTTTTACAGCCCCAATACGGTGCACCAAATCAATGAGGCCTCGAACCGCACAACGCGCGGTCTCATTCCGTACACGGTGCTGCCCCAGGACATCTACGGAGCCAAGATGTTCCTGCTGTCTTCGCTGTTCTTCAAGGGCCAGTGGAAGGTGGGTGTTCTGTGCAGCTTAGCTTCTTAACTATGACTTCAATGATTTCTCCAATTGCAGTTCCCCTTCAATCAATCAGAGACGCGAATGGAGCCGTTCTACAATGAGAACGACGAGGTCATCACCAACATACCCATGATGGTGCAGGAGGCGAACTTTGCATACGCCACAAATATCGAGGGCTTGGACGGCTACGTACTGGAGCTGCCGTATGGAGCTCAGGACAGGCTCGCGATGATAGTTATCCTGCCGAAGCGCGGCTTCAAGCTAAACGACGTGGCAAACAACCTGAAGGCGTTGGGTCTGTCGCCCATCTTGAAGCGTCTGGCAGACTTCAGTAAAACATCGTCGGAGGACAACCAGGTGGAAGTGCTAATGCCAAAGTTCACAACCACGACGGACTTTACCCTGAAGGGAGTCCTAGGGCAGGTAGACCATTCTCAGGCATTTACTTTACACTCAAATTACATTGTTTTGGGATGTTACTTTTACAGATGGGCATACGCGATCTGTTCGATGAGAATAGCGCAAACTTGAGCCGAATGTCGTCTGGATTGTTCGCGAAAATCTGCATTCATTCAACCAAAATCATTGTGGACGAGCAGGGTACAACTGCCGGGGCCGTGACTGCAGCTGTGCTCGCCAACAAAGCGACGCCGCCAAAGTTCCAGCTGAACAAACCATTCCAATACATGATCGTGGAGAAGTCCACCAATCTGATGCTCTTTGCCGGCCAAGTGCGCAACCCTAAGGCGATTTAGACTTAAGCGAGATTTTATTGACATCTTACAGAAACCGAAACAGAAATCCTGCGTTAAGGCAATCGTAGCTCATGAGCAGACTATTTTTTGGTGCGGCCTGTGGCCTTTTTGCCGCCAACGGGTTGCTGTTTGTCTTTGCTGGCTTTGCTGGATATGAGAGGATGAGTTTCTGAAAGGGAATTATTTGGATTGGAAAGTGGATTGGCGTTTGGTTAGTGGCGAGGCGCTTACCGTCTGTGGGTGCATCGGGCAGGCTGACATCGTAGTGCTGCATGCGTCGACGCTTTGAGGCCATTATGTCGTCATCGTAGTCGTGTGGATCGTTGCTGAGTAGCACGGCACTGGCCTCGAGACCGTCCTGTGGTGCCCAACCGTCTTCGGGATCCTCCACCTCCGGCGCCATGGGCAGGAATTGCAGGGCATTTTCGTCCTCACCCTCCTCATCGGACGAGCAGAATGCTGCCACTGGTTCCACCTTTTGTACATCTACTTCAATCTCTTCATCCTGCTGGGCGTCCGCATTCAGGTCCACCGACTTGTCCTCATCGGCAATGTCGAACTCTGATTCTCTCTCCTCGTACTCCACATTTTCATCCAATTCCTTGAAGTCGGGCGCAAACGCCGACCAGTTTTCGACCTGGTTCTGTGCCCAGATCGAAACGAGACCCGAGCTGATGCTGGCAATTATGGGTCGCACCGGATGCCACACCACGTCGAGCAGCAGTTCGCCCTTTGTTCCATGCAGAATCTTCACAAGATTGCCAATCGACTTCTCCCATATGTAGAGCGCATGCTGACGTGCACTGCCCGCGCATATATATTCCCCGTCGCCAGAGAAGCAGCACTTCTTCCAGGTGGTTCTGCAAAGACAACGCTGTAGATTGAAACATTCAAAGTCGAACCGGAACTTACTTGTTGACCAGATCCTGCAGCTTTTGAATTGGCTCTGGCTCCCCGTCTCTACCCAGTGCAATAATTTCCTTAGAGTCGTACACGCGTATCACTCGATCCGATGTGTTGATGAGGAATGCACTGAAATAGATAAAATTGGTAGAAATCTACGAACCAAGTCGTCTGTTTTTAGTCAGTTCGCTTACTCGCCTCGCCGGGCAAACTCAATGCTCTTGACGGCTGTCGCACTTGAGGTGCCCACAATGATGCGAAAACTAGCCACCACCTCAAACGTTTCCACGTCCAGGACGAGTATTTTTCCCTTGGCATTTCCCGTGTATATGTGCTTGCCACGACGATCGAACGAAGCCACAATATTCAGATCACCCTGCCGAAGAAAGATTATTCTCATTTTCTGTCCCTTCTCTTTTGCGAGATGTCCAAACCAACGTCAGAATCCAGGGGCAGGCAGCGGTGCGATCCTCCGATTTCGACGAGAACAGCGGCATATCGCATGGGACACACTAGCAGTCGATTGTCGTTGCGGGGATCGAACTGCACCTTCAGCACGGGGGAGGGGAATCGGTACTTGTGCTCCAGTTCGCCCGTCAGAACATCCCAGATGCAGACATTATTGTCCGTGGAAGCCGACAGCAACTAGAATGGGATTGATAGGGATTCGAAGTTGAGAAAGGACAGTCTGTAGATCCGCTCACCTTGTGCCCGTTCCTGGTCCAACTCAGGCTGCAAACGGGATGAACATGGGCGGAAATGATTTTGGCGATGCCGCGCGTTAAAAAGTCCCATATAACTATTCGGCCGTCGTTGCATCCCACGGCAAGGAGCGTTCCGTATTTGTTGAAGGCGCATGTGACTGCCAGCGAAATGCAGTCCAGGGAACCATCAAACTCCTCGGGATAGTTCTGTCCAAACGACTCTGAAGGAAACAATATGCTCTGCTCATTAGTTTACCTATATTTTATACAAAAAACGTACCCAACAATTCCAAATTCATTTTTGTTTACAGCGGTGTGACCAAGGATTCATGGAAAAAACCCCCTGACCCTCAAAAATATACCAAAAAGTATATAGTATACTGTAAACGGTGACCCTGGATTTGGATTGGTAGATTTGCATTCGATTCGTCAAAATGTAATGTTGAAGAATAATTATAGGATATAGTATCGCTGAATTAACACATTTGGCATGTATGCATATATTGATTATAGTTCGCACGCTTTTTTTCCTCCCTATGTCACACACCTTGATACTTTCTTATATAGGATCGGATTTTCTGTAATGTGATATAGAAATTAGTATTGTTGTTGGTATTTAAAACTCAAATCGCACCAACATATGGCAACGCTGCAACGTGTGCGTCACTAGAATTACCTAACGCATCTAGGTATTTTTACGGTATTTATTTCCGGTTCGATTTTCTTTATTTCTTTTGGCCACACTGCTCCGATCCAGATCCGTGTGGTTTTTGTGCACGTTGTATGTGAAAAATTAAATAGCCGTATTTCTAAGTGGAAAATGTGTATAGTGCGCAGAGACTATACCCACGAAAGTCTATAAGAGATTTCATCAAGTTTACAGTCATCGGAAAGGCAATTCGAGGGCAAATATCATTTGCATGCGATTGTGTCAACGTCACCTTTGGAGCAGCCTCAGCCTCTCTCTGCCACTCTCTCTCGCGCTCTCTTTCTCTCTCTCTCTGTCGCACTGCTAAATTTTGCGTATGGGCGCTAATTCTCGTGAAAGCTTGAGAGGAGTGGAGTGAAATAATATACTCGAATGGTGTTCAACTCGAGACTGCATTCAGTCTTTTGTTCATAGAAAAAGTTGTCATCCTAAATTTGTGCCTGTCTGTTCCCAGGAATCTGTCTCTTTATTGAGTGTGTGCATTTCCAAAAATTGGAACAAAAAATTAATAGTATTCGTAATTATTTCACTCGTTTCGTGACTCTGTGACAACTACTGCACTCAATTTCTTTCTCCCCTTGCTTTCTTACATTATTTACAAGTGTATGTGTTTGTGTGGGTGTGTGTGCTAGTGTGTAAATTTAAATATGTTTGTAATTTGTGTATATAAACATTTACAGGGTATTCATCGCGGCAGCCACGTTAAAAGGAAGAACGTGAATGTCAATACAACGAACACAGAACGGTGAAGATAAAACCTAGCGGCGCAGAAGAATCGAGGAAGGAACAGGCTGCCTAACCCTCCCCCCAGCCACCGTTACCGTCACACAGCAACCACAAAAAATCACTCTCGTAATTCTATTGGCAACGACTTCGAAGGGGAACAGGAGATAGAAATTCACAAGCAAAATGTCTGGCGAAGAAACGTCTGCTGATCGCAATGTCGAAATATGGAAAATAAAGAAACTCATCAAGAGTCTGGAAATGGCACGCGGGTGAGTACACTACTCTCCTCCCTCCATGATACCATGGCCTCCCCCATTGTGTGCATATTTCTCTGAGTTTTCCTTTTGTGGGGTACACACACCATGCTGCAGCGGGCGGGCGTGTGTGTGGGGCGGGTGCGGAGATACTGCGCGCTGTCGCCAGACCTTGCTACTGTTTTGGGGGAGCTCCAAGTGACGCGTGTGGTGGTGGGTGGGTGAACAACCACCACCTTCACTTTTTTGAGCGGAATGACTCTCTCGGAGCATATTGCTTGCGAGCCTTTGAGCCCCATTCCTCTCACACCTTACACCAACCACCCGTTTGGTGGCATTTGGCCTGTGCCCGTTTGCGTTCTCTTTCGAGCAACACGTTTTTCGTCAGTTTTTATCAGTTCAAACTAGACATTACCGCTGTGCTCCATTGAGGTGGAGCCGTGAGTAATTCGCCTCGTGGCTCTCCTCCGCCTAGCAGAGTTAATGCTCTCACTATTTTGGAGTCTACACCTGCCTCTCTCTCTTTCGGGTCCTTATTTTGGTAGGGGGCACCGATTCTCTCCGACTCTCCGACAGTGGGTAACAAGGTCAATGATTCAAAGAACTCGGCTTTACTACGGTGTGTACATATGTATTTGGTACATATATCTATATCTCACTCAGAGTGACGCCTCCCCACCATTCCGATTGCGATTTAGCTTCCCACTCACTTTCTCTTCTTTGATTTCAGAAATGGCACCAGCATGATTTCCTTGATTATTCCGCCAAAGGATCAAATCTCGCGCGTTAGCAAAATGTTGGCCGATGAATTTGGAACGGCATCGAACATCAAGTCGCGTGTGAACCGCTTGTCCGTCCTCGGTGCCATTACGTCGGTCCAGCACAGACTTAAGTTATACACCAAAGGTGAGTTGATATCTTGAGACAATTATCAGAATTAATACAATTGTTCGATTTCAGTGCCTCCAAATGGTTTGGTCATCTACTGCGGCACCATTGTCACAGAGGAGGGTAAGGAGAAGAAAGTGAACATAGACTTTGAGCCATTCAAGCCCATCAACACCTCGCTGTATCTGTGCGACAACAAGTTCCACACGGAGGCCCTCACTGCCCTGCTGGCCGATGATAACAAATTCGGCTTCATTGTGATGGATGGTAATGGTGCGCTGTTCGGTACTCTGCAGGGCAACACCCGCGAGGTACTGCACAAATTCACCGTCGATCTGCCGAAGAAGCACGGACGCGGTGGTCAGTCTGCCCTTCGTTTCGCCCGTCTGCGCATGGAGAAGCGACACAACTATGTGCGCAAGGTGGCAGAAGTGGCCACCCAACTGTTCATTACCAATGACAAGCCCAACATTGCCGGCCTTATTCTGGCTGGTAGCGCGGACTTCAAGACCGAGCTCAGCCAGTCCGATATGTTTGATCCCGTGAGTTGTGCACCAGAGCCTCTGGCCTCTGCCTCTGCTAACACTGTTTTCCGTTACCCAATTGCAGCGTTTACAAACAAAAGTCATCAAGCTGGTGGACGTTTCTTATGGCGGCGAGAACGGCTTCAATCAGGCCATCGAATTGGCCGCCGAGTCGTTGCAGAATGTTAAATTCATACAGGAAAAGAAACTCATTGGACGATACTTTGACGAAATTTCTCAGGTATGTTGATTTGCATCGCCTAAACAAGTTGATTCTCCGTGACAACAAGTTTTGTGATCTAGGACACCGGAAAATACTGCTTCGGAGTGGAGGACACTTTGCGCGCACTGGAA